TCATGATTTTGCCTGGTTTAGCGGTGCTTGCCTTGCCGTAAATTTTAAAGCTGGGAAAGAGTGTGTTGTCCAAGCAGGGTGCGTCTTCAGAACTAATCCCTTGTAAGGTAGGACTAGTATAACAAATTGCTCAACGGGACGAAGCATTATGCACTGGTAGCCGACGGCAACTGGCAGCCTCGCAATTGCTGACTGCCTGATAGTCACGTCGAGTACCTGTACCTTTTTCTGTAACCGCATCCAAACACGGGGCGAAAATTTGACCCGAGAAGAGAGTGTCCGCGACTCAAGGTCGCAGAAAGTAGCAAATCACTACACAGCATTGAGAGCATTGAGTTGTGAGGATAGGAGTGGTTTGTCAATCGCTGTTTGCTAGGCTCGCAGTGAGTATTATTTTTAGTGGCAGCAGGGTGAGTGACCCTGGCCGCATCCTTATGTTGGCTGCAAGGTGAGTGACCCTGTTTGAAGAGAGTCACCAGTCAGCCATGCAAATCTGAGCAGGAAGCAAACTGTGAAGTGTCCGGCGCGGCGCATGCGCCTTCTGTGTTAACCTATTTTTGCGCGCTCGCAAAAATTCATATATTCTTCCAAATGTAGCATATTTTGCTACAAGGAGCAAAGAATTCGCATAATTATCACTGATATCAGTTCATATTTCGAGCATATTTCCAGCATATTTTTCTGCTTTTGTGTGATTTCGAAGCATATTTTGAAGCAAGTGGCCAATATGCGAAAAGCATAATATGCGAAATTTTTGAGTATATTTGGGCCCTCCTTACAGTCTGGTCACATGCAACCAAAGTGTCTCCAAAGCACCCAAGGCATGTTTCGCAGTCGTGGAGAAATCACGTAGAGTGAAGTTGTACAATCACCATGTACGTGAGTTTGAATATTCAAATTTCTCCAAAAAATGTGACCGTGTGTATGGGTCGGGAACTGTGCCCGTGTCATGACATGACCACCCGTTGTGGAATTTTCACCATAGTCCACTCTTCCGCCCAGAGCACGGAATGATGTCCTTCGGTCCTTCCCTGACGCTGTTGTGGAGGTCTGGAACCAGCTCCCGCAGTGCGTTCTGCTGAACCAGCCAACAAGGAAAGGACTGCAGACGTTCAAAGAAAAGGTCAACGCCCACCTGCGCCTTACCCGCTAGGAGTGGGCAACGGACAGGCTATGAATCAAAGAAAAAAGACGAAAAAAGCTCTAACTCTGTTCCCTCCTCCATTCACTTCGTTGACTCTCTGATAACTTTTTATTGTGCATACTTTTCCCCGTAATCCCCAGTTATCTACCCCCCCCCCCCCCTGCGTATTTTCTGTAATCTTTTGTTTTTGTGGAGCGCTTGGGTTGCAATGAAGCCGAGACCCTATGGTCGGTCAAGCTGCCCCTGCCTCTCCCCCACTCCTGCCATTCCATATGTCTCATCGCTGCCTTTCTGCTTTGTGCCATCAAATGGTGTGTGGTTTTTTGTAAAGAAAAAAAAAAAAAAAAAACGTTTGTCATTAGGGAGGTTTCTCTTTACAGAATTACGCATGAAAATCCGTATGCAGTGTGCGCCGGGGAGCGAGCGCAACTTTCATACGCAAATCTCTCTACGAATTTCGGTAGGAAAACTCTTCTTATAGTGGATCCTCCATAGGACTTTTTGAAATATTCAAGTTTCGCATTTTCCGGATTTATCCATGGCACTGTTCAAGCCGCGAAAAACACCGGATATTAGGGTCCGGCGGATTCTGCCGGCAGAATAATTAGCAGAAGTCGGTACTTTTTCTGGTAAGTTTCATGCATGTTTGGTATGTGGATAAAGAAATGGAGCAGAATTCGAGGAATTGCCTGCCATAAGGTTTGTATGGTTCTGCCAATTTCACTGCTTTTCGAGCAGAATCTGCCACCTTTTGGAGCAGAATCCGCCGGACCCTACCAGTTATGCACACACCGTAAACCATGTGCAAAATATAATGGAAAACGCGGTTTCGGTTCGTGGTCCATGCTCTGGGCTCATGCAGCCAACGTGTCTGCAAAGCAAACAAGGCATGTTTCGCAGTCGTGTAGAAATCACGTTATTTGTCCATTTCCGCAATCTGCCCTATAATAATGCGAATTCTTTACTCCTCATAGCAAAATACGTTACATTTGGACCGATTTGGTACAATGTGCTAGATTTGCTACTTTACGCGACCTTGTGTCGAAAGGACCAAAATATGCGAAAATATTATCAGTGCGCAAGCATATTCTGGCCCTCCCTAGCCCAGAGCATGCACCACGAACCGAAACCGCGTTTTCTATTTTATTATGCACTTGGTTTCGCAGTCGTGTAGAAATCACGTTCTTTGTCCATTTCCGCAATCTGCCCTATACTTAGGCGAATTCTTTGCTCCTCGTAGCAAAATAGGCTACATTTGGACCGATTTGGTACAATATGCTAGATTTGCTACTTTATGCGACCTTGTGTCGAAAGGACCAAAATATGCGAAAATATTATCAGTGCGCAAGCATTTTCTGGCCCTCCCTAGCCCAGCAAATATGCTGGATTATACGGCAAAATATGCGTTATGCGGTCATTCTGCAAGAGTTGTCTGTCGTTGGTACAAATTGTAGCATACAGTTTCATGCACGTGTATAACTTTGCCGTACAAACTCATGGGCGTGTACGACATTGGGCGCTTTCGATAACACGCATTTCGGTCAATTCTAGAATTAGTTATTGTTGATGCACAGTTCGATTACACAAAAAGTGACAAATTCCGTCGTTAGAATTGATTTTATCCAATTCCGTCAAATACGTCAATTCTTCAGTTCTTCAATTCTTCAGTTCCAGAATTGTGTAAACGTGTAATCGAACGCGCCCATTTTTTGTGTAGTACATTTTCAACATCATGCCTGTACTGTTTTTTGCTACATTCCCATGGATAACGCGGATGAAAGCCAATAGACACCCTTAGCAAACAACGGTAACGCTATTTTGTACGGTACGCGTACCTTTATCACCCAAATAGCGTTGAAACTGCAGCGTAAAAACGTTATGGGGGCTGATTTATCGTTGTGACCAACGGTACATTTTTTGGCCAAATATTGCATAGTCCGTTCGCATTTCACCTTGTATCGCGTATATGGTGACATAAATGGTTGTACCGCGCAAAGTAAAAGCTATTCTCGTGGCAACAGCGTACTTAAAATAGCATGCATCTTCCTAAAGGTCGAGCACAAATCACGGTATTTTCCCCCTTGCGGTAATACCGTTTCAACATAACGTTGTTTGCTAAGGCCCGTGTAAGGGTGTCTATTAACGCGGTATCCTGGCGGGACAGTACAATAGTAAACTGGGATGTGTGATACACTACTTTGGCACAAAAGAGGGAGTGAGAAAGAGAGAGAGAGAGAAAGGCTTTTCTTTTGATTTTTGTAGATGGGGTACAGACCAGCTGTAACCCCTTTTCGAAAAATTGCTGCAAATCCCATAATAGGGTCTGGAGCATAGCAGACCCAGAACAAGACAATTTAGCAATCAACTATCTCAAGGTGGATCGGTGCCACATAGCCAGCGGGGTGTGTAGTCAACACACTGTACTAGACATGACATTGTTCTAGGAAATGAACCAGCATCTCTTTACCTACTTTCTATGTTCCGTGGAAGCATTTACAATCTCGCCCTTCTTGCCATGATGTCACTTGTACTGCAGTTTTTGTTCTCCATCAATACCATTCAGTATTCTTCCAGCACACGACACTCAACTATTAGTACTTACGGCCAAATGCGCCGCACCGCTTCGTTGCCATAGTTACTTGTTCGCCCCAAGAAGAGGTGTAACCCCACACAGTGTCTTCAGATCCACTTCTTTAGTATGATCTGCCTTCACATTGATCTGCTTGTGCAGACAATCACTTTCAAATCAGATACATGTATTATGTATCTGTTGCTAGTGGTTACCATGGTTACTCTAAGCTTTCCTGTCTGTGATCAGGTAAGATCATGCACTGTTTCAAGTACGCCATGTACTTGAACTCAGACATAATGTATCATACCCAAGCCTAGGCATCTGGTCCTATGCATGACAAGGAGAAATAACTCCAGTCTTAGAAACCTACTTGTATTTTGTAAGTAAGTAAGGGCTATCAAATTAGTAGCAATGACAATATCATACACACTTCATTGGTCTATCCATCTACACCATGTACACATAGCTAATACTAGTATTCATGGCATTACTACTATTTACTATCGGTATTAGTCTAGGGCTAGAGTAGATTAACACGCAAGAATCAGTGCAATGACTATGTGCGCATATGCAGGCGGACAAGACTATTATAGTATTAAATAATTGCACTCACCAAGCACGCTCGCTCATGTGGCGCTAGCTACATGTAAGTGACGTCAGCTGCTTGGCGTGGCGAGCGGCCATTACTAATAATTATACCATGTCACACGAGAACAGTTGGTAACTGTTACTGTTTACGTTCACTCGTACAGCCATTGCGCGAATTGCCGCTGTCCCGCTGGCGAGATTTGCGGATTGGTATTTCAAGTCGAGGCTCAGCTCTCCGCTATTTGAAACTCAGCGATCATCAAATACATCATACATGTAACTCATCCGGGTAGATCTCCTGTTACGATGGAGCGTTGCACCGAAGCCTTAGCGCCACTATTGAAAGGTTTAGTTAGGAAGCCAAACGGTCGTTTCAACACGCTGACCGGCGAAGGAAAAAATAATATTACTGATATTGCTCTTCGCTGGTAACATGGTGGATCGCTACAGCACTTCTACGATACTTTGCTTGTGCTAATGTAGCTGAGTAGTGATAAAGTCGATCACTGAATCCGTCGTTTACTGTTTTTAGTTTGGTCCACGGGCAATGCTGGATCTACAAAAATACTAGCACCTGTACATGTATGAGGCAACATGGCGAGATATTTAAAAAAAAATTACGGACCGATAGTGCATAAATCACACCTACCGTACATGTACAGTAGCGGTATTATGTTTCTGTGAGTCGAGCGTAATCATTTCCAGATTTTCGTAGAAGTGACGCCCACTCCAACTATTTATATTTTAATGGATATCACTCGTCAATCATTCCATCTCGAAAGCCCGCAGTATCTGCCTGTCCATGACAAGAACCGAATGCGCGGGTAATAAATAGTAGCCGAGAAGGGCAGCGAAAATTCGACACTGGCCTTCCTCTGTGCAGTACTCAGGTGAGTGTAGATTCTAGTCAGGAATAATGGACGTTGGCCAATCTTCTTCAATCAGTCGTCTTATGTCAAGTGCTACATCATGATTGTACTATACTGTAGTACCCATAGTTTGATACAAGTCACGTGATATGGCGGCAAAAAAACTGAGATTATAGTTCAGTTACTTGTAGCGGACATGCGGGAACGTTGGAACGTGGATACTAGGGTATTGGCAATGATGAGGGTGATTTGTTTTCATCAAGCTAAGTCCTTGTTCTGCAAAACAAAACACTCAGTGCATATTGTAGTTGTAGTGGTAACTAGTACACGGAATGAGGAATCTTGCTCAACGCTAGAGTACGTCCAGTCGACATTTGCTCACTGGATGAAGCCACCGGCATGCAACATCGTAAGCCACTATAATAGCCCCACATTTGACGCTGAAGATCAATAAGCGGATAACAAACCTTCAACAGGGAGTAGTAATAATGGTATTCAGGGGCGTCGGACACGGTACGGTCACTACGCCCCCCCCCCCCCCCCCCCATCGCACCACTTTTTTGCCCCAGATAAAATGTGAATCGATAAAATATCTGGGCTTTAAAAGTCTAAAACACTTTCACTCTTCTGCTGCTGTGCCCCCACTTGCAACATGAGACGTGGAAGAAAGAAACTGTTTACCTTTCCACAACCTCCAATGCGACCAAACAACAGCCAGAGATACATTATGCAAAACATCGCGCAAACAAACTGCTAAGCCTGACGTGCGTTTTCCATGGGCCGTGTTGCTACTTCTAGCCATGGCATAGTGGCATGATTACTAGCTTCTAACAAAACATGTCACATGATGTGGAGATCGAGTGCGATACAAATCATGTGCCCATACCAGTCTGCTGAGGTCTGACTTGATACTGCAGAAGGGCAGGTACGAAGCGGAGTTGCCCTTGACTAGAAATGTGTCATTGGAAAATAGCCGAACATACAAAATACAAAATACATATAGTCAACTGCAATTAGGTACATGTAGATTGGCTTCAGATGTTTTAAAAAAGCACATACCGTTAAGTATTGTATAAAAGCCGCGGCTTCTATGACTTTCTTGGTGAAATTTTGCAGGCTTCTATATGAGACAGGCTTCAATACAAGACAGGTATTTCTATGTATGTCAACAATAAAACCAGGCTTATGTGTCATTTGATGGGCCCAAAATTGCGGCTTCTATTCGGGGGCGGCTTCTATTCAAGTGCGGCTTTTATACAAGACTTTACGTCGGTAGGTTTGAACCAGGGAGTAGTACAATACATACTAAGTACTACTCCCTGGTCCGATCAGGGATTGCTACAGTGTGCGGTGTACAGTACAGAGTTGCACATGTGATGAGCGATCCGCGTATTATGGTCTCTCTCGAACCAAGATCAGAATTTTTGAAGGGGGTGCTTTGGCACCCAAAGCACCCCCTAAGCCCATGAGGGGAACCATTTCCAATCTCTCCTATCTTCCAAAGATGTATTTGTACTGCATCTTTTTCACTCCAGCAATGCCATTCAGTATTCCTCCAGCACACGCCACTCAACGTATTGCCAAATCCGCCGCGCCGCTTCGTTGCCATGGTGACTTGCTCGCCTCAAGAAGATGTCTTGAGATCAACTTGTTTGTGCTATGATCTGCCTTCACATTGATGATCTGCTTGTGCAGATAATCACCTTTCACATCAGATACATGTATAAGTTGCTAATCGTGATGATTACTGGATACCTTGGTTACTAGGGTTTACCGGGTGTTAGCGGCCGTCGTGAGTTCCCTTCGGGAACGGACACGATAATTTACTTTCTTTTCTTTTCTTTTTTGGTTACTCTAAGCTTTCCTTGCTGTGATCAGGGATTCTGCACTCACTAGGGACCATTAGAGAGGTTCCGGGGTACGATTTTCCGTGCCAAAATCCGCATGGGCGGTACGGATTTTTTCCAGGCGTGCTCCATACGATTTTTCGGCACGGAGAATCCGTGTGGACTGGCTTTCATACGAACCATGTTTCGTATGGAGATCTTGCGTCATCGGGTGCAGAAAGATTTTTCGCGTACAAATTTGGTACGAGAAACATCGATTTTCCGCGGGAAGTTTTGATTTCGGTACAAATTTTCAAAATAATAAGGCACAGCGCGGAAATGTGACGTGTTTGCGATCGTAACCTAGGCAATGACGGAAAACACATAAGTTCCGTACTCCGGAACATTTCACTGCTCGAAAACGACGTATAAAAAATCCGTAGCGCCTCTACGGATTTTGGCACGAAAAATCGTACTCCGGAACCTCCCTATTATAGCAAGCCGTGGAAAGTCAACGGGAACGAGTTTATCGGAACGCACATGAAACATCGCGTGATTTAGGATTAGCTTCTCGCGTTCACAACCCGTCTACGCGAGTCGGCGTGGCTTCGCGTGGTGACAACGGGACTCTAACTCAGCTCCCCCTTCGCGTTGCCGCTTCACGGCTTGCTACTGGTCCCTACTGTTTCAAGTACGCCATGTACTTGAACCCAGACATAGCATACCCAAGCCTAGGCATCTGGTGCTATGACAACGAGAAATGACTTGCAGCAAGAGCACATGAAAATGGTTTTCATGTACTCTTGCTTGTTGCTCTAAGAAACCTATAATTATGTAAGTAAGTAAGAGCTATCAATAGAGAAATTCGTCTGAATTTTCGTTAGACTTTGAAGCCCAGGAACGAGTAACGAAACTTACAACGAACTTCCGAACACACACTTGAAAACATCAATCCAACGAAGTTTGGTCTGTTGACTTTTCGTTCCGCGATCACATGAGAATTTTTTTGTTCCTTTCGAAAGAAAATTCTGAGGTCCTTGTTTTCACGACCAGAATGTCTGAGCCGAACTCAAATTCTGCAGTTTCTGCTGCTGCTGTTGCCCCTGGTGATCAGAAGGGACAATGGCTTACGTGGGATAGGCAGATGGATCTCATGATGCTCCGCCTTGTGAGGTTGATGCCGAATTGTTTCTTGCGGAAATCACGCACGAATGAAGAAGCAGCTCTGCAGCTTTCCCAAAGCGATAGGAGATTTACTGGGCTGAAAAAGAAAGGGCTTGTGGATCGGCTTAATCTCCTGCTCAAGAAGCATTCGAGTGGTTAGGCCACCAGTTTTAAATTTTGTATTTCGCGGGGATTTCCGAGACATCCACGGTATCCAGTAGCAACACCGAAGTTCGTTGCGAACGTTCTGCTGAGCAAAAATTCAGCAACTTTCGGTCGGTTTTTCGTACAGCGGCAAAACGAAAATGAACGGCGAATTTTGTTGTGCTAAACCTCTCTAATATCATCAAGAGTACATAACCCCCATGTACTCTTGATATCATGCACACTTCATAGGTCTATCCATCTACACCATGTACACAGAGCTAATACGGAGGATTAGCAAGACGAAATTCGCGTTCGCGTTCGCTCTCCAAGGGAAGTCGAACTCAGTGACGGAATTCGCGTTATGAGAAGGATTAGCAAACAGAATTCGCACATGCATGACGTTGACACGACGTACATTGTGTACAGACAGTACAGCATGGTAAATTTATGACTGCCCTGACACGGATCCGCGATTCGTGTTCTGACTACTTTTCCGAAAGAAAAATGCGAAAGTTCGCAATCCAGTTCGCGAACTGAAAAATGTTTGCGAACGCGAACGCGAATTTCGTCTTGCTATTCCTCCGTAGTACTAGGGCTAGAGTAGATTTACACGCGAGATAGTCAGTGCAACGTGTGCATGTGCAGGCAGACAAGATTTACCACTCCCCCCCCCCCCTCCCCCGCCACTCACCATGCTCATGCTGCCCCCCCCCCCCCCCCCCCCGCCACTCACCATGCTCATGCTGGCGCTAGCTAAGTACGACAAGACCACTCGGCACTCACCATGCACGCTCTTGTCTTGAGTCTTGTTGCGCTGGCCTGGCGCTAGCTAAGTGACGTCAGCTGCTTGGCGTGGCGAGCGACCATCACTAGAGAACAGTTACTGTTTACGTTCACTCGTACAGCCACTGCCGCTCTCCCGTAGTCGAGATTTGCGGATTGGTATGTCAAGACGAGGCTCAGATCTCCAGTAAAAATTTCGGCGATCATTGAAGTAAAAAATTCTTATAGGCTCAATATCCGGCCCCGGTAAAATATAGCTGCGGCCTGCACAGAAAATCAAACTGGAGTAGAGCTAAGTAATTTATGACACTTTTAAAAACTGCATTGCCGCCTGCAGGCCTTATAATATCAGCAGGGCTGCATTACCGGCATGCATGGTTGATAGTGTGTTCCAGACACAAAGTAAGTTTAGCGGCAGATGGGCCGTCCGTGTATTGTAAAATAACCCCCCCCCCCCCCCCAGGCCCTGGCCCCTCTCTTAACGGGTGATATCACTGTTTACCACGCTATCAGCTGCACATCAAGACTGCGTACGATCTCCGGGAAGCTCAGGCGATCGGCAGGATCATGTTGCCAACAGGCTGTTACCAAAGCGGTGTAGTCGCCTGGCGCTTCATCTTTGGGGAAATCAGGCCTTCCTCCTTCAAGAACGTCCTTATACAATTCGTTCGAGAACTTGTAGTTTTTCTTCCGATACGGCGTTTCACGCATGTAGGCTTCACAGAGAACAATTCCGAAGCTGCACATCAGATTGGATAACAGGTCACAAAAAAGGAAAACACATCACAAGTTTACATTCCAGAGCACACTTCACATGAATACGAGGGGAAGGCATTTCCCGTTGCCCGCAACATCCCCCCCAGCATAGCACCACTGGTGCAGCAGCATCAACATGGATTCTAACAGTACCCCGGCTATCCTGAGTACCAATCGCCAGTCACATGTATGACCGGGACTTGAGCTTGCCAAGTGCTACACTTTGCTGTATGCTCCACACACAAAAATCCGGAGATCGTTAACTTTAATTGAGGTTAAAATATCTGGTCTTATAGGCCATTGTCGGACAAACGTATTGGCCACCAACGGGTCTTTGCAGCTGAGGAGGTCATGTGTACCCACCGCATCATACACAAAGTATGAACGACTGTGGTACGGCTGGGCCAATCAAATACTGTTTCCGCCGGTACTGTGCTGAGTGGTAAGCTCTATCTGTATACATGTTGATCGGTTGACAGCATGCGGAGGGCGCACTGGCTGCGATCAATTACGCACTTGAATCGCCGGATTCATGAATGGAATCTCGCCGTTCGATTTCATGTCATGAGCCCCGGAATCGATTCGGAATCCATTGACCCTATTCCCATGGGGCGATGTGAATAGCGCGAATTGATTCATGAATTGATTCGCAAGCATAATTCGCAGGCATACTCGAACGCACTCACTGTGTCGAAAACAGTGCTCCTGACCGCAACCATCATGGGTTGGTGGAGCCCCGGTTTTGTAACCATTTGAACCGTATGGGTCTGGCCCCAGTTAACTTAGGACCCTTGTTGTTAGGCAGGAGCACTGTTTTCAACACAGTCAGTGAGTGCGTCCTCCGCCTTGTAACACGCTGTCAACTGATCAATATGTTTATCTACCAAACAAGGCTTAGGGGCCGTCCAAGGTTACCATAAGTATTTTCAAAACGAAAAGATTTCGTTTGGGGGTGGGTGGGTTTGATGGAGTTTCGTTTTGAAAATAATTATTGAATGCTGATGGGGAATGCTCAGTTACTTTAAGTAGGTGTCGAAAATTGACATCAATATTTTATTGGAATTCATTTTACCTGCAGAAAAGGTGGGTGGGTGAGTGGGGCTGAAAAATACTAAAACCTTTCGTTTTGTAAAAACAATCAGGAACCCGGGACGGTCCCTTACATGTTATCTGTGTACATGTACAGTGCAATGCTGCTGAATGAAATCCAGTCGATGTACTCATGTACACGCCCGGCGTTGTGCAGCCCTAGACCTGCGAACACTGGGCTTTGCAATGGTGCAAGGCGTAAACTTGAGTGATGCGACTGGATTTCATTTAGCCGGACAGTGTATCCCGTACTTACCTATATACATCTGCGCTGGTATGATACAGCTCCTTGCGGATTCTCTCCGGTGATACATATGCGTCCGTGCCATTGTTGAAAGTCACAGGTGAATCGTCCTGGTGAAGAAGAAGAGGGTCAGTCTCATTCACTGGCTGGGTTCTGCCTGTGTCTGTAGGGCGGCGATGGCGGCTGCTCTCATTCAAATGCGACATCAGGCGTGCCGTGCCGAAATCAGCCACTTTCACTACCCAGCGCTCGGTCACCAGCAGATTGGAGCACTTCAGGTCACGGTGTACAACTGGTGGCTGCAGGCCGTGCAAATACTCCATACCCTTAGCCGCATCCAGCATGAAGCGAAGTCGATCTGTGTGACTGATGGTAACACCGCTGTTTTGCAGTAAGGCTTTCAATGATCCACGCTTAGCATACTCCATGACTAGGAATGGCTCATTGCGTGGGTCAGTGCCGGCTCCCAGGAAGAACACAATGTTTGGATGTCGGTGAAGCTTCATCAATTCCACTTCTCGCTGGAACTCGCGGCTGCAGAGGTCATCACGCTGCAAACTCTGCTTCAGCTTCTTGAGCACCACAAGCGTGTCACTCAGTTCTGCCAGCCAGACCTGTCCATAAGCACCCTCTCCGACGACGTGCCGCAGTCGCAGCTGCTCCCAGTCGATTTTCCAGGCCGCCATGAACGTGGACAGTCGCTTCTTCGAGGCACGCTTCTCACGGCTTAGCTCCTTCTGGGATCGCCGCCTCTTCATAGAGACATAGCCAGCCACGCCAGCCGCAATTGCAAACAGAAACAGAAGACCTCCACCAGCGATGAAATAGTAGGGCATAAAGCAGTTGTCCCTTTCGTAATAGCCCCAGTGGCACCTGCATATGGCCTTGTTGTCGATCACCGAGCAGTTTCCATGCCAATTGCAAATGCTTCGCGTGCACACGGTACAGTCACTAGACGAGATGCTGCTCGGACCGAGCGTTGTGGTCGCTTTCGGGCACTGGATGCAAGCCGTGCCCCTCGAGCCCCACGTTCCTCTAGGGCACGCGGTGCACTGGCCGCTGGACGTGTTGAGCGCGTAGCCGGCCTGACAGAGGCCGAACGGCAGGTAGAAGATGCTTGTTGCCTGCTTGCTGCTGTGGCGGTGTGTGCTCTTCTGAATCACTGAGGACGCCAGGAGAACCAAGCCACTCGTAACAGACGCAACACTCAGGCCTATCATTGGCTCGTGAGCAAAGAGCTTTACAGCGCGGGATATGCAAAACACATCTTGCTTGTTCACATAAAAGTAGAGGAGAAATGCCATTGACATCCGTGGGTCATCCCTGCCTTTGCCACCGATTAGCAGCAGCGAATCACTGCTATACTGCTGAAGTGTGTGACCAACTCGCCCGGGCAATGTGTAATGTTCCTGCCGGACTTCACGGATCGTGTATGCCTGGCTTGCCACGTCGACTGATAGCTCAAAGAACTCAGCCGACACAAGACGGCCGATGGCCTGTTGTAGGCCGCCAAACACTAGTATCCGTTGCTTTCCAGACGCGATTACATTCACCACCGCAGGTGCCGACAGCGGCAGCATCTCCAGCTGACCATACGCTGCGGACAGATTCTGCCAGGTGCCTCTGCAGTGCGCACGATCGGCTAGATTGGCAAACGAGAACAGCCACACATCACTCAACACGTCGATGGCCAACGTCGAGTTTTCGTGCACAGGGCGCTTGCCGCCGAACAGCACGAAAGAAGTCGCATTCAACGCAACACCCGCATGGCTATAGCGCGGCGCAGGCTGCAGGCTGGGATCAAAGTCTGCTGGGAGAAAAGTAACTTTACACAAATCATAACACCACAGATTGGATAAGGCACCGAGGTGATACATCTGCCCGTCCCTGTCAACCGTCAAGCCACCGTGAACTGCCATGTTGCAGCTGTCTCCGATTATATCGGGCAGCAGCACGTAGAGACGGCCACGTCCCAGTCCCCGGTCCTGGCCCACCGGACTGCCATTCATGACATGCCTTGTGAACGGAATCTGCAGTACAGTGCTGCTAGTGGTGTACAGAATGTGTTCAACATCTAGGCTGCTGCTGATGCGATGCACCATGCTCAGCGACCAGGGTGTGTAGCGGCTATCCCACACAGCACCGCCGAGCAACACGTTCCACGATTGTCCCGCAAAGCCCACGCCAAACGGGCCCTGGAACTCGATCTCGGGCTGAATGAAAGATCCGATGCTCCAGCTGAAGGGCGCGCTGACATCGTCGCACCACTGAACCGGAACAAAGTCAACGGCGCTCTCTGCCCACGACGAGAGCCGGGGATTCTTGCGCATCGCGTACAGGTAGGGGCTGTTACTACTGACGAGGTACACGGCACTCTCGCCAGCTAGGATGTACACCTGGTCAGCACCAAGCACCATGCCCGCGCCCAGGGTCGGCGACAGGGCAATCCAAGCCGAGCTGCTGCCCAGGAACTTCAAATAGACTGTGTAGCTCATTTCCATTACGGCACTGGCCAGGGACTCTCGCACAAACACCAGCAGCAAGCTCTCCGCCTGGAAAAACGTAGAGAACACCGTGTCCACCCGGGCGCTGCTGCAGTCGCGCTCAAAACTTCCGCGCGTCCAGTTGGCATTGCGCACATCAAACGTCCAGAACGCGCAGCTGCCCCCAGTGGTGAGGTTGCCGCCTTCGCCACCAAACAGGACCACCTTCTGGCTCAGCTCATCATAGTACAAATCAATGTTATCGCACCGTGCAGGTCTCTCCTGACTGGTGACCGTGATGCCGCTCCACAACGCCGACTTGGAATCATTGAAGAAGTCGAGTCGCCACATTTCCGTCACGTCCACTTCGGGGCTGTACATTCCCAGAACCGTGAAGTTGCCGTTAGGAATGGACGAGGAAGCTGGTGGCAGGGACACCAGGGCGCTAGCTTGGAGAACAATGTTGTCAGATGATAGACCTTCACCGGCAATTATTTCCGTACCGTGTAGCTTTCCGTCTCTCCACACATACACCGCGGTGGCGCCATTCCCGTGCTGTCGGAGACCAAACAGGATCAGGTCGCGGCCGGAAGGTGAGACCACCGAACGAAGAAGAGATCCCAGGCCGTCGGCAGGGCCCATGCAAGGAGTGCTGACTGACGCACAGCTGATGTTACTGCTAGCCCAGGTAGGTGCTCCTTGCAGTGAGGGTTGATCAGGAAAAGGGTAGTATTGAAACAATATCGTTGGTAGCGAGACGTTAGCAGAGTTGCCACTGTAATCTGTAGGCATCACGACCAGCGGAACGACGACAGCCTCGGCATCAGCAATGGCCAGATGCTTGAAGCTCACTCGCATGGTCCGGGTGGGAACCAGTTTGGGAGACCCGATTTCCATTTCATCCTGTGGGTCTCGGAGTTGATCCAGCGAGGGTGTCATCGCTTGGAGTTTGACCGGAAGCAGCGGGTTTGGTATGGCAGTTCTCTGCTCCTGGTTGGATTGGTACTCAAGCGTATCGACGATGACATCATCACCATCAGCTGTGCCGCAGACCTCCAAAACCACAATTGCTGTGGTTAGCATCAGTGCTACAGCGCGACACCTGCATGCATGTCCCTGGCCACAGTGAAGCACCATGCTGGCTGTACGAGAACTCCTGAGGCAAGAATGCAGAGAAATAGACAAAGAAAACGAAACGTGTGTTGCCACCTACACTCAAAGTCAAACGGAGCTAGTTTTTTTTACCACCACTGAACTGTTAAAGGGGAAGTATACCCTAAAATCAAATTTTCACCAGTTGTAGTCTTCGGGGTGCTGAGTCGAATGGTCTTGGTCCGAGGAAGCTGAGACGCTCCCTTCCTACTTGAATCCCAATCGAACTCGCGCACTTCCACCGAAACTGGGTGACTGCGCCCTACTAGATGGGGATTTGTATGCAAAATGTCACTAAAAGCGCCATTTCGTTCTTATAAAAGCACGGATGACCGCGATTGGCCCATATGTTGTAGTCTTTTGGACGCTGAGTCGACTGGTTTTGGTCCGAAAAGGCTGCGATGCAGCGTTCCTCCTTTATTCCCAATCGAACATGGTGGAACAAGTGGTCACGTGCTCCTGCGTACACCAGTCACCTGGTCACCGTGCCTGCAGGGTACAACTTACTAGCCTGTTTGACCTTTTTTGGGTGCAGTCCTGTCACTCGAGTTGAACTCGAGTTGAACCTTGGTGTGAAAGTTGTCGCCTGCTGGCGCGGTGACCAGGTGATTTGGGCACCCAGGAGCACGTGACCGCTTGTTCAACCATGTTCGATTGGGAATAAAGGAGGAACGCTGCATCGCAGCCTTTTCGGACCAAAACCAGTCGACTCAGCGTCCAAAAGACTACAACATATGGGCCAATCGCGGTCATCCGTGCTTTTATAAGAACGAAATGGCGCTTTTAGTGACATTTTGCATACAAATCCCCATCTAGTAGGGCGCAGTCACCCAGTTTCGGTGGAAGTGCGCGAGTTCGATTGGGATTCAAGTAGGAAGGGAGCGTCTCAGCTTCCTCGGACCAAGACCATTCGACTCAGCACCCAGAAGACTACAACTGGTGAAAATTTGATTTTAGGGTATACTTCCCCTTTAATTAAACTGTCGGTGCATGGAAAAACAGTCACGGATATCAGGCGGTGGTGTATCCTAGAGGTTGACCGGAGGATGCACCCAGTGTGCTGACAGTGCTCAACACCGCGACTGCAGAGCGTAATACAGACAAACAACTTGAAACAAGCCTCGCTTGCCCTTGGTGTTCTGCATCCTAGAGGTTGATATAAGTCACTTTCAACGACAGCTCAAGAGATCAGTAGTGTAAGGAAGAAAAAAAGGACCAAGGAACTACAAGTTACGTTATAATGTCCACTAACACTAATTAATCCTTGGCTCTCCATCCGAGTTCAGTAGTAGTGCCAATCAAATTTGCAGTCACCTCTCGGGTACAGTGTCGCAATACTCGTACAGCTATGTGTATGACACACGCACATTAAGCTGCAGTGCATTGGCGAGGTGACCAGTACTGATTCAGAATTGTCATATTATCCACTGTTACCGTATTTTACCGGTTGTAAGTCGACCCCGGTTATAGTTCGACCTCCGTATCCGGAGGTCTTAATTCTGCGTTTTAAAGCTTTCACCCAACGAAGCACTACTAACCACTCCCTTCTACTAACACAACAACAAATCATGTAAACATTCCTTAGTGGAGGGTATAACGTCCCAATCCGCTTGAAAAAGGCCAATAAACTGGCAAAAATGTGTACAGATGGTGCACTCGTGCATGCAGTGCAGGTCGTTTTTTGTAAGATACTGATAGTTCCCGGTTTTAAGTCGAATCCCGGTTGTATGTCGACCCGCACCCTTTCTTGTAAACTTTTGGTCCTCTTTTTGAATATTCATCCTTGGCTCTCCATCCGAGTTTAATCCCACCCTTTCTCCTTCGTCTATTTTTAGTCGTAAAAGGTCGACTTACAACCGGAAAAATATGGAGTATGTGCAAGTACATTCAGGACAGTAGTACCAGGATTTCAGTTGGCCTGGCCTTATACTGTAAAACCGGGAATTTTGGTGGTGCCATATTTTCGGTACTTCCCAAAAGCAATGGTTCGGTACGAGTAGCGCGACAATTTCGGTAAGCCAGTTTCCAAGGTCCAAAAATGCATTTTGCACACTGTGTGGCACGGCATTGCTGACTTTTAGGTCACCTTGTATTTTAGGTAAATTTACCTGTACCGAAGTAACCGAACATAGATCTCCACCGAAATTTTCCGGTTTTAGAGTAGGACACTTCACCGGAAATGATCATTATCGACGAAAACCCCTGTGTTGCAGGGATTAAGTGGGTCAACCTTTCTCGAAATATGGTCCGACCATTACCTGACCGGACGGACCGGATGCCACAGTCCTGGCAGCATTGAAGGTACACTGCATGGCGCACAGATTCAAATCTCTTTTCTTTTCTTCTGTCTGGCCATTGTGTGGAAGTTAATATCATCATGGACCTTTTCTTTTCAGGGGCGTCGGACACGCAACGGTCACTACGGTATTGACCGTACCACTCTTTGTCCCAGATACCCGCGAATCAATCAAATGCACTGATTCGGGCTCTACATTAGGAACAAATTCCGGCAGAGACGCCACCCCAACCCCATGAGTAAATCGTACAGGCGGCTGACCGTGCCACCTTAAAATACCCCTGGCTTCCGACTCCCCTGCTTTGGATCAATTTCTCACAGATATGACTTGCAGAATGTGTACCCGGTACGATACATTGAGTTTTGAAGAAGACTGTCTCTCTGTGTGGAAGGTAGCACCATGGCCATGAATGCGTGTGCAGAGATCTGCCTTTCGTAGAATACGCAGTGTAACTGTCTGCACGCACTACGCATGCATGCTATGCGCACGAATGAACTTCTGAAGTAAAAAACTACATGTGCTGCAAATCGTACGCACACACAGAGACAAACGCACAAACAGAGACAAACGCACACACACATACACACACACATACATACACACACACACGCACACCTACTGTACCTCACAGCCTTGATGCAATCTTATGGAGGGAGCGAGCATCATGACAGCGGCTGCATTGTCCCTTTTACTTATGAGTACGTTTCGCGGAGTCAGCAACTAATACTTTACGGATAGTGTAACACTTCAAATCCGAACACAATACTATTATTTGCCACTCGATTCAAAAACAATAATAAAGCCAGCAACCACCCTGCACCTACACCGCTGCTCCACAACCCAACAAGTCAATGCTACATGAACTCGCAATTGCACAGAGGGACTTTGTTTCGTTCCTACGTAGCGGCTAAGCCTTCTCTCCTAACACTCTGTCTGTCTTATATTTCCCCTCCTTCTAATGCACATGTCTCTCCTCCTAACATTTCGTTAATTTTCGTGTCATGTATGTACCTGTACTGTCACTCCTTTCATTTTTTCCCTCAAACTACTTAGTAGTCAAGATTTCATTTTTTCTTCTTCTTTTTTTTGGTGCGTTTTATGGCCATGACGCCGAGACCTGAGGCTCAGGCCGGCTGATCTACTGACGGCAAAAAGCCTCACCATCACTAATGACACTATGCTCCCATTAGTGGCATTACGCAAATTTTTGGCTTTGCCAGTAAGCTGCTGTGATAAAAGTAAGCAAGTAAATTATCGTGTCCGTTCCCGAAGGGAACTCACGACGGCCGCTAACACCCGCTAACACCCGGTAAGCTGTGATCAGGATCATAGTAAAAAAATTAACAAAAATAAATAATGTACAGTGTAGGCCAAAATTATTTCCCACCGTGGCACCGAAATATCTCCTCTCAAATCAAAGACGTTGGTACATCAGGTACATGGTGTAGACAAATGTTCCAACAAATAAGAATAAAAATAAATAAATAAATGGACTTGGATGGAGAGCCTAGGCCTTTTTTAAAAGCTTAAGGATAAATAATTTATACAAAGAAAAAAGGACCAAGGAACTACAAGTTAAACTATAATGTCTTATAACACCACGGTCAGTGTCGTGCAATGTTATCGCATGACTTGATTGTTTAGTAACTGGTGGTGTTAGTGAACATTATACCGTAACTTGTAGTTCCTTGGTCCTTCTTCTTTTCTATAAATAAATAATCAGCATGCCCTGCTCAACTGTACAGAAGGTACTCTCTCAGTGTTGGTGGAAGTGGTAGTGTTTTAATGCAGGCAATGCGGCAGAAATCATGGCACGCAGCATTGATAGACAAACGGCATATCTGCTGAAGAGACTTCGGTTGTGGCTGTGGCACTATAGCCAAGTCCAGCACTCTCACATTGCGCTGTGCTGCCGATAGGTTCACACTGCACTGGCAGTTCGGCCCATCGTGCAAGCGGCCGTCCACCATTGGAATCTCGTCCACGCACGCTAGTCCAGGCAACCCGCCGTGCTTAAGCAGCAACTCGAGAATTGGATCATCGGTTGTGGGAAAGCACATCAGCCGCTCAAAAGCAGGAGGCACTCCGAAGAACAAAAATGCCTTGGCGTACTCGTGGCCCGGCGCCGAAGGGAGTGCAAGAGGTAGCGACCTTATAACACGACTGCGGCTATCGCCAGCAAGACAACCAGCTAAGGGCAGGCGACTGCTGGCCAGTTCTGCATCAGCCGGTGGACTCTCTTCTGCATTGGATGTGAAGTAATGTGCTGCATCCTTCCATGCACGCAGATCACCTTTGGCTTGCATGATCTGCAGCCATGCAGAACAGAGTTTAGCCGCATTGGCGCCAGAGAGACCGGCTGGGTCAGCTCCAACTTGCAGCAGGCGTTGAATGACGTGAGCCAGTTTTGAAAGTTCGGCCAGAGCTTCTCGATTCTGGGCATGCTCGATACACAGACACGCCAGGGCCAGCTGAGAGCAGAACGTCTTGCAGATGCGTTCGTCATCGCTGTAGCATGGCACGTCGAGCAGTGCTCTGCTCTCGGGAATTTTCACAAGGGCATTGGAAAAATCCCACTCATTGAGATACATGGCACCCCAGCGACAGTACTGCACAGCACGCAACGCAGAATTGATATAACCGGCGTGGAACAATTCGCACAGCACTTGCATGGGTGGCGGGTGTTTCGGGTTGACACATAGGGATTCGAATGTTTCAGGATGATTAGAACAGAGGCTGAACAGTGTTGGGACTTTTTTGCCTCCAACGCCTCCAACATAACCCTTTGCCGAAGGATGATGGTGTGGAGATGCACCATTTCTCAGCAGTTGGCGAACTATAGCTGGAAACCGCAGGATAACTGCAATACTTACTGGAGTGAACCTCCAGAATCCGGATGCCTTTGAACCACCGGCAACAAATGGTAGCGTGAGCAGTGGATCCGCATGCCATCTAAGGAGGCAGTCCACCATTGCATCGTGCCCAGCCAGGATTGCACAATACAGTAGTGTCCACGTGTAGCAACGCCCCTGGTCGTCACGATGGTCACAGTTTCCGTTCACAAGAGCGGTGACATCTGGAGCGACAAGCTCCTCACAGGCTGTGCAGCTTCCCTGCTCGCGCGCCTCAAGTGATTGGACAACACACACAGCAGGTCCACAAGTAGCAGTATCGCGGCTATCCCGCTGCTTCGGGGAGCGAGCCTGAGAGTTTTTTTCATCACCTGCTCTACCAATGAATCTCAGGGCTATAGTTTTGTGCTCGCTCGTAACACCGGCGATTGTGTCTGCATCATCTCTGCATGAGTGACCAGGAGAGGTACGGACACGAGCGTGGGCCATATGTGTCGCTAACCAAGCCATCCTTCCGCTCTCTTGCTGGAGTTCATTCAAAGTTTCCAATAACTGCTCCACGACTTCGACGTTTCCGCTGCTGACCATTTTCCGCAGGAACGACATTATCGGCGCATAATCTCTGCTGTTCCGGCTGCACGCTCCTTCTCTCTCGCCGATTTCAATGCAAACATCAAGTTCGATATCATGCTCCGGTTTGTTGGCTCCATCGATGTTCAACAAGTGTTCCGCTGCCAGTTGAACGCTCTGAATCATACTGTGGGTACTCATTTTCTGCCGACAACCGTACCGCCTCCTGAAGCTACACAGCACTATGAAAACGCCTCGCCGCTGCTAGCGCTCATGCCGGGTTTTTTGTTTGTTTGTTTGAAGTAAATTTTTACATCGCAAACCAAAACGGGCATTGATGCCCACTATTATGATGGCGATAGAATTAAAAGTGTTAGGCCCTGGACCTCCTAAGTCCTAGTCCTACATTAGCCTACAAGTACAAGTACAAGTACAAGTGAGCCAGATAACTGTGCACGGAACTACATCATGACTTGTACTAGTACTAGTAGTAGTAGTACTAGTACGAGTACAGATCTACCCATCCGGATTTCTTTGCCCTCAATTCAACCAACTAACTAAAATACTACACTTCATGTACTTTTTTACTTCGACTTTGGCCATTGAATCACTAATCATACGCGGACTAGATTACGGAGGATTAGCAAGGGGCCATGTTTAATTTAGATGATTTATTTAGAAACGAAAACTAGTCGTTTAGGGGGCGGGGATCGGGAGGGGGTTGTGTGCCTGTTCGTTTCTCGAAAAATATCGACGCACAGTTTGTATGTGTACGTGTGGGCTCGTCCAGAAAAAAAAGATCGATTCTATGTACCGTTTGTATGTGTTCGTTTTTCAGGGAGGGGGGTTGAAGAGAAACGACTAGTTTTCATTTTCAAAATAAATATTACGGATTACGGTATTACGGATGGCCCCCAAGACGAAATTCGCGTTCGCGTTCGCTTTCCAAGTCCAAGGAAAGTCGAACTCAGGGACGGAATTCGCGTTATGAGAAGGATCTAATTCGCACATGCATGACGTTGACACGACGTACATTGTGTACAGACAGTACAGCGTGGTAATTTTATGACTGCCCTGACACGAATCCGCGATTCGTGTTCCGAATACTTTTCCGAAGGAAAATGCGAAAGTTCGCAATCCAGTTCGCGAACTGAAAAATGTTTGCGAGAACTGAGTGCGACCAAGAGTTTATGTCTGTACTCTTGCCCAGGCTTGCCCTTGCACGTGGTCGTGCAAGTGACATAATTATGTACAGTAGTCTATTTGGAGTTCAGAACCGCCGTGCGGCGCGCGCCCGGCCGGGACAAGCAGCGATGCATCGATGAGACATATGGAATGGCAGGAGTGGGGGAGAGGCAGGGGCAGCTTGACCGACTATAGGGTCTCGGCTTCATTGCAACCCAAGCGCTCCACAAAAACAAAATATTACGGAAAATACGCAGGGGGGGGGGGTAGATAACTGGGGATTACGGGGAAAAGTATGCACAATAAAAAGTTATCAGAGAGTCAACGAAGTGAATGGAGGAGTGAACAGAGCTAGAGCTTTTTTTCGTCTTTTGGTCTTTTGATTCATACCCTGTCCGTTGCACACTCCCACCGGGTAAGGCGCAGGTGGGCGTTGACCTTTTCTTTGAACGTCTGCAGTCCTTTCCTTGTTGGCTGGTTCAGCAGAACGCACTGCGGGAGCTGGTTCCAGACCTCCACAACAGCGTCAGGGAAGGACCGAAGGACATCACTCCGTGCTCTGAGCGGAAGAGTGGAAGTGAGCTGAAACTGGTGTGAGGGATGCTTTTGTGTGCGTCGGCTATGGCGTGATGTGTTGGTCGCTCGGGGTGGAAGAAGGGTGAGAAGCATGTCTGGGCCAGTTGAAAAGTGGAGCTTGTACAGAAAGCAGAGTGCTCCTTCCATTCTGCGGATGTCCAAGCTAGGGAGGTAGGCTCCATCACCGATTAGGTGAAGGCCACGGCGTTGGCTGGCAGTGAGGGGAGCCAGAGTGGTGGGTGCAGCGCTCATCCACACAAGCATGCCGTACACCAAAACCGGGCGGACAAAGTCCTTGTAGATCACTCCACGGCACCTGGAGTCCAGCACTCGTGAGGCTTTCCGGAGGAAGCCTCGAATAGCCAATTGCCTGATATGAGCTGTGAAGGACAGGTGTTGGTCAAATAGCACACCCAGCAGCTTCAGCTGGTCGACTTCCGGAACAATTGTGCCCTGGAATACAATCGGTGGGACGACGACTGTGTTGCGATGGTGGGAAATCAGGAGGGACTGAGACTTTGTAGGTTCAAACCTAATGTGCCAGGCCATTCCCCAGTCTGCCAGCGCATTTACAGCAAGCTGGAGTATGGTAACATCTTCGGGTACGGCAGTATGGGTCGATATGCACTTGTACAAGGTGGTGTCATCAGCATATGCAGCAAGCTGGGCCCCAGCAGGTAGGTGATCCTCAGCATCATTCGTATAGAGAAGGAATAAAGTCGGGCCCAAGATGCTACCCTGGGGGACGCCTGACATGATGGGGTAACTTAGAGGAGGACTGTCCGCTCACTACAGCCTGGAGCATGCGGTTGGTGAGGTAGCATCTGAGCCAGGCAAAAAGATGTCCCTGGAGCCCATATCGCTCAGCTTTGTACAGGACACCCGGGTGCGACACTTTGTCGAACGCCCCCAGCCATGGTCAAAGCCAACGATTGAGCTACTGAGCTGCAGCTATCGTAGGGTACGAAGGTACACACCGTATACGCGTACAGTCGTAGCTTGATCGATTCTCCAACAAAGTCCGGTTTCAAGAAGTAAGATTCTGTCGCTATGTTGTCAGGTTTGGCATCATTCCGCGGATAAACAATGCCGTGGGCGAGGCTACTGCCTACTGGACAACATGGCACAGCGCATTACTACTACTAGCCAGCCACATAATGACATATCCTAGTATTGGGCATGCAGCCATGCAGCGGTTCAGACCACGCAACGTCCAGGATCGAGCAGCTCGAAATGTCTTCACGGTTCGGACAACAGGCAAATAATAATTATTGTTGCAATCGCCTCGAACACTAGCATATCTCACGGCGTGAATATCGAATGTGAGCGGAAGGTAATGCTGTGCCTGATATCGACAATCTACCGGTTCATCGTCCGCTGATCCACCTTGAGCGTCAAGTACTACTAGTAGACACTGGCCCAAGGCAGCGCTCTACGTGAAGTACTGCGTTGGTGACTGGAGACGAGTGAGGGCAGAATGATCTACACGGGGAACATGACGATTGTAACAACACTCAACAGCCAATGAATGGGAAGCAGGGAGTAGTAAAATACAACACATGAAGTTCGATTTTGGATTGCAGGGTATGACGAGGAGATATCGAGAGCGAAAAGAGTTGGGACGTAAGTAAGCTACAATTGTAGTATCTCTTCGCATGATACACTGGACACGAGCCGCAGTTTCCAAGTCTCTCACTGGATTTGCACGCGGAGGTGGAGGAAGTCACGTTTATCTTCGGAAGCCGGTTTGGATCCGCCGCTTGCGAAAGCCGACACCGCTCGGGCCATAGGAAAACAGGTGAGAGATATGTGAGAGATAATGTGACGGGAAGCTCCGAACTGTATGTAGCGAAGCCGAGAGGTGTGTTGACCTCACTACTCGTCCGTAGTCTTCATAGGATCATACATGTGGTAGTTACACCACAACTCCAAACAATACCCGCACGAATACCGCCGTAGTCTTCATAGGATCATACATGTGGTAGTTACACCACAACTCCAAACAATACCCGCACGAATACCGGTAGTCTTCGTGGAGTCGTCGTAGGCCCGTGCAAAGTATGGTTACGGTATTTTCCCCAATAAATGTACAGTACTTTTATTGTTTCAAAGGTTGTCTGACCTATACTAATAGGAGACTGTACTAATATTGGAGACGAGTACTTAGTCTTTTATTGTTTCTGGAAAGATTGATTGCCTGGGTTGGGTGGCAAACAACTCGTGATAATGGTACTGCAAGTCTGTAAATACATCCAACCATGGCAAGAATCAGTGTACAGAGACACAAAGATGATGGACGGGTAAAAAAAACGAAGTAAGGTGGACCCTTGTATCTGTCCCCAGTAATGCCCGTTACATCATTCCGGCATGTACTATTATTAGAGACGTGTCCTTTTATATTTTTGATCCACACTCAACATGTTCTACAATTGGAGACGTACTAGTAATGGAGACGTATACGTTTAATGGAGGACGTACTGTAGTTCTTCTATTCGGCTGTGCATCATCCCATTTCAAAACTGTGCTTCTACGTCGATGCTTCTTTTACGTCTTCCTTCGTTTCGACTCTCAGCACGTACTTGTAGTTGTGCTCTGAATGAAGCTTCATAAAAGGCTACGGATGGAGCAGCCAGTGCTTTGCTTCTACTGACCTGGATGTGGAATATGGTCAAAGGCCGAGGAAGCATGTTGTGCATAATTATTCTGGTGCTGCTTCTCATGATCAGGAGAGTTTGATCCTCATCATACTAATTACTGTTACAGTAAAACCTGTCAAGGCGACCACTTTGATAAGTCGACCACCTGCCTCAGATGACCACTGAACCAGGACTAAGGGATGCTATTTGCAGTCAAACGACCCTGGATAAGGAGACCACCTGGCAACGGAGACCACACTTTGAAGGTCCCTTCAGCGGTCGTCTTAGACAGCTGTTTCACTGTACAGTAATCTTACAATCACTGTGAGAGTCACACTTGCAGTACGTGTAATAAATGGTCAACTGTGAAGCTGCCCCCCCCCCCTCTCTGTACAGCACATGTGCAATACGTGTAACAATAAAATGGTCAACTGTGAAGTCTCCCCCCCCCCCCCTCCAATCCAGCTTCTGTTGGCAAACGTCTTCGAACGAGGCTCTCATGTACTAGTATATATTTTGGCATTTACAGGGCGTAACTAGGTTCTACAGTCCATTCAGAAAAAAATGAACTTCTAGCTTTTGGCCATAAATGGGTCAAACGTTGAGTTTTTTTAAAAAAAATTTTCTGCAATCCCATATGGAATCCTCTTCCAATTATGTTTCTGAAGTTTTTTTGTCCAAAAAGCAAGCCATAGCAAGAATAGGATTTCGGCCAGGTTTTGCCCCAAAAGCACTGAATTGGGAAAAACCATCAAAATCCAGGCCGTTTGACCCCGCCTGCAACAGTGCATTCTGCGGTTCGAACCCCAGTTCAGGCACCCTTTTTGGACCCTTTTTCAAATTTCAAAGTTCGCAGCACTGCACTGTGTACGATGAAATCACGAAAAATCGCCAAATACGGGAGCTCGCCAGAGCCAAGACCCATCTTTTTATGAATGGACTGTATAGCCCACGCCATGCCAACACACACGTGGCGAAAAATGCGTCCCTTCTCTTTTGCAAATCCTTGGCCTAAGATCCGGTAAAGGAAAGTTGAGATAAACACACGAAGTTTGATGTAATGTAATCTGTGTCAGCCGATGCCCTCAGGACTGTAACAGTGACCCTTGTTTACAACCTGAATTATCGAGAATGATTTTCATTCTTGTCAAATAAAACTCTCATCTGAGCTGATCCCAAAGTGTAACGGTTGCTGAAGTCGAACAAAGGGCTACATCAATCCATACCTGGTGTAACCGATCTTTTTCTGGCTGACTTCCCCCAACTTCCTCTCTCATGTCTAACACACTCTCACTTACTTACCGTCTCTCTCTCTCTCACTCACAAACACATACTCTCACTTGCTCTCTCTCTATCCATCTCCATCTCTCTGTCTCTATCTATCTCTCTATCTATCTATCTATCTATCTATCTATCTATCTATCTATCTATCTGCCTGTCTCTGTGTGTGTGTCTGTGTGTCTATCTGTGTGTGTGTGTGTGTGTGTGTGTGTGTGTGTGTGTGTGTGCGTGTCTGTCTGTCTGTCTGTCTGTCTGTCTCTCCCTCTTTCTCTGTCTCTGTCTCTCCCTATCCCTCTCTCCCCAGGATCCAAAGAAGTGGCAATGGCCTGGAAAAGTGGTGGACTCTCTTCTCCGAACTGCGCTATTTCCCTGCTTATAGTCTGCTGCGCTGCATTAGTTTGCCATGGACAAGTAAGCTCACGTGAGGATCGGCTCTGGTCCAGTAAAGATCAGCCTCACACCATCATACCTAATCCTCTGGTTCCTGTTGAGCTACAGGCAGCCTCCCCGTCCCTGGACCAGCTACACATCTACGGGAGCAACGGACAAGTGCCTGGGTTCGCTGCGGTGCCGGCTCTGCTGAAACTTATTCCCACGCGCACAATGGTGGTGAACTTCCAGCATCTCAACATCGTCAACGGCGAGACAGTTGTGCTTCCACTGGTGACTGCGGCATGGAAGGAACACAGTACGCCTGACATTACTGTGTCCATCCAGTATTACCCGATTCCGACTGAGCCCTTGCTACAAGGGACACCAACGTGGGCAACGAATGACATTGACTGCACCGCCGTGGACTCGTCCTGCACCGGGCCGGAGTACTACGAGTGGGATCTACTCGGGTCGGTGGTGTCCCCATCCGGCCGCGACCTGGTTCTGATTGGCCTGAGGGATCGCAACACTGGGAGAGCTGCCGTGTACGTGTGGCGAGATGGAAAGCTCCACAGAACGGTAATACCGGAACAAGAGAATCCGGACGATATTCCGCATGCCCGGGCTCTGGTTTCATTGAGAACAGCCTCCGATAATCCTGCTGGTGATGACTTCAGTGTCATAGGCATTTACAGCACAAAGGTGAACACAACAAACATGTGGAGGCTGGATTTTCGCAATAATTCACGGACGGCAAGCTGGTATATCATTAGTCCAGTTGACGAGAGGAGACCGAGCCTACACCAATCCATCGACATGTTTTTCGACGAGAGCAGCCAACAGATCATTTTGTTCGGAGGAGGTGCTGACTCGGAAGCTTCCTGCGAGTTGTGGACCTACGATTTGGTGATTAGTGTTTGGGACAGTGATGAGTTTCCGCGCGACTGCAGCTACAGTGGTGTGGACAAGACATACTCTACCTTTGTACAACAGCAGAGTCTGCTGGTGGTCTTCATCAACGAGGCACAGATGAGTGCAGCTGCGGGCCGGCAATACACTGTATACATGAAGGACATGAGCGACCGTGCTTCAAACTGGACCGTGCTGCAGTCGACAGTCAGTGGTGCATCGCTTGTCGCAAACCAAGCCAGCATATTGGCAGGCAGTGATGCCATATATCTGGTCAGCAGCAACGAACCGTATCTCTTCGTGATCCGAAGGAATGTTAACCTTCCCCTGTGGTCCGACAGCGCTGTAGACTTTGCACCGGTTCCGACCTATAGCCGCCTGGCGACATCGCTCAGCCAGAGCATTGCCAGCGCCGCTCAGCCGGAGATCCAGTTCCAGGGCCCGTTCGGCACGGGCTTTGCCGGCCCTTCGGTGAATGTGCTGCTGGGTGGTGCAGTGTGGGATAGCAGATACATACCGTATGCACTCAGTGTAGTGCGCCGCATCAACAGCCAGCTCCCCATCGACAGCATCGGCAGCGTAAACGCGCTGCAAATCCCGTACACGAGCCACGTCATGCACACCAACCCAGTTGAGATGGACAGCGGACTTGGGCGCGGCCGTCTGTACCTTGTGATGCTCGACGCCGGCACAGGCGACAGCTGCTTGATGATCATACATGGCGGGGTAACAGTGAACTTTGCACAGATGTTCCACCCACTGTCAGCACTGGAAAGTCTGTGGTGCTTTGATGCATGCCAGGGCACATACAAAAAAGGGACGGAGGACGAAGGAGACGGACCTCCGGCACGCTACAGTCATGCTGGCTTTGCCCTTACCGCTGACTCATTTGTGATTTTCGGTGGCAAGGCTCCATTGCGTAATGGGTCAACGATGGACACGGCGTTGCTACATGATGTCTGGCTCTTCTCCTTTCAGGACCAAAACAACCGCAGCGCGTGTGAAGGAACATGGCAGAATCTGTCCGCAGCTCATCGTGAGATGCCATCCATTTCGGCACCGGCAGTACTAGCACTGACTATAGCAGGCCGGCAGAGGATTCTAGTTTTCGGAGGACAGGCAGACGACATCTGGCAGACCGCTTCGGATGCCTTTTTTGAGATTTCGATCGAAGGACAGACATACTCCATTCAGGATGTCAAGCAAGAGCAGGGAAGGCTTCCAGGAAGGATGGGCCATACACTCAAGCAGTACAGCAATGATAGCCTGCTGTTGTTCGGTGGCAGAGGTGCTGACGAGCCGACAACTGCGTCGGAAGCGTTCCTGCTGCGTTACTACGTGGACCAGAACGACGTGATCTGCATCTCCCAAGCCATACCGTTCTTCAGGCATGAGCCGATGATCGGGATGAGTGTAGCATCGTTGAGCAGCGGCCTAATACTGATGGCATCAACGGTTGTCAGAATCGCCGCTGAAGAGGAGGTGCACAGTCAAGCAGCTGGCATCCTGTACCTACCATTTGGCCTTTGCCAAGCAGGGCATGTCCGGAATATGTTCGCCGCTGAATGCAAGGCATGCCCAAAGGGTACTTGGGGATCCAGTGGCAAAGCCTGCGTAAATTGCTCCAGCGGGACAACAACGCCGGGCTCTGGCAGCACTTCGACGGATGACTGCACAGTGTGCGCGCAGAGCATTTGCAACTGGCACGGCAACTGCTCCGTAGTGGGCAGCCAAACGATGTGCTCCTGCCATTGGGGTTACTATGACTGGGATAACTGCTTCATGCCTTACTACTATATTGCCGGCGGGGCGCTGCTGCTCCTGTTTGTCAGTGTCCTTGTCATTGCCGGATACATCTCCGTGAAGCAGCACGGGGCACAGCAGGAGCTCCACCGCGAGCAGCGTGCCTCGGCGAAACGAATGTCCACGTTCATGGCCGTCTGGAAAATCGAATGGGGTCAGCTGCGCCTGCGGCACGTCATTGGCCAGGGTGGTTACGGTGATGTTTGGCTTGCAGAGCTGAATGACATGCTTGTGGTTGTGAAGAAGCTGAAGCAATACCTTCAGTGTGACGACCTCTGCAGCCGCGAGTTCCAGCGAGAAGTGGAATTGATGAAGCTTCACCGACATCCAAACATTGTGTTCTTCCTGGGAGCCGGCACTGACCCACGCAATGAGCCATTCCTAGTCATGGAGTATGCTAAGCGTGGATCATTGAAAGCATTACTGCAAAACAGCAGTGTTACCATCAGTCACACAGATCGACTTCGCTTCATGCTGGATGCGGCTAAGGGTATGGAGTATTTGCACGGCCTGCATCCACCAGTTGTACACCGTGACCTGAAGTGCTCCAATCTGCTGGTGACCGAGCGCTGGGTGGTGAAAGTGGCTGATTTCGGCACGGCGCGCCTGATGTCACGCCTGGCTGACAATACAGGTGTCCGTCGTCGGCGACGGCAACGCCATGGTGACAGTCTGGACGAGAGCGAACCTCTTCTCCAGCATGATGACTCGACCGTGACATTCAACAATGGCACAGATGCATACGTCTCGCCAGAACGAATCCGCAGGCAACCGTACGGAACAGCTGCAGACGTCTACAGGTAAGGTGCTCATTATGACTAATGCCATTTTTGAGTACTGTAAAAGCCATTATTCTAACGAGGCGCATGCATAACGATTTCCCAAAATTGACTAGTTTACGTGTACCAAAGGTAACGATTTTCACTCATTCTCAACGCTCAATAGGACAGTATATGTATCGATTTCTGTATACCGTATTTCCGCGCGTATAAAGCCATGGCGTTATAGGTGAAACATCGCTGTTTTGGACCAAATGTTTGGAGAAAATAGCCTCGGTTTTAACGCCATGGCGCTAAAAGTGAGAGACGCTTACATGAAAAAATCGGCAGAGTATGAACTTCGAGTACTCGTATGGTGCCGTTGTACGTTCATGTCGAGCATCGATATACTTTCAATTTTCCCTGAAAATTTCTAACTGTGAACCTATTGTGTACAAGGTGGCATACAAACTTGTTTGAAGGTGCGGTGGCGGTAAAGCATGTGACAGTGGGGATGGGTGCATGTAGAGAGAATCACAGCTACTGTAGGTTCACTGAAAGAATTGAACTCACCTTTAACGCCGGATGCAACTTCCTCCACATTGAATTTTGTTCACTTATAACGCCATGGCTTTATAAGTGAGGGTGGCCTTATATTCGGATATAACGCCATGGCTTTATATGCGCGGAAATACGGTAACGATTTCTATGTTAACGACAGATTTCTCCTCATTAACTCGTTAGAGTTAGCACTTTGTTATATATAATAATGGCTTTTACAGTACACTCATATCTGGACTTCAAAGTTACGGGCACTCGGGTCTACCGCGTACGGGGCACCCTTGGGGCGAGTTTCAGTGGAAATATTACTACAAGTACTCTTTTAAGAAAGGGTTTGCTCCCCACACCGGAGCTCGCGCTATTCCGCCGACTTTACTTGACACTTGACTGACTCACGACTGCCATCCAGAGCACACGCGAAGTCCATCGAACATTCTTCTCGTGTGCTCTGGATGGCAGTCGTGAGTCAGTCAAGTGTCAAGTAAAGTCGGCGGAATAGCGCGAGCTCCGGTGTGGGGAGCAAACCCTTTCTTGCAAATCATCGCCGAAGTCGCAACCACTACTTCGTACTGTTGTTTTCGCTCCGAGAAAGAAGATGCCAGGTTGTACCTTGCAGGCTGAAAGTCAGAGTACAAGGAAGTAACTGACTTCCTTCTCCCCTTGCTGCCTGCACAGATAGCCACAGTATAGTGACATAAACAAGTATGGTTCTCTACTGCCTGGAAGAGCTCAGCCTGCAGAGCCCTTCACACAGCATGGAGATACATGTATGTTGCAACTTCGAGTTTGCTGCTATCATGTACACCTGACGATAGTGAACCGCGTGCAACTCAGAGTTGCAACATAAATTCACCTCCTTGCTCTGTGACATTTTTTAGAGATTTAGTTCAGTGCTTGACTGTGTCTTCATGTGTGGTAGTTTTTGGACTGCCCGTGACTAGCTGTATTCACTAGGAGTGGCGAGGCGTCTTGCAGCTTCACCATAGATCGGCTACCACAACTACCGTATTCACAGCATATGAGTCAACCGTGTTTTTTTAGTTCTGTGATATTCTCTTCACTGGTCTTTACATCATGATACACCATGCATATGCAGCATATGCTCACTGTGACGTCTCTCCGTTCTTGCTTGTTATTATCTACATGCACAGCTTTGGCATTGTACTATGGGAGTCGTACACTCGCCAGACGCCGTACGAAGAGCCGGACTATGCGTTCACCAACCAGCTCCTCAATGCCGTAATCGGTGGCGAGAGGCCCAGTTTTCCCAGCAGCACTCCGCAGGACTACGTGGACTTGACCCGACACTGTTGGCAGGAGAACGCCGTCGGACGGCCGAGCTTCTCGGAGATAGTGCGGCGTCTCGACATCCAGCTGCTATCCTGGTAGTTGCACTGGTGACCAGCGAGCATCGATTGCCATGTCCCGCGGTGGAGTAAAAACGTTCATGCAAGCACACCGACAACCATTGAGCAGACATGAAGAATCAGTGGCATCAGCATCGTTCTCCCCTAAAACTGAAACCCTGAATGCAAGCATATTACTCATTGTTAGTGAAGGGAAAGAAGCCGAGAAAGAGGCAGTGCGGAGATAAGAGCTTTACTAGAGTGGTGAATAGCATTAAAAGAAAAGCGGACATTGAACGTTGGACTTCTGTTACCCATGCGTCCCTCTTATTAGTTCGCCAGTCTGCGTAGCATTCACTTTTAAAAGTGTTCAATGCTATACCCCTTACACAGTATGTGCTCCCTTGCTCGTTATCAATGTTGATATAAATTTCTCCCTTGCTCGTTATCAATGTTGATACAGATTTCTCCCTTGCTCGTTATCAATGTTGATACAGATTTACTTGATAATTTCCCACAGAAAATCGATTAGGACAACTCCGAAAGAAGCCAGAGCACGCATACTGGGTAGCTAGGTACCAGGAGTAGCACCTGGCTCACACAGTGACTGTCCCAGCTGTGCAGACCCAACTCATGTAGCTGTCGCCTTTGCACCTTTGGATTGGATTTGGATTGGTTTATTTAACGTCGAATAACAAACAGGCAGTGTTGCCTTATTACATGAGATCGACTAAAGACAAACAGGCACACAAATGTACTTCAGTAAGGAAAAGATTAAAAAGAAAAAAAAGAAAATAGAAAAAAAGAGTAGGATTTAAGACAGCAGCTAGCTAGCAGAGGAAAGATTGCATAATTATTTGATCAGTGAGCAACGTAAGTCGGTGAATTTTTCAGGTGGGGTAAGAGAGCGGTCCGGAATTGACCTGGTTTCTTCAGTGATCGTATAGATGCAGGCAACTTATTCCAGAGAGCGGCTTTCCTGGTGAACTTAACCATACGTAATGTTTCGAATTGCGTGCTTGGCCCAAAATAACCCAACTCTCACAAGATCAAAGAAGCGCACAAATATTCAACATAGACAAAAACTTCTTCTTGTTCCAACCAAAAACCCAACACAAGAGCTTCCCTGTCCTACAAAAAGTCACAGCAAAAATGTAAATCAGCTGTTACGCATGCGCTGCCTACAACGGCGGGAAACTGAAAAGAGCAGGCACGTGCATGATATTACAATCACCAATAAAACCGCACAGCAAAGGGGTAGCTACACTTGAGATGAGAACAGGCCAAACATCATGAATGAGAAGCGGGAGTCACTCGGCCACACAGACCAATGAAACACAACAGATAGTCTATACACAACATTCCTCCCCCTTGAGCAAACATGCAAATAGCAGGGAGCGAAAACTACATACACCCAGAAGAGCAAAAAAAACAAAAACAACGAAAAACAAAAGGCAAAAACAAGCATATGCCACACCAGCATCTTGCCAGGAAAAACAAAAGAGCGTAATGTGTACTTCCTCCGATAGAACTAGCTCATCAGGACCGAAACTATCGAAGACATTTGCAACCCACTCGTGCTGTAACACGCATAACATTATTCCTATCACCCATAGCTCTATCAGTACCACACAGCATGAAATATGGCTAGCAGATATTTTATTTCATTATCACTGATCAGCCAACGTCTTCGGTATTAGAATCAGTTACTCAGTACTTGGCTCGGGGCGATGAGTTTCACTTCACAGGTCACGCATCTTCACGACCGACTCCAAGCTGTTAACTCGGTCACTGGACGGCTCCACTTCCAGAGGCACAAGGTAGCGAACATGCCGACGGTAGACTTTTCCCCGGATGTTGACATCCACCACACGTGTCGCTCCGTCCTTGCCTGGGTAGACGGCTTCCACTCTTCCCAATGGCCACTTTGCTCGTGGAAGATGGTCGTCGAGGCATAGCAGAACATCTCCAACCTGAGCTGACCTCTGAGCACGTTGCCACTTGGTAGACAGGTTCAACCGTGAGACAACCTCTCTCTTCCAGCGCCTCCAAACTACCTTCAGTAAATGCTGGATGATGTCGAAACGCCGATGAGGATGAGCTCGCTCAGCCAACTCTGCCTGTTCCTCCAGTGGACTCGTGACTCGAGCGTGTCCCACCAGAAAATGGTGAGGCGTCAATGGCTGAGGGTCCGCGGCATCAGTAGAAACCGCAGTTAGTGGCCTAGAGTTGAGTAACCCTTCCGCCTGAACAAGAGCAGTATGCAGTTCCTCATCGGTAAGATCCGCTTTATACAAGACTGTCTGCAGTACTTGTTTCAATGAGCGAACGACCCGCTCAAACACACCACCAGTGTGAGGCGCCCTCGGGGGGTTAAAAACCCACTGTGTCCCTTGGGCTGCCAACGCTGCTGAGACATCACCAGTACCAAGACTTTGTACAGCTTCACGCAACTCCCGCTCTGTCCCGACGAAATTCGTCCCATTATCTGAGAGGATCATGGTTGGGGTTCCACGGCGCTTGGTGAAGCGTACCAGGGCCATTTTAAAACCGTCCGTGTCTAAGGAGTACACTACCTCGAAATGGCAAGCCCTGGTTTGCAGGCATGTGAAGATCGCTGCATACCGCTTTTCCTGGACACGTCCGCGGCCACGTTTTACGTAAAACGGCCCAGCAAAGTCGACTGCTGTACGTGAGAAGGCGAGTAGCTGACCTTCGGTTCTGAAATTGGGTAGCGGACCCATCGCTGGTGAGTACGGCTTGTTCCACAAACGTTTACAGCCGACACAGGCCTGACGATACCGCTTTACCGTCTGTCTCCCCTTTACGATCCAGAACTTGTCAGCTAGCTTCGATAGCAGGTGGTTGGTACCAATCGAGTGTGAGCATTGCCGATCTTCTTCTGCAATGACCAATTCCGTCACCCGATGCTTCTGAGGTAATATCAAGGGACACCGAAACTCACTGGCCAGATGATGAGCCGTCCTCAGTCTCCCGCCAACTCGTAACACCGGGACTTCAGCGCTGCTGTCCAGGAACGGCCGCAGCTTGACAAGAGGTGATGAGGATGGTAGTTCCTTGCCGTTCATCAGAGTGTGGTACACGTCTGGGTACTGGTCTCTCTGTGATCGCGCCACCCAATACTGCTCAGCACTGTCAACCTCTGCTGCTGAAAGCTCCGGCACATTAAGAGAAGAACATTGGCTGCCCAAGTTCACTTCAACCACGGGGGCCTCCCCCGTGCTGGTATAAGCTTGTTCTCCAGCGCGGGCTGACTTGAGGCAGTGGATAAACCGGCGACACCAGGCTGTTACACGTAGGAGATGAGGCCACGCAGAGTAGTTCCCGGGGTCCAGTCGAGTCTCAGCAGGATGACACTCAACTGCATGTAGGCTGACCATGGCAGTAGCTACCTTGGATACTTGCATGCATGGAAGGACGGAGGGCACGGCAATCATTTTCTTTGGCCACTGGTCAGCACCGAAGGAGAGGAATCGAGGCCCAGACCACCACGTTCCCCGTTCCACGAGTTGCTGGGCAGAGAGTCCACGAGTAGGAAGATCAGCGGGATTCTCCTTTCCGGGAACATGCTGCCACTGCGCAGGACGCGAAAGACGCTGGATTTCTGAAATGCGGTTGCCGACGTCAACCTTAAACTTTCTACTGAGCGAGCGAACCCAGTAGAGGACGTTCATCGAGTCTGTCCAATAGTTGACGTCATCTGTTCCAACACCAACCGCTCCACTGACGTACTCACCCAGGCGTGCACCGAGTACTGCACCCTGCAGCTCAAGCTGAGGGATCGTTCGCCGCTTGATGGGAGCCGGCCGCGCCTTTGCCATGATCAACGTGACACGTGCTCCGCCATCACTCTCCGCCACTCGCACATAAGCTGCTGCGGCATATGCCAATGCGGAAGCGTCCGTGAACACATGGACGGTGATGTCGTTGACCCAATCATCTCCCTTGAAACAGCGACGGATCTTGAGGTGAGAAAGAGTGTCGAACTCACTAAACCACCGGCTCCATGAAGCAAGATGAGCATCTGGCAGCGTGTCGTCCCAGCCGATTCCAGAGAGACATAACTCTTGGAACATTATCTTGGCCCTTATGGTGAATGGCGACAGCTGACCCCTTGGGTCGAACAATGTTGCCATGCGGCTCAAGACTGACCGCTTCGTGAACACTGTCGGAGATGATCCCTTGTAGTGGAACGTGAAGTAGTCCCCCTTGACCATCCACTTCACACCTAAGGCTTTCTGGGACACCTCAGGATGCGAGGGGCTCTCTGCAATTGACCTGGACTCTGCCGCGGCCCGCTCCTCAGCAGGAATAGACGCCATGACCTCTGGGCTGTTGCTTAGCCACTTACGTAGCGTGAACCCGCCACGCTTCAAGAGGGCCTGAGTCTCCACTCGAGCAAGAATCGCCTGCTGTACGTCACGTAGCGACTTGAGAAGATCATCGACATAGAAGGAGTCCCGCACAATGTCGCTGGCAATAGGATCATACTGGTCTCCAAAGCGCTCGGCAGTAGCTTGCAAGGCTCGTCCAGCTAAATAGGGTGACGCCTTGATCCCGAAGACCAGCCGCATGAATTCGTACGTCTCAACTGTTTCGCCAGGCTGCCATAGGAACCGGTGGTATCTTCGGTCTTCTGGGGAAAGGGACACCTGGAGAAACATCTCCGAAACATCGCCCATCAGTGCGATAGGCTCAAGGCAGAAGCGAATCAGGAGCTTCACGAGGTCGGCCTGCAGTTTCGGTCCAGCCAACATCAAGTCGTTCACAGCAACATTATTTGCTCTGGCGGCAGCATCAAAAACAACGCGGACTTTAGTCGTTGCCTTATCCTCCCGTATAACAGCGAAATGCGGCAGATAACACTGTGATGAGCCGCATTGTTCAACTTCCTCAGTTGTCAGTTTCCGGATGTAGGACTTCTGCAGGTAGTCTTCCAGGACCTTCGCATACCTTGGCAGCATACCTGGCCGTCGCTGCAGCGATCGCATGAGTGCGCGGAGTCGGTTCTCAGCCAGCACCTTGTTGCTCGTGACATCAGGCTGCTTGGCGCCGTCCTTCCAGGGGATTCCGACTTCAAACCGACCGTCCTTGTAGTTCAGGGTTCGCTGAGTTGAAGTCACCGCTTGCTGCTCGTCCGGAGTCAAGTACTGGTCTGACTTTGGTAACATTCCAACCGCTTCAAGATCCCAGAAACGACTCACCAGGTGGTCCAAATTGGTACCAGCAGTGGTCACCGCATGGAACGTCGAATGCGTCGGTGTGGATGGACATAGTACTGGCCCAAAACAGACCCATCCGAGAGGAGTCTTCCGAGCAATAGGGTCACCATCGCCTCCATGACGTTCCTCATCCGCACGGTGAAGCACTGGTGAGTTCAAGCCAATCAGCAAGTCGAGGTGATTGTCTCCTGCTGTCTTGAACGATACGTCACGAAGATGTGCCCAGTTGTCCTGAATCTCCTTCCAGTTCACCAATCGCAGATCCGTCGTTACTCTGGGCAGGACATATGCCTCAAGCTCCGTAGCCTTGTCACCACCATCATGCTGGACCGCTAGCGTCACCACTTGGAGAGTGTCGTTAATTGCGCCACCACCGATAACGCCGACCGACACTTTCTTCCTGCTCCCCCCTAGACGGAGACGCCTAGCCAGACGCTCTGAGACATAGCTGCACGAGGATCCTGAGTCCAGGAGGACGTTGGCTGTAGCCTTCGCTGTACCACCTCTGACTTCTGCCTGCGTGACCATAAAGGATGTTAGCCCAGCATTGGAGTCGTCTGTAGCTGCTGTTGCATGCGCCGTGTTTTCACTCGCAGCCGGACTGGTGGACGCAGCTGCCTTACTGGAGGGCAGTGATGGCTTTGACTCGTGCAGAAGCGAGTGGTGCTTGCCACGGCAGTGAGGGCAACCGGAAGCAGCATTGCAGTCACGCGCCCAGTGACCTTCTCTTAGGCAGCAGAGACACAAATTCAGTAGACGAACCAGCTCGTTACGTCTCGACGTTGAGAGTGCCTTGAACTCATTGCAGTTAGCGAGCTGATGCGGACCACTACACTTGCGGCACCTCTGTCGTGCTTGCTGCTGTGTCTTTGAGTGGCCAGACGTCTTGATCGGAGCTTCTTGAGGCCTTTTTGGCGCCGTAGCTTCAGTGCCTATGAAAGACCGTTGCTGCACGGGGCGCTGAACAGCTTCATGATGCCTTTTTCCATGGGAGGGTTGACGGTCTGGCTGCTCGGTACGGTCATTGGCATACTTTGCCGTCTTCACCTTTTCTAGTAGCCAGGTGGCAAACACCTTGATGTCGGTGTTACCGTCTCCGTGCCTCTCAAAATACCTGATGAGCGTTGTCCTCGGCACCTTTTCGGTAGCAATGATGCACAGCTCAGGGCCCGGTTCAGAGCCGCACAGCTTCATGTTGGCGATTAGGCTGCGTAGCTTGACCGCATACTGCTGCAGACCCTCCACGTCCCTTTCGTTAGTGACTCGGGGATGGTTGAGCAGATCTCGGATTTGTTGCTCCAAGTGTCGATCTGTGCCACCAAACCAAGACTCCAGCTCCGCCCACGCGGCGTCATATGCTCCGGGGCCGTCCAGAAGGTCTTCAATGAGGATAGCGGCTTCTCCGCCAGCAACGGCCTCGCGAAGGCGAGCCATTTGGTACTCCTCAGGCAAAGATGAGTCGGCTACTTGCAAGAACCTCTGCCGCCATTGGATGTAATCGCGCCCTTTTCCACTGAACTTCGGCACTTCTATTGGCTTCAACCAAGAATGCCCATATGGACTGATGTGTGGAGCAGCAGGCTGTGCATACTGAGTCTGATATTGACTGTGAGCACTAGGCGCGGCTGCCTGTGCAGAAGGCCGGTAAGCTCTTGGTGCAACACTGCGTCTTGGAGATGGAAATGCAGTCTTAGCTGCGTGAGCTGAGGGTAGTGGTGGAAGAACTGAAGATGAAAATGCAGTAACAGGCTTGGCGTGAGGACGTTGCTGTACAGAAGGCATTGCTCTCGCTCTGAATGCTCCACCACCCTGCCCTTGAGTTTGACTGGGTGCTCCACTCACAACTCTGTTCACTGCGACTCCAGGTGTACCAGTACCACTACCTGCACTAGCAACGTAGGCAGCACTAGACACTTGAGTAGCGGAGTGTTGATGATGTTGAGGCTGTCCCACAAGCACACTACTCTGAGTAACACTAGCAGTTGTGAATGTAGCTGCATGCACAGCGTGACCTGGAGGTTGCAACGAGGATCGAGTTCCAGAGCTAGTATCAGCGCTGCTGCCCCTGCCTTGCATTCCTGGACTGCCTCTAAGTGCTAGTGCACCTCTGGCCCTAAGCCTGCTATCAGGGTAATCACCCACTGTCCCATCATCTTGAGCAGCTCCATGAATGGCATGATCCCTTTGATCAGCAGCAGCGGCAGCAGGCGTTTGCCAGGGAACAGCAGTGCTGCATCCGTCAGTGACGCCACTGTGATACATACCAGTACTATACATAGTCACTACTGATGCATCATCATCACTACAAGCTCTCAGGCTGGAACTGACACCAGGGTCTCCAGAAAACTCCGTTCCTCCGTCATCAGCACTACGTGGCGCGCTGTGGGCAAAATCTTCGCCCTCTAGCTCTTCCTCTAGAGGCTGCGCTGACAAGTCACCATCGCCACTGGGCTGGCTGGCTGACTCCAAAACTCCTGACTCAAGGAGCGAACTAACTTCTGCCAGCGGAGAACAATCCTCGTTCAACTTCTCAAACCACTTTTCCAACTTCTCCAATCCTTCAAAATCTGCATCGTCTCGCAATTGATTCCTGTGGTCCTCGACCACTTCTTCGATTTGTTTTACTATTCCTTCGGCGTCAGCCAGGTACTTTTTGAGGTACCTCGCACTCGGCGACGACTTCCCATACTCCGTGTTCAATACCTTCAGCAGGTTGGTCAGTCTTCTCCGCAGGGAGGCACGAAACTTTACATAGTCGTAAGTCACACTTTGGGCTGGAGGTGCCTGCGAGCTGGTCTCCGGAGCGTCAGCTTCGGTGTCCTGCCCATGCTCGCCAGACAGCTCTCCACTCCCCGCGACAGTAGTGGTTTCTTCGTCGTCCATGTCTTCAAAATGCACGCATCCCGTCGGAGGTGCCAGTAATGTTTCGAATTGCGTGCTTGGCCCAAAATGACCCAACTCTCACAAGATCAAAGAAGCGCACAAATATTCAACATAGACAAAAACTTCTTCTTGTTCCAACCAAAAACCCAACACAAGAGCTTCCCTGTCCTACAAAAAGTCACAGCAAAAAATGTAAATCAGCTGTTACGCATGCGCTGCCTACAACGGCGGGAAACTGAAAAGAGCAGGCACGTGCATGATATTACAATCACCAATAAAACCGCACAGCAAAGGGGTAGCTACACTTGAGATGAGAACAGGCCAAACATCATGAATGAGAAGCGGGAGTCACTCGGCCACACAGACCAATGAAACACAACAGATAGTCTATACACAACACATCATCATCATCATCATCATCATCATCATCATCATGGTTTTGTATTCTCTTCGAGAAATCATAATTATACCCATTCATGAAGGCTTCCAGGTACATCTTGCAATAACGTAGTGCTATGGAGTAGCCTTCTGTCATGTCAGCTGCCAGGTCTTGACATGAACCAATTTGGTACTTTTGAGTACCTACATACCCGCGATGTGTACCCAGATTTCCAATTCATTATGCCTTGTGAACACCCTCTCCTGCAGAGTTCAAGTGTGCAGTGAACTCTGACACGCTCCCCCCCCCCCCCCCCCCCCCCCACCTCCCCACATGTACCCGTGTTGATTTCATTATGCAATTTATGGCTTGTGAACACCCTCTCCTGCAGAGTTCAAGGGTGCAGTGAACTCTGACACGCCCCCCCCCCTCCCCACATGTGCCTGTGTTGATTTCATTATGGCTTGTGGACACCCGCTCTCGTAGATGGTATCTTTCAAGTGTGTTGTGAGGTTTTACACCCCTCCCCCTCCCAACCCCCCTCCCCCCCCCCCCCCCCCGGCCCCAACCACTGTGATGCCATCAATGCATCATGGGTAGGGAGCACTACCCATCAAGTCAACCCACACTGAGCCTACATGCCTTCTTCGCCTTACCATGCAATGTCTGCTAGCATGCTGGTCTTAGAATTAGGCAGCGCCGTCATGCATAGTGGATTGTGACATACACTGTATCTTACGTCTGTAGGTGATCATGATCGACCCAATCCCCAACAAATGCACAATCATACACTGAGTTACTGTAGCCGAGCACTTACAGTGAATATGTCGTTGCTTGATTCACGGATGGGAAGTTGGGAACCTACAATACATGTATCTGGAAACGAGTCGATTTACAAAATACCACTGTAATCAATTCGTGTTTTGATGTTGGCTGCAGTACTGAGTGGCAATACTTCATATTTCGTGCAGGACGGTCGTTGTGTCTACGATGGTGTGTGTGTGGGGGGGGGGGGGGGCACGGTGTATGTGTGCGTGCGCGTGTGTATGTGTGGGTGATCAGCGATAACTACCTGTATGTGTATGCCGCTTGCCAGCAGGTTTCCGAGCGGTGGACACCGAATATACGACGCTTGCCCGTTACCCATTCCACCGTGATGCATGCAGTGGTAGCGGCAGAAAAGCGGCTGGCTGCACACTCCCAAAGACACTTTGAAGTACATGGAATAACTAACATACCACTGCATTTGCTAGGAGTATGAGTATGAGTATGACAGTATGAGCGCTTGCATCGTTCCCAGAAGCCAGCAAAGTTACTTGGGCGACATCCACATCAGAGCCGTTGCACGTTGGTAGCTAGCTGGCTACCGACTGCATCAGCCGTCTAGTCTGGCTAGGTAAAACTCTGCACCTAAACTAGCAGAGCGGTGTAGGTCAGTGTCATCATGGGTATGCCAGGCACACATAATTACCAGTATTGCCTTCACTTCAGCACACGACGCACCGTGATACTGATGCACGGACGGTGGCTGAGGGGTAGGGCGGATACCTGACCACATGGCCCCGTAGTAAAAAAGGGAAAACGACCTGGCGTGCTCGTTTGCTTGCTGATCAGTTCAGCACAGGGTCTTTCCAGAGATCGGTTGGTGTATTTTTTTCTTTCTTTGATCCATCATCGTCGCTGTTTCGTCGCTGCCTGCTGAGTGACTATTTGGAGGTAACCAGAAAACCGCCAGGATGCCTTCTGTGTTCCACACGAAGACCATCCAGGAGATCCTGGAGCCCGTGGCTGAAAAGGTATGTTGTGTTGACTCTGATCTCGGGATCAAGCAGTTTTATGTACTGGCTGTAATAGTCAGTCGGAACGAAATTGTTGGACGTGTTGCTCCTAGACTGCATACAGCGCTTGTTACTAACTAGTTTTGTGAGTGAAATTTCCCAGCGAACGTGTGAAGTCTTGTTCCTGGCGCTCGCCCAAAGTTGTATGCGAGCAGTAGGTTAGTGGAGACGAAAATCGTGTTAGACGCGTGCTACATAGACGTCAGGTCGTAGGGTTCAAGAGTTCAAGCTCGCACTCCATAGCCTAACACATGTGAGGAGACCTCCGTCTCCGACAAAAATTATGCTCGCGTGCATTCGTGTCTGTTGAGAATGTGCGTGTTTGGGGAAATCAAGGAGTAGAACTACTCCCTGGCCTGGGGGAAACTGAGCTCCGTCGTTATCGCGTGAAACGCGCAGGGGCGAGGCTGCTGCCAGCGAGGTGGGGTTGAAATAGTTCCCGCGAAGCGTGTCACACTGCCGCTCGATCCTACCGGTTGATGAAGGATTCACCGGTCTGCCATCGTGTTCAACACAGTCACTCGTCAGTTCACGTGCCTAAACGATTCTGCACACAGGCGGTTAGCACTGCACTGCCAGCATGCAGGAGTCGGTATTCGATGGGCCACAACATGTAGAAGTGAACACAGGGGAATACCCGTGTCGAAGGGTTTTTAAAGTTAAAAAGCTGCATGGTAGTGCATTACACCTCAGAAACGCGTCCACAACACATCTTTTTCACAGCAGAAAACTACAAACTTCAAGCAATATCAACCACAAGCAATAGACCGCAATAGAAGGATTTCACCAAATTGGTTTGGGTGAAACAAAGGAATAATAATTATGATCATGATAATCATCACAACAGTGGTAATCCCAGCCTTACAGGAAAGTGATGAAGTCAGCGAAGAAATAATGTGTAAAAACAGGGGAAAGCAGGAAGAAGTGAGAAGTGAGATAAGAATGGCAAAGAATTCACAGTGCAAAACAAACGCCCAAGAGATGCCCCCCTCCCCCCTGAGAGGCCCCCTCTCACATTAGTCCTGACATTTTCTATTGGGTGTTTACTGTTATACTATGAAATCTGACATGATACCTATTGTCTCACTTCTCACCATAATCACCTTCCCGTCAGCGGCCTCACCTTGCACGTTATCTCTTCGCTGGATTTATCACTCACGCAGACATAATTGTAATGGTTACCACTGCTGTGATGCTATGGTATAACATCACACAGTGGTAGAATGAGGTTGAAGGCACCACTGCAGCTGTATACTTATGGTTGATTAAAATGGTGAGCTTTGCAGCCTAGAGAGCATGTGTGGGCAGGCGTGTACTTACCGCCATACTGCCAGGTGTGTCTTTACCACCATTATCAATCAACAGCAGTGGTAACCCGACATCATATCCCTTTGTTCCATAGGACTGCTTGCTTGTAGTTGTACTTCACTAGAGAGAGGAACCCATGAAAACTCTGGGTTTGTGAAATCCTAGAGTCCCAATGTTCGTGGTTGAGAGCTTGAAGTTTGCCAGTATAGTTTTCTTGCTGGTGCAGTATAGGCTTCTTTTCTCAAGGAAAGTGTCTGTTCAAACATCTATTTCCTAGATGTTTCTGAGGATTTCGTTCATTGCAATATTGTGTAGTACATGGAATATGGTCACATATAAGTATACTTGTGGCGTTCTTCATGAATGAAACGTCCTTGTCTTCTTTATGAATATCAGACAAATTCACCCAGCGCTTTCTGCTCTACTCTGGTTCAGGGTGACAAAAAGAAAGCGTTTGTTTTGAACGGCACATGCGAATGAAGACTTGCTATATGGACCAGTGTTGGCTTGACATCCTATGCCACAACGTGGTATCGTCCGCCTCGAGTTAATTGGAGAGTTCGGACATGGTGTACATTGTACAGTCAGACCTCGCATAATCTCGCACACATCCGTTTTCCACTAAAATATCCGGATAGGCGAGGGAACCGGATAATCGAACAAACATACTGTATGTATGCATGGCATATGCTGTAAATCGGTAACCAACGATTTTCTTCCGGATGGCGAGGGATCCGGATAAAAGAGGGCCGGATAAGCGAAGTCTGACTGTATATGCATGTACACTGGCAGCTCAAGCACTCACACTCACCCCATAATGTGCCTCTAGTGGCATGGACTTCCTAACTGCAGCTTTTCAACCTCTCCTCTCCAAGGCACATCATCATGGTGGTGTATTATTCTCTACAGGATACTCTCGATTCTACATTGATCAAGAGTCTGGATGTGATATTGTCGCACTCGTATGTTCATGTGTGTTTGTGTGTGTGTGTGTGTATGTGTGTGTGCACATGTGTGTGTGTGTGTGTGTGTGTGTGTGTCCCATATGGTGCAGTGGTATGTGCAGTCGATTTCCAATCGAGAGGTTGCGGGTTCAATTCCCGACGATTATGGTCGCACACATCTTTCTTCTCTTTCTCGGTCTCTTCCTGACTTTTCTTTCATTCTGCTGGGTGGTTACCAACAGCCAGTGTATGCCGGAGTATGTGGTGTGGTGTGTGTGTAGAAAAAAAAAGAAAAAAGAAAAAAATGGAAAAATGAAAAATAGGGATTCACTGGCCAGAAAAAGTCACTTCAATCAGCTGTGTGGTGGATACCAGGCTAAAAATAGTGGCGGTCAATTCATCAGCCTTGCAAGCTGTTGAATGGTGTAATCCCAGCACAAGTTGCTATGTCTAACATAGCTGTTCGCTATCATCGCTTCCGCGATGGGCAGGTCTGAGGTCTGAGGTCTGAGGTGTGTGTGTGTGTCCATGTCCTCTATCTTGTGCTCACTCAGATCTCCACGATGGTCATCCTGGATGAAGAGGCCAGTCAGGGCGGTACCATGCCTGACCTGACACCACAGGTTGATGTGGTGGCAGCGGCCGTTACAACCCTGGTCACGGTAAGGGACCTGCTTGCGATGCACATACGATGTCAGCAAACCCCCGATTTCTTTCCAGCACGAATGTGGGTTGTCTTTTTGCTTAGTTATTATATTTCACGCAATTGGCGTTGTGAATAAACTCGTTCTCAAGCAAACCCCAGATCAGAACCATTGGATGAGACAAACTGTACTAGTATAATAAAGATCCCGAGGACGAGCAGCGCTGTTACAAAACTATGGTCCAAGCAGTGACTATCACATACTTCACATGAACACCCGGCCCATCCACAGAGGGACAGGTACACGTAGGTTGTGCCAGCAATAGGTGGCACTGCAACCAGAGATGCATATGCAGTTCTTGACGTACGCAGAACAGGGATTCGTGATATAACTTTACAATTACAATTAGACCAACGCATATGGCCGATTGGTTTGCTGGCCTGCCTGCGAATCATGAGGTCCCGAGTTCAAGACCCGCGCTGGTAGCAGGGAGCATGTAAAAAGACTTTTTACGCGTGTTGAACTGCGCCGACATCCACGGTCAACTGGGTACTCACAGCTCGGAGTGAGAATAACAAGGATGCAGTTTACAGGGTTATGGGCCGTTACACACCTGATTGGTTGAGAGACTAACCTCCTCTCCCCTGACTCACTTGTGAGGTCTGCATTCGCCACTAAGGTGAACAGGCATAGTGGTGGCCTGCGGATGCGAAGGCTAGTTTGTGTGCTTCTGAACATTCAAGCGATGCCGACGCGAATCCCGCGAATATTATTATTAGACTCGGGTGGAGAGCCAAGGATTAATTTATAAGAAAATAAGACCGGGACCGAGGAGCTACAGAGCTACATGTTATCACAAGAGCTGATTGTAAAGTAACTGGTAGTGTTAGTGGATATTGTAGCCTAACCTTTGGTCCTCTTATTTTCTTATAAACTTTACAGTTGCTTTGAATTTTTGGAGTCTTCTTCAAACTGATCGTACACGTTAATGCACATGGCATGCATCAAGAAATATTCATCCAAAGCTTCTACTTGCCAGTTGGTTTTGCAGACTCTTGTACACTCGTTGCTAAGAACCTGCCATTCTGCCTTTGTTTGTGCTGTGCACAATGATGCAGGTTGGTGAGCAAACAGCTGACGACAGTGAGGACCCGATCTTGAAGAAGGAGCTGCCGAGACCCTTGAAGAGTGTGCAGAAGTCGGCTGACCAGTTGGTGGAGGCCGCGCAAACATTGAAAGAGAATCCGGTCAGCCTGCCAGGGCGACGGCTTCTGATCGTTGGTGCTAGAGGTACGGGAAAGCAATTCTTCATGCACTGATCTGTTGATGTAGTTATCGTACCTGCATATCCTATTCCTATAGTACAAACGTCCGAGGGTAAAGTGGGGGAGGGGAGGGGGGGGGGATACCCTCTTCCAAGACCAATGTAGTTTTTACTCTGGTGCTGTCACTTAAATTAATTCATCATAGCCTAGGAGCTGTGGCATCATTTATGATGCATCATCTACTATGATGATCCACAGCAAGAAGGCAGCAATGCCTGCACCTATGGTGAAGTAACATAAAGATAAGATAACATAGTAATAGTCGGCGGCATGGTTGAACAAAGGCAAGTCACAATGTTGGGAGTCAGGTCTGCTTTGAGTGCCTTGAGTTTTCAGGGCATCTTGGTCCATTGGGGTTACAGGAGAGTTGGGACCAATATGGCCGAATAATTCTATCTATTGGGGCCCAATTTCCCGAAATCACAGTATTTCACTGGAGAGGGCCCCCGAACACGCATAGCCGCACCAATGTAGAATATCGTCCGACGCACCTGGGTTACAATGCGCACAGCTTTAAACAGTACTGTTGCATGGGCGTCGGACACGGTACGGTCACTACGGCATAGACCGTACCACTTTTTTGCTCCAGGTGCCCCATGAATCAATAAAATACACTGATCTGGGCCGTCTAAATTTCCAAAATTTTCGGCTCAGCCACCACTCCCCCACGAGTGAATTGTACTTCAAATGGCTGACCGTACCACACTAAAATACCTTCCGATGCCCTATGTTGCCATTGTCCTCCTCGACCTGTCTGTGTTATGTTAGGTATCCTGCAAGGTATCTCCGACCTGCTGATCACAAATGATGAGTCCGAAGTCAGGACAATGGTGGCGGCGTGCCGTGGCTCCCAAACAGTGCTGCGCGATGCGCACATCGTCCGTGGCATTCCCAATCTCATCGAGTTCATCAAAGGTCTGACACCGTCGCTGACCGAGACCAGCAAGCATGTCGATCGCCGTCAGAAGGAGCTGACTAACGCCACACACGCAGCTGAACTAGTCGACCACTGTGACCATGTAAGCGTGAGGAGCCGCGTTATGCACAGCCAAAAAATTGGTATCATGAAAGATGGTGCTGCATGGATCATGTATTAGTTGACGGAATGAACAGGGATGAATGTCCACAGTGTCTTTTAAAATCGGGTTGGAGAAGGGCAGTGGGGAGGGCAGTGGGGAAGGGCATGTGGCGATGTTTTCTCCAGCCCACCCTGATCACGAATGCACATCTTACTCATTACTTGCCATTTAAAAAGCAATTTGGTGCGCGTTCTTGGTTCACCAAGTTTGAGCAGCCCTACTGGTATAATGGTTTCTTTACTGATAAGCTCACTCAAAGTATAAATGCCGAATCCTTTGAAAAAACCTCTTCAATTGTTTTTGTTTCTTGTTGCTCATAGCTTCGAAAGTTTGTACCAATGCTAATCTCATCTATCAAGCTCGTCTCTCATCTGGAAGCACGTGGTGGCGCTCGGTCGCGCGAGGCCAACGATAACCGCGACTTTGTCGTCAAATCCATGAACGAGCACATTGAGGAGATCATCCGCATCCTGCAATTGAAAACCGACCGCGATGAGCTAGCGCAGGTAACAATATTGTCCACTATCTAAGGTTCCGTGACCTGAGACTTCACATGTCTGCCGAATGTCTCACTGATCCTTGCAGTTAGGGCATATTCCCCCAACATTAACGTGACATATGCCGGTCTTGTCTCCTGCAGGGCGACTTTAAGAGCTTGATTGGAAAGATCCTCGGCAAAGGAGAGACTACAGAAGACTTCCTGTCCGATGACTTCAAACTTGCACAGGACTTCCTTTCAAGACGTAAGAGAAAATTTTAGTCTGTCATGAGGGGACGTTTAAAGTTGTCTGATTACCTCCGTCATGATCATGCTTCTCTCAGTTATGAATGCCTTTGTCTAGGCAAGTCGTAATCATAGAACACGAAAAATTCTTCCTGTCATACCGTTACACAGGAAATATATACACGTACTGATCCCACATCATCGAGTCACGTGCAGACCTTGATCTCTGTGCTTATAGGATGTCCCAGTAGTCCATTTCTTCCGACTCTAGCTAATGCAATAAACACTGTGATGCTGTTTCTGCAGTCGACCCACGTGATGCCGATGAAGGATTCCGCGCCCTGGATGAGTGCATTCGGCAAGCCAGGCAGCTTGCCAGCCAGATGGAGGACGGCGAGGAGAAGGATGAGATCCTGCGACGGGCAGAGGAGCTGGAACGTCTCATCAACCAGCTTAAACGACTCCGCGATCAGGGCAAGGTAAAACAAAGTCACGTGTAACATGTTACGCATGCTTGAGTCCTGAGCAGGTCCACAATGTCTTTTCTACACATGTGGACCGTGTAGGTAAATACCCTATCATGCACCTCTATCCAGTCAGAGAAAATTCATTGATACCTGTGATACGTGCAGGGAAGACATGTGTCTCGCTAGTGAACAGAGCATCTCAAACAAAACACTGCCACTTGCTTTAGCTGAGCTTCAATTACTTGTTTGTCAATGTATTGGACACATGCGCAGCTGGACACGCCTGAAGCGCGAGCACTGGCCGACGAGATTGCCCGAAAGATCGCCGAGCTGGAGCAGAAGATGAAGGAGGCCATTGCCAAGCAGGTGAGTGTGAACGTTGGCCACTGTGCTCCCTGGGGGTGGGTGGCCGGTGTGGGGTTAACAGCCACTATGGACATGGCCATGGTTTTACTGTACACCGAGTTTCGGACAGTTAATGTGCATAGCAAATTGCACTATTATTGTGAAACCTCGCCGAACATCATTTCCTTTATCTCTGGCTTTTCCAACCTTGTTGCTACATATTTGCACTTGGGTATGCTGAAAGGCCATATATCTGTAAAGTTGGTCTTTAAAGGCATAGACATGTATGGGTGGTATCAAGAGTATATAACCCCCCCCCCCCCCAAGAGTGTGCAACTCTGCATACCGTATTATCTCTAATATAAGCACAGTCTCCAATAATAGCACGTCTCCAATAATAGAACACCTTGGGGCGGCAGTCAAAAAATGAAGTGCTCAGGCTCCATTATAAGCACACTGTGTAAATTCATTATCTGTACCGGCGAAAAACCCTGAAATGTGTGTGTCCCACATGAATTTGGCATGGCAACATACCTCTGAAATGAGGTTGAAATAATAATGGAACAGTCTCTAATAAAGGGACGTCTCCATTAATAGCACGGGGCGGAGGTACATTGAAAAAATAAAGGACCGTGCTTATATTAGAGATAATACGGTATGAGGTCTCCGACGACGAAAACTCACATCACGTGTCTCAGGTACGTTCGTACTACGTACAATGTCTGCCATGATCATGCCGGGGATTTGCATACCCGCAGTGAGTTAGAGTGCTTCTTTTATTTCTCCGCTGCTCGCTACAAATGGGCTGGAAACGTACAACTGCGACACTACACCACGTGATGTGAGTTTTTCGCCGTCAGCGCACCCCATAGAAAGGGTGTTAGGAGTTGCACACTCTTGGGGGGTTATATACTCTTGGTGGTATGACCAGCCATTAGAGGTGCTACTTTGTGACCCCTCCGCTAAAAGTGGTGAAATTTATGGACAAAACCCTTGCATTTCAATTTTCAACGTGAACAGTGTAAAAAAAACTGAGCAAGAAGTGGTACAGCCTATACCATGGCAGCTGCTACGTGTCCAACCCCCTGCATGATTGCAATGCTATCGTACTCGCTTGTCATCATGCTCTCCATGTATTCGCACGTGTGTCTCAAAGGTTGCAAAGGACTTCCTCGACCCGACCGGACCAGCCAAGAGAATGACAAACGCCGCACTTGCAGATCCGTCAGGTTGGTGAATTTCATTCATGATTGTGCTTAGGTTACGGTAGTTCTAGTGGCGAGCTGCTCCTTAGCGGCTTTTGTCTGTTCACTCGCAACCTTAAATTCACAGGGTTGTAGCACCTGGTCCTGCCAGTTCGGCCATGGTTGGACTTTATTTCGAAAACGTTGACCAACCCAATCCATGCCCAAAGGGAATTTCACCAATACTGGGCATTTTTCCTGTGAAGTATCCCGTTTGGCCAGACCACTTGAAATCCCAGTGTTACAATCCTGTTTCACGAACTAGAAGTACAGCGTTCTGTGCAGAATCCATTCTCTTCATTGTAAAACTACTCCTGTAGTCCCATGCGCATGACTGTACACGAGTGCATACAAGTGCATGGATTCGTTCAATGCATTCAGTGCTTGATTCCCGCATATCACGCTGATCTCCATGCATTTGGATATGACCATGGTGTTCCTGCACGCTTCAGATCCCGACCGAGAAGAGAAGTTTGAGGCGAAGGCCAAGGAGTTCAATGACCATGCGCGCAGTGCGGCGCGGACGGCGCTCAACGTAGCGCGTCACGGTGGCGTGCAGGACGAGGAGACTGTCATGGATATCATGGACACCATCAAAGGCGTGAGCGAGGGCAGTAGTTAGCTGACGAGCGGGTTCTGTGCCGGGAGGGGGCGCCCTGCCCCAAAATTGGGCAGGGCATGTGCTTAGGGCACCACAGCACATGTACACAGCATAAACCAGTGATATGTAGCACGTAACTGTAGTAACTGCACAGTAGCATCTTTACATCCTCTGCATGCCTTTGATCCTAGAGGGTGGTGGCGTTCCCACGGCGGATGCGGAAAACTCGGCTTCCAGCCGAGTCTCACGCGAACCGTGAAATTTATTTATATGCTGCACTAAGTTTATGTGAATGCCCGGTGTTTGAAGACAGTCTTTGTAGATAAGAATAATAGATATGTTTTTGTAGCTAAATTTGTCAAGAACCAAAGGAGGCACATATTTGTGCATTCCAATGCAATTTATGCATGATTTCGTGGAACACCAAAATGCTTCATCATTTGATACTTTAAACATTCTGTTACTGGCTCTATGCTAGTAGGCATACTGCCTCACCTTGAGTCACGAGTTCCCTCGGGCATGCAGTGGAGATAAGCAGTATGTTTATCGTCACAGTATGGAGGAAACTCCCGCATAGTCCACTGGATAGTGGACTGCCTAAAGTGAGTTAGTGAGTTTTAACTTGAAATGCTCTGGGCATTTCACTTTAAAAAGCGAGTTAGTTAATTTCCTACAAAGCTCAATGGCTTGGGATTGCAATTGAAAACACACTGGTGTAAACCGGTACTTGATTTCCGCGTGGCATGGTGTTGTGTGTTTGGCTAGGTCGAGGCACTAGCACCGCAGCTGACCGGCGCGTCTCGCATCGTCCTTGACAATCCTGGCGATGAGGTGAGTGCACGGGCCGCAGTGAGCGAGCAGTCATTATCCCACTTACGTAATGAGTGTAGTCAAGCTCATTTACAGTGCTGTTGGGTGCTAGGGTCCAGCGGATTCTGCCGGCAGAAAAATTGGCAGAATTCGGTACTTTTTCTGGTAAGTTTCATGCATGTTTGGTATGTGGATAAAGAAATGGAGCAGAATTCGAGGAATTGCCCGCCATAAGGTTTGAATGGTTCTGCTAATTTTACTGCTTTTCGAGCAGAATCCGCCGGTCCCTATTGGGTGCCGAAGAACGGACAGGCTCAGATTTCACCAAGTATGGCAAACCGATAAATCCTATTTTCCGGTCGCATCCACATTTTTTGTCACGAAATGCAGACATCTACCCTGTTTACCACCGCTAATTATTATTCGACCATCGTTGTATAAGCAGCACCGACTGTTTTGGATGAATTGCAAGCGCTTAGAGGTGCGGCTTATACTTTTGAAAATACGGTACACAGTGACTCCACAATGGTGCATTGACTGCTGTAGTGCATGGCACATAGGAACGGCCTTGGCTGCTGCAACTCTGATCCCCGGGTTCTTCAGCACCCGGCAGCGCTGCGAGACTAGATGTACTTCTGGGTGGCGATGTGCACGAGCATGTATGCCGCTCTCGGGCACTGCTGCAATGCCTTGGGCACAACAGTAAAGGGAATGCTTCACGTACACTGAAACCCGGCTGTCAAAGCCGACCGCTCAAGGGACTTTACAAATGTGGTCCACGCGTACAGGTGATCTTCTTATCCAGGGTCATTTGACTGGAAATAACATCCCTTGTTCCTGGTCATAGTGGTCCTCTTGAACAGGTCGCCGTCTGATCAGAGTGGTCACCTTGACAGGGTTTACTGCGTGAAAAAATGGTCTGGAAATTGCCTGCTCTTCCCAGTGGTCATCGTCTTCCTGCATGCTGTCAGTGATGCAACATTATACCAACATACTCCCCCCCCCTCCCCCTGTCTCCTTCTGATCGATGGTGTGCAGACGGCTGTTGATCACATGAACATGATGAAGAACGAGTACTGCAAGAAGATGGAGAAGCTGAAGGACCTGGTGGATCAAGTGACCGACAGCGTGGAGTTCTTGAAGGTATCAGGTAAGCCGGAACAAGCAGTGTTCAGCTTGAAGTAACACTTGTTTTGTATTTTATTATTTTACTTGGGCATTCCCAACAGACCCTAAGGCCTCCTTACAGGGTACCGAAGGTGAATAAATGTGTTGAGTTCCTGGAGAAATGAATTGGGGTGTGATTAGTGTCGTCCCAGTGTGTTCAAACGACAACTACAACAAGTGAATGTTGCGGTATCGCAACAGCACTAAGGATAAATGCCCACACACACACACAGACACTCCCTCGTCTGCTGGGAGTATGGATACTAACAGCTGCACTGTGTGCGTGTGTGTGTGTGTGTGTGTATGTGTGTGTGTGTGTGTGTGTGTGTGTGTGTGTGTGTATGTGTGTGTGTGTGTGTGTGTGTGTGTGTGTGTGTGTGTGTGTGTGTGTGTGTGTGTGTGTGTGTGTGTGTGTGTGTGTGTGTGTGTGTATGCCATACAGAGAAAGACATTTTCCAGGACCTACAGAAGGCCAAGGTTGCGTTGCGCGATGACGAAGGAGAAGTACGTACTTTTAAAATGCTACCTGTACTTTGAATTACAGGTACATGATTACAGGTACATGATTACAGGTACATGATTACAGGTACATGATTACAGGTACATGATTACAGGTACATGATTACAGGTACATGATTACAGGTACATGATTACAGGTACATGATTACAGGTACATGATTACAGGTACATGATTACAGGTACATGATTACAGGTACATGATTACAGGTACATGACTGCTGTATAGCCGACATTCCGCTTGTTGAGTGTTGTACTGCTTTTTTAAAGTTCGGAGCAGAAAATTGAGGCATGAACCCAGAGAAGAGGAAATGCACAGAGAAGCCGCCGCAATCCTCCATGGTAGCATTGCACACTGTGCGTAATAGGTCAAAATCCTGCAACCCAGTCCCAGTGGACAATTCATCCTACGGCTCAACACGAATCTGTGCTGCTCTGGTTCCGTTTCACTGCAGAAAGCCAATGAACGCGCGATACTTGCTGCAAAGCGCTGCCGCAGAGTTCTAGACGTCGCCAAGGGAGAAGCCGAGAACTCGACCGACCCGGAATACGTCAAGGCAGTCACAGAAGCATCAGAAGAGCTTGCCAGATGTAAGTTACATGTACCGAGCACGTTTCGCCCCGGCCTACTGAAATCCCGATCTAAATGCAGCACTGCCGCAGTCCATAGTGTGGCTTGTGTGTTGTGAACTAAAAACAATCGGGTTCCAGGCAGCTGTAACCAAGGGCGTTTCTCCAATCACTAGGGCACCCACTGATCACGGGAGGAAGTCAGCAACTGTTTCCCGTCGCAATAATCTCCGTATATTCATCATGATTTATGGCGTGTTCAAATAGTTTTCAAACTAAAAAGTTGAAATATCTTGCCCTAGAACTACCTGACAATTGCTATTACTGTGACCCTGGTTTTCTTCTTCCGCAGCAATCAAGCCGATGGTGAACAGCTGCAAGGACTCTGCCCAGGACACTAGCAACACTGCCAATCGCCAGAAGTTTGACAGCCAGGCTGATCGTGTAAGCTATTACTTCAAACCAATGTACAATTCTCCCGGCATGCATGTTTGGGTGTCACGTGAAGTCTAGAAGCTTGGCGCTTGCTGCTGATATTGCGGGCTGCAATCATGGCACCAGGGTGTTGGTCATTATTATTATTATTATTGTTATTATTTACTCAGATGGAGAGCCAAGGTTAAATTTATGCAAAAGAGAAAGACCAAGGAACTACAAGTTACGCTATACTGTCCACTAACACCACCAGTTACTAAACTATCAGCTCATGCGATAACATTGCACGACACTGACCGACGGTACTGACGTTCTACAACTAACTGGCATGTTATTATTATTCGTATTAGACACAACCTCATAGCATGTGACAAGCATAGCTAATGCAGGGACGGAATCCCGTGAGACAAGGGCGTTGAGCCAGCCACGGCAATAGTAAGCTAGGAAAACAAAGCAAATACCGTACTTCCCCACATATACTGTAAGACATGTTATTATAACGAGTCGCAAATTTAACGATTGTCCAAAATTCATAGGTTAACGAGAAGATATGTTAACGATCTTGCAGTATTCTGCCATATCCACACACAGCATATATGAAGCAGTACGGCTTCAACGGATCTTATTATAACGAAGAAATGTCATCCGTTAAAACGTTAGATTTGCTTCCTCGTTATATATACATGTCTTACAGTAAGCCCATGGGCTTATAAGTGAAAATTTGCTACAAAAATTGTTTTTGCTGTGTGAACATGTTCGGGTAGAAGCCCATGCGCTTATATGTGCAAAAACGGTTTGTCTGTGTCCTAAACAACGGTGTTATCACAATGCTCAGCAGTATATTCAGCTCCTGGGTGTTACACCAATAGTGTTCACATATAAGCCCATGCGCTTATAATTAGGGGGGGGGGGTGCGCTTATGTCCGGACATAAGCACATGCGCTTATATGCGCGTAAGTACGGTATTAATTTTAAAGCAAAAATGACCTGATATGGGAGATTGCTAAGCAGCAGCTCGTACACTTTGTGAGAGTACTTTCATCAGAACTAGTCTAACTAATAATAACTATCATAGTATGGTTTAGGAATAGGGCTGAAACGATCGTGGATTTTCACGTATCGATTACTCTTTAGCTTAACGATCGAGTAATCGATTACAATCGTTAGCAAATAGAGTCATAATTCTGCGCAAACATTACTCTGTTTCCACAAACTATGCCTTCATAATACCAACAAATCTGCATTAGTGAAAGGGTAGCTCCGAAACATGGCAGTTTTGAAGTCAATTTAACCTCAGACCATGAACCATACCCCTTGTAACTGCATACTCCCAGCGGAAACTGATTCAAACTTCACAAAACGAGGGTTTACAGTACTTTCTGGACACAAATATTAAAAAACCCAAAATAATCGTAATCAGTATTCTAAACGATTGCTCGATCGTTAGAGTTATCAAACGAGTACTCGATTATTCGGTATAATTGTTTCAGCCCTATTTAGGAACTATTATAAGATGGCTGCAGTGGAGTCTGCCCAATGCGAAAAGCCGACATGTTCTCTCGGAATGCGTATCACTCAGAACATGGCCGACGGAGAAAGGTTTTAGAGTTAGACTATCAGCATTGTTGTCATCACTATTGTACGTCACATGACAGTTGCTATGTAGACAGCCAATCACCGGCCTTGATAACTTGACTTAATCTTCCTCTTCTGCACCCATGTGCACGCACAGGTGAATGCTGCCGTCACTAAAATCCGACAAGTCGTCGAGAACCACCATCGCCCGCCACCTCCGCCAACACCACCGCCGGCACCCAAGGCACCTCAGGCACCTACACCTCCACCGGGTACGTCCAATGGTTGATATACTGTAAACCGCCCAATGTTTGCGTCACTAAATTTTTGCGATCTCTCAGAACCAGCGAGTTGACGATGGTAAATGTTCGTGGAGCACTGTGGTCACACATACACACCCACTGTTGAAGTTTGATTTCACGATGGCTAATATTTGCGTTATGCTCTTCTCGCAAAATTAGCAAACGTGAATACGTCGCAAACATTAGGCTGTTTACGGTAGTCACCTGTTGTGCACATGGCATGTTGATAACTGTCTTGGGTGCCTGACCCAGGAGGCAATTTGTCTTGGGTATACTGCTACTTGCACCGAGAGGCGCACTAGAGGGCAATCATTCTCTTCACTTTCTTTGCCCGCTGCTACCACTATGGCATGTTCTCCATTTCTTTCCTTGGCGCTGATAGGTGGAATTCTCTGCCTGTCTCGTGTCGTCAGGTTGAGCATCTATCCGTTTTTGTTTCGCTCTGTAAAGAGCACTTAGGGTTCCCTGTAACAAGACGGCAACGTCTGTAGGGCCTTCCCTATCAAAATAATAAATTCTACTACTACTACTACTACCCTAGCTTCACTTTGTGGACACCAATGTCTCAGATCTCTGACATTCAGTATCAATATGCATCCTGTAATGATTGTCCTGGGCATATAGCTCAGTGGTAGAGCATTCGACTGCAGATCGAGAGGTCCTTGGTTCAACTCCGAGTGTGCCCTGATAGATTTTTTTATTGATTGCCTTCGTTTTTCCTTGTCTGTCCCCACTCAAATGAATCACTGGAATATGGAGGTTTCAAATCAAATAGGCACCCGTAGATCGTATATTTCAGAGGTACGCATCCTCTACCTGCGGAGGACGTGTGTGAAGAACGTCCAACACAGTTTGAAGGCCCAGTCCCGCTTTTGTGATTCATTTTGGAAAAGCCTTCCTGCCAGCTTTTCTATTGTGTCGTGATTTATTGGGCCAAACCGGGATTGTTTATTCCAAATTACATAGAGCTGCTAAAGCGTCTATCATGTGACCATACAGGGCAGCCATGTTGGTTCCAACTCCACTCACCCCATGCATCGATATAAGGGTCATAATATTATGATGTCGGTCATGTTGGTTCCATTCGAACAAGTTGCACGTTGCGTGGTGATATCTGCAGCCTTCCTTCTATTCATAGCTGTTTAACCAAAACTATGCCACCGGTTTCTTTCTTTTTTCACTTTTCTCTGCAGAGGAGCCAGTCGAGGAAATTCAAATCGGAAAGAACATGAAAGGACCGGCACTACCTATCATGGTGAGTTTAACTTTAAGCCAGCTACAAGTAAGCTACACTGTGGCTACGCAGGACAGTTGTGGAGGCGAGTTTCTGGGCAGTCCGAGTCGTGCCTTCACTCCCAACCAGCTCAGTTCAACCCGAAGATGATGGAAGTCAAACAAGTATGCTGTGGACAGGGTGTTCCCCATGGTAATACAGTAAAACCTGGTTTAAGCGACCGCCCCACGATGCAAGCAAAAGCGGTCGTTAAAGCCAGGTGGTCTTTCGAATCAGGTCCCACCTTGTCTGTGTAGAACTATCCGCCGTGGCATGGAAAAACGGCCGCTAAGAGCAGGTCGCTAAAACCAGAGGTCGCTTACACTAGGTTTTACTGCATAGGAAGGACTGATGAGGGTTTAAAGCACAATTCACATTTGGCGGCAACATAAATGGCACAAGGCACAGTGAGAAGCCGGATGGGTAAGTGAAGGCTCCCGGTCGTCGCCAAGTTTTAACTTTCATATCCTTAGTCCCCATCAATGCCAATGATGCAACCTGTCATGGCTCATACTCCCTACTCTCCAGGGCCTGCTCTAGACATTCAACACAGCCCGGTCAGAGTGTACCTGGCGCATGCAGGCCAGCCGGGTCAAGCCGGGTCAGATCATCCGGCAGAAAAACAACCAAAAAGCCTGCTCAAAACTTGCAACTGTGTCAAAAGCTATAGCCAAAGTTACGCTTTTGACTGCCTGCCCCATCGACTTTCAATGTCCTGACTTCCTGCTCGCCGCTGGCCAGATCACGCTCGAACCAGTTGACCCCAGTTGACCCAAGCCGAGTTTCTGTCGCTTGTAGACTGTAGTGTGTACGGTTGCGCTAGATTTGCCACAGATGGGGTCCGCGAGTCGTAAAATACCGGTATTTTAGGAATCCATTGTCAGTTTGAGACATTTTTCAGCCGGGTCAGACTGGACCCGGTGTTATCTGTTCAGCCAGGTCGTGCAGTTCCCCAGCCGGGCGCGTGACCCGGCTGACCCGGCTCTCCAACAGGCCCTGCTCTCCCTCTCTTCATCTCTCTCTCTCTTTCTCTCTCTCTCCCCCAATTGTTGTATGTTTTGCTGCTTAGTTGGCCGCCCGGGAGCTGCAGGAAGAGGCGCTGAAGTGGGGTGCTGGTGACAATGCCCTCATTCAGATTGCACGTCGCATGGCAGCGCGTATGGCTGAAATCGGCAGCCTATTTGAGTAAGTGTTGAGTGCACCTGCATTGTTGGTCGAGTGGTATCATAGCGTCAGGTACGGGCAGGTTTCAAGTTGTCCGAAATCACCTGGGAATGCGTCTGGGTGTTGGATGAGCCCAGAGCGTAGCCTACGGTGCCAGCAATATGTCACAAGGTCTTCGTAGCTTCTATACTTCAAGAAGTCTGCGTGTGTGTGGGGGGGGGGGGGGGCACGGCACGCACACTTTGATTGACTGCATGCGCAGGTGTGTCTGGTTATTAACGCTGAAAGTGACTTCTTTTTGTAAAGCGTATGCTTTCTGTTCTTTCGTCACATGGTGTTGTGTGTGCAGTTCACAGGGTGATGTTGAGTCTCGCAAGCGCCTTATCAATCTGGCCAAGGAGCTGGCACTGGATACGAAGGAGCTGATCAAGCTTGCGAAGGCTGTGGCCGCAGCTTGCACCGACCGACGCCTCAAGGCGGTGAGTTCTACTGGTCCAATCTACTGACTCCTTAGCAACCGATTAGGCCGGCAAGGTTTTAGGCCAGTGTTAGAACAGGGGCCATGCAGCATATCTGTGTATGATGGTGCTAACCGTCTATGCAAGCTATCACTAAAAAAATGGCAATCCAGCAGCGGCTATCAAGTATCATTGGAATTTGCCTGGTAACATGTATGGTCTAAATTTCAATCTTCTGTTCTCTCTGTCCGTGTTCCCATGCTTGCTCAGACGCTGCTGCAACTCGTTGATCGTTTGCCAATGATCAGCACCCAGCTGAAGATCATCGCCACGGTCAAGGCGACGCAAACCGGACAAACAGGTTGGTACCGCGTGACTGCTGCCACTCACAGACTAAGCCCCGCATTCAGATGCAATGGTACTGTAGAGAGATGTGCACGAGTGCAACATGTTACAACGCCATGTACACATGCTGCACTGCTTGCGGCTTGAGTTGGTATTGAAAAACTGATATTTGACTGCAGACTTGGACTACTAGTATGTTTGAATTATTATTATTTTGTCCCAGATCAGGAAAGCTTGCATGTGACTCGAAACCATGGCGCATGACCTTTTTGATTTGTGAAGCGACATCCAGGAACAAAGTCATGTGCATGTGTGTGTGTGTGTGTGTGTTTTTGTTGCTTGTTCTGCCCTGCACAGACGAACAGTCAGATCACGAGGCCAGCGAAACGCTGGTATTGAACGCGCAGAATCTGATGAAGGAGGTGAAGGAGGTCATCATGGCCGCACAGAGCAGCTCCATGAAGCTCAAGAAGGGCACCACCGCCGACGAGCTCATGTGGACAAGAGCAGACTAAACTCGGAGAGGCGAGCAATATGTGCGAACTGGACACGATGAGAAGATGGAGGCATGATTTAGCTGCAAACATTGCCAGGGCCAGCTCCGACAAGAATGAATACAAAGTGCACACACTGACATCTCTACCTTTGAAGCATACCATTGGATAATAAGACCAGTTTGGTACACAGTCATGTAAATAGTAATCAATCGCTTTCGTATAGAAATTAGCACTGAACTCTGCTATTCCATTGCAATGTGATCCATGACTATACTCTAGGGCTAGCTGCTAGCGATGCATCACTGTGCTTGTGTATATTTCTAACGATTGGAATTAATAAAATCCTTCTTCCCTATATATATGTATTATATCAAGAGTACATAAGCCCCAGAGTGTGCAGCGCCTGATCCAGCTCTGCATAGGGTCTTGGTCGAGCGTAATCGGATCTTTGCGTCATAACACCGTACAGATATGAGGGGAACCCGGGGAGTCGCGGGGACTCTCGGATCAAAAATAACGGTGCCCTGCGGTGCACTGGTGTGGAGTGTACGCATGACATCAGAAGATCCGATTACGCTCGACCAAGACCCTATGCAGAGCTGGATCAGGCGCTGCACACTCTGGGGGTTATGTACTCTTGATTATCTCAGTGTTGTTATGATGACGTTAACCCGTGCGTCGGTGCGCACACCTCTGAACCTACACGCAGCCGAGCAGCTGCTGTAATGCTTGAAATGAGTCGCTGGAATACAGTCGGACACTACGTATTAGTACCCCTGCAGCACATTAAGACCACTCCAGTGTGGATGCTAGGCTAGCAGGTGATTGTGTGGGCAACAGTGCTAACATTACCAACACTCGTTCGCCTCGGTTTTCATCCAGGTCTTTCTATAATAGCAAGAGTACATAACCCCCAAGAGTGTGCAACTGCCTGCACAACCTCTATGCAGTGCTGCGACGGCAGAACTTCACATTACGTGACATGGTTCAAAAGGTTACACTGGCAAACAGTGCAAAGTGACCACAAGAGAGTCGTACCCAAAGCTGGGTTGCGTACAACCCTCTATCAATCATGCACAGAGTGCAAATTATGTGTACGAGTTCATCACGTGATGTGAAGTTCTGCCGTCGCAGACCCCACAGCTGGAGTTGCACACTCTTGGGGGTTATGTACTCTTGACAATAGTCATACATCATCGGTCTCTCAACTTCTCTCACAGACGTAATTTTCACAACGCTTCACAACCATCTGCACATTCGCCCAACAACTGACAGTAGCAGTTGCAGTGGAACCATCCTTGGCAGCCAGTAGCTACTATGCCATCATGCCATGCACTGCAAACACGCCAGAGCAATGCAACAGGGGTCCTCCTCAAGCTCAGCAAATGGGGCAAATTCAATGCGGAGGTTGATGGCTAAAATGCTGATGGTGGTTCTGCTATAGATGACAATAGACAGTCAGAATGTGATCTTGAGCAAACGCATAAATTTGATCGGATTCTTGTAGGGCAGAAGTGTGAAAGCAGCTAAATTCAGAAAGGGGATAGGGGCAGAAAATGCACACACACACGACAAAAGGAAGGGAACTAGAGAGGGAGAGCGAGAGCGAGAGAGAGAGAGAGAGAGAGAGAGAGAGAGAGAGAGAGAGAGAGAGAGAGAGAGAGAGAGAGAGAGAGAGAGAAAGAGAGAGAGCGAGAGAGAGAGCGAGAAAGAAAGAAAGAGAGAGAGAGAGAAATAGAGCGAGAGAGAGAGAGAGAGAGAGAGAGAGAGAGAGAGAGAGAGAGAGAGAGAGATAGAGAGACGAAGCTGAAGCAGCAAAGAAAGCCACCCATGTGCTGTGACACTGTGCAGCCTGACAAAGAAGGCGCATACTAGAACAAAGGATTTGCAGCAGGGGACAGGGGTACATGCTGCCTGCCTGACACCAAGACCACCCTGCTCATTCAGGATGGGAATTACACAGTCAAATATGATCAAGGCTGCTAAGGCAGGCAGGCATTAAAGAAACAAACAGACCTAATGGCGTCCAAATAGCAGGGTGCCATATTAACGATAACTTACGCATGTTGAAATCAGAATGCAGACAGTGCGGCGGCCTGCATCCACGCCGCAGAAATAAACTAATAAAGGTCAAAATGTCAAAGGGACAACGAGGCAGGGTGAGGACAGTCGCTGTGATTGAAACGGTGAGAACGGACATTCGGATAGAGTCATTATGGTTGTTGCGTCAATTGACAATTGCAATGATAACGTACCAACAGGAAGTCAACGGGGACCGGGCGCAATCTCAAAGACTAGGGCAAAGGCGAAAGACGGACGGATTGCTGAAGGGAAAACGGCACTAACTGGGTCAACGCCAGTAAATGCAAACGTGCAAAAAAGGCCAAAAAAAGGACTGAAAAGTAAAATTAGAGAGAACTCAAGTGGCCCGTAGAGAAGCCTAGGCACACCTTTTCGACCACACTGCCAAGACTGGTGGATACAGCCCCGGGAAGACAGTGCAGCGATAAACCAACGTCATAGTAGACAACACTCAACCGACAGGGCCAGCCGCCTACATTCTGCAGCACACGACGGAGAGGAGAGTTCCAGTTTCCGACAAATCGCCTACGTATCTACTCGGCCTTTTCGGACACGTCCACGCCATGAATGTGCGCTGCATGAGCAATCTAGGTAGAGGGAGAATAACACGCGGTACAGCAAGTTAACAACCAACACTCAAGCTGACAGTTAGACCAAATCACAAGGCCACAAAGTGATTAAACTAGAAAGGGGAGTCTACTGGAACAGCCAACAAGCCGATAGCAAATGCCTCAATTTGCAACCTCCTAAAGGCGCACACAAGAATGTCCAGCTACTAGTGCAATATGAATCTGAATCTCGATGAGCAATTTTGCTAGTCTGCATTTTAAATTTTTAATTGAGACCAACGGAACTAGTAGTGCATTACAAACCGAAGCAGTGCATAAGTGCACTAAATAATAACATCTAATAGTACGGCTGTACTGTTTGTTCACCTTGGAGAGGCACATGCGATCTGGCGAATGCACACTTTTATTGCCCACCGCATACATCCTCCCCACTAGCCAATTTCCACAAAGATACCAATGCTCCGCAGACACATTACCTGTTTTAGGGAGCTTGACACTTCAGCTTGCGCGTTCAGGAGCTCCTCGCCCTCATTGCGGAGTGAAAGGCAGTTCCAGGAGAATGCCTCAAAGGCCTGAAATTAACCCAAAAACACACACACACACACGAGAAATCATCATTACATCAAGCATGACAAAAACATGTTCATATCCTCTATGGTCAAAACGGCATGTATCTTACACTGGCCTACACTGGCTGTTGTTTAGATTAAGCCAAGTCCTGGCGAAAAACGTTACAAGTTAGAACACATCATCATCCCGAATCATACCTTCTGAGCCTTCTTCTCACCAGCGAGAGCATAGGTTGACTGGAGTGATTTCTGAGCACCGTAAAAAGAAGAAGTCAGAAAGAGAAGCAGCTGGGAGGATGAACAGTGTGTGGTGTACGTAGAGAAGCGGACGACAGTTTCCACAACACCGTCACAACACAGGCCTGGCGGAACCGGTCCACTTGGTCAGGCCATGGCCGGACCAACCTTTTGACCGCCAACGCGAGTTCACTGCTTAGTTAGGAGGTCAATTGTACCCACTTTATCATACACAAACTGTATGAAAGGCTATGGCATGACCTGACCAATCAAAATCTGCTTCCTCCGGTCCTGCAGCATGCTTGGTGGGAGACATATCTGAGCCCGGCAATTGTCTCAAGACATGCCCCAGCCAGCAGCACTGCACATCACAATACCTTGAAAATACACAGCCTCGTTGCCAATGCATCAAAAACAAAACAGAAACACAAAACAAAAACCAAATGCACCTACCATGAGGGCTAAGCTCTCTTCATACGCCGCCTTCAGCTGCAGGCAATCATACAAAGTTTACAAACCGCACAGTACACAGTGTGAGTGATGTCAAACCATGATCAGCAGATGGCGGATTCCACGGTACACACAAGCGTGCGTACATGACTGGGATATCAAATATCAAGTCCCGGAGCAAAAAATTACGAACAATTGTGAACGGTCGGCCGCGAGAGGACCAGTGACCCACAGGGGATAACACAGTACCCCGGTGCTGCACCAGCTAAATTAGAATATCCCCGGTGTCCTTGGGGTTGGTTTCACTGTAGCAAAGGGCACACTTACTTCGTCTGCAACCTTGCTAGCATCCGACTGTAGAGCACGGAAAGCAGGTCCACCCTAAGAACGAAAGCAAGCAACCATGTTCACAAGGAGAGGGAGGGACGGAGAGAGAGAGAGAGAGAGAGAGAGAGAGAGAGAGAGAGAGAGAGAGAGAGAGAGAGAGAGAGAGAGAGGAGGATGAGAGAGACATGAGAGAACGTGTCAGAGGGGCAAGAGCAAGAACATCACAGCTAGCTCAAGGAAAAGTGAATGCTGCAAGCTCCAGAGTACCGGTCAGTACATCCAGTGCTGAGCTACACAGCACAGTCAATATACAGCCACAAAGCAGGAAATCACCAACAGAACCTACTCTACAACAGTAAGTGATAGGTGCAACCTAAACTTAGGTACCGGTGGCGCCAGGGCTCTCAGGTGTAACTGAGAATTGCATGTACATGTAGGTGACTGGCATCTGCATTCAATTACACTACATACATGTACTACATACTACGGTGGGCTTCGAAGCACTTGAAGTAAATGTAGGTGGCGGGTTTCTCTGCTGAGTTACAGAACTGTTAACAGGTCACACTGAAAAGCCATTGGTGTTCAGCATAGCACTACAGTCAGACCTCACTTAACCGCACACGTCCGTTTTCCACAAAAAAATATCCGGCTAGGCGAGGGAACCGGATAACCGAACACCGGTTATATTGGATGCATCACGTAGGCTGTACATCTGTAACCAGCTACTGGCGAGGGATCCAAATAAACGAGGACCGGATAAGCGAGGTCTGACTGCACTCTAGAAGGCATACTTCGAAGTGCATGTACCCGTAGGTAGAGAAAGACGTTCACACGGCACGTACTTGCAATAACGCTTGACTGGCCTTCTTTAACGTGTCGGGTATATCACCACCCGATGCGGTGATGGTCGGATAAAGCTATATCACACACAAGCACATGCGCACACAAACACACCCACGCACACACAGACGCATGCACATGAACGCACATACAAACACACACGCAATGTTCAGAGCCACTGAACAAAGACATGATCGATCAGTCCACTGGCAAAAGTCGACCAAGAGTGACCTAAAATAGTACCATCGAGTTCTGACATTGGGATGCTACGATAAGGTACACACGAGCATGTAAGAATACTGTGTTTTCCTGGTTCATGGGGGAGGGGGAGGAGGAGGACTCGCAATATGTTAAAGAATGCATGATGTTCGTTTCAGGGGTGGCAATAAGTGCCAATAACAATTCGTGATGACCCCTAATACCAAGAGTAGATAAACAAGAGTGTGCAACTCGCGGATGGGTTGGCCCACGGCGGAATTTTTTGTTGACGTAATCTTTTTGACGACGCACGCGCTATGAGTCTTTTGGAAAGTTTTCCCTCGTGCACTTGGCCGCATTTGCACTACAAAGTCGGTGCCCAGCACGTGCTCTCACACTGCTCTGCAGAAAAATACGCGTTCTTCTGAAAAAAGGTGACGTCAACAAAAAATTCCGCCGTGGGCGGGGGTATCTGCAGATTGTGCAGGAGAGATCCGGAGTTGCACACTCTTGTTTATCTACTCTTGCTAATACAGGTAGACTCCCTTTAATTCGAACCTCAAATTGCCAGGCCCTAACTTCGAATTATCCAGAACTTCTAATTATCCAAATGCAGCCCCATGTACTGATATGTATGTCAAAATGCTTGAAATCGCATGCTGAATATTTTTTGCACATTTTTATTTGCATCAACGAAACATAGGTGCAAGGACAATAGGTGGTCGTACCGGTCGTGTACAACGGATCATCAAACCACTGGATCGACACAAAATCATTTTGACATCTTCATCTTCTAGTGAAGAAGTTGTCAGTCACTGCAGCTTTCCTGAAACAATTTCAACGGAAAAGAACTGCGCTGCCTAATCCGCGTCATGAAAGGCCGTCGGACAGCAGCACGTCGTTCTGAAGAACGGAAGTGGAGCATAGGCATAGACAATATTTACGACAATAGTGTTTTTGTGCGCCAACATCTCCGCGCACGAGCTGGCGCGGCAAGAAAGGCCATCGAGATCCGCGAAGAGAGTCAGCCACCTGGAAGACATCGTCTTCAATCAAACCTTTGCAATTTGCCTCGCACGGGCTTGAAAGAAATTTCGAGAGAAGGTGGGTTTCTTGAACGCTATAGTCGATCCTGCAGCGGACCATCGATCGATTGTTTAGCTACTCTTGGCTAGAGAAGGAGAAAAGAATGAACTTCGAATTACAAGGATAGCAATCAATCTCACTTCGAAATAAGCGTTCAAAGGACATAGCCAATGTACTGTAAACAGCTCTTCTGTACGAAGACTGGGTTCGAATTATCCAACCGGCGCACTTTTCGTACTTCGAATTATGCATTCGATTTTGACTTGAAGTGGCTTGCAGAAGATCGGTACGACGAAAAAGTTCGAATTACACGGAATGTTCGAATTATACCGTATTCGAATTAGAGGGAGTCTACCTGTACTGATATTACAGTAGAAACATTGGCTTTGAATCACCCAGATTCCACCCACTACTACCAGTGGTCATAATTCTGTAAAAAAATGGCAGCAAAAGTCGATGGAGCCATCAACGCCCCACCATCACTACTGTTGTCTCGTTTGGGCTAGTCACAGCATCATCGTCTTTCATTATTATTTTCGAGCTGGGTTCGTGAATACAGTAAAAATAAAACAAAATAAAGTTGCTCTCACCTTGTCAGTCTTGACCAGTACCAGTGTGAGACCGGCCACTCTGCTGCGGTTTACCAGAGATCGAACACAATTGTGAATGGTAGTCCAACCCGCCAAGCCGCATGAATCCTGCTCAAGGCCATACACACACACACACACACAGGGAGATGTTCACTACAAAGTACAACTGGTAAAACTTGTAACACAATTTTAGTGCTAGTCTCCTAAACAAACGACCATTTTGAAGACCCTGCATTCACATTCCCAGGCTATGGATGGGCCTTGAACACTGAAGCCTGGCTGTAAAGAAGTAATATTTTCAGAGCAGGCGGCACATTGCATTGAATTTTCCCTGCAGATAGAACCGTCAACGTAACCATTGCATCTACAATACAGGTTACGCACACATACATCCCCATTGACGAGTTGTAGACAGTAGTAAGTCAAAGATTGCCATGCCACTCAATACAAAACATGTCAAGCAACACTGCTATAGCATAACTTCAATGTAAACCCAGATTGAGATGAGCGTGCGTGGAAAACGTGCAGGCGCTGAGGGAGTAGCTTTAGCACACCCGTAACAATGACGTAATTCCATGGCGAAGGACGATGGCACTTCAGAACATAATGTCATGCTTCATACCGATGTATTTTATCAACATGACATCGTCAAGCTCGCTGACATACACACATTCTATCAACATGCACACTGACATACACATATTCTATCAACATGACATCATCAAGCACAACATGACATCATCAAGCACAACATGACATCATCAAGCACAACATGAAAACACCGGGTAACCCGGAGAGGACAAGCAAGGTACATGAATGTAGCGACACACAACACTGGTTTACCTTGAAGGTGGAAAGCGCGAAGTCGGCGTCGTAAGAAAGACCAGCCGCCTGTGTCAGCAACGGCGTGTACTTCTGCATGTCGCAACAGAAAGGGCACGTAAACACACACACACACACACGTGCACACAGGTGAACATATGAACAACTGCCCCGGAACAAAACAAAAAAATGTCCCGAAAATGCGGCATCGGATCAAAGGATGGCATCCACATGTCTAGCACGTACCTTGAAATGCGCGTCAATCTCCTTTACCCCTACAACCATCATGGCTATGGGCTGAAAATACAAAAGAATGAGGACACAGACAATGAGCCACAGTGAAAGTTCAAAAATCATACAAGCATATGAGCACCGTGCTTGCCAGGTCATAAAAAAAAGAAAAAATCAACGCTGCGAGCAGGGTTCGAACCTGCGCGGGGAGACCCCATTGGATTTCAAGTCCAACGCCTTAACCACTCGGCCATCACAGCACGGACAAACTAATAGTGAATTCAAGGCTTCTTAGCCATAAAAATGAAATGGCACGTTTCTTTTTGCAATTCAGGAATTAAAAGGCTGCCCCAAAAGTCCATGTTTCGTCCAAGCCAATACCATCGCTTCCTCACTTTTGAAGAAAGATACTTAGGCTGGTGGATACGGCCGTGCAGGACAACAGCCAGTTGGGAGTAGTGGTAATTTCCACACAAAGACACGAGAGGAGAACAAAGGCAGGAGTAGTGCATGCCAGAGTGCATAGTGGGTATAGTACGCACCTCTTTCTTGGCTTTCTTGCGATACGCGGCACCACTGGCGATACGGCGGCCCTAACATCAAAGAAAACAGAACCACATCCACATGAAAACTCAACATTGCTCAAACAAAAAAATTAAGACAATTAAGACAAAGTATTATGCAGTCTACCGTATTTCCTCGATTAATGGACCATGCTTGAATAATAGACCATGCTCAAATAGTAGACCCTCCTAGAGGCCTCACGGAAAAATAGTAGACCATGCCCGAATAAGAGACCCGGTCTCTTATTTGAGCTCATCGCTTTGCGCATGCGCACTAAGAAAGAACGTGGTGGATCAAAAAAGGACACGATTTTAGGTTGCGCAACTACAATTTTTGTAGTGGCTAGTGCTTTCTTTCATTATTTGAGCACGGTCCACTATATTTTCATCGGCACATCGCTGGAAATGGTGGATTTTTAACACGTCATAATATAGAACTTCTATATTATGACGTGTTAAAAATCCACCATTTCCAGCGATGTGCCGATGAAAATATAGTGGACCGTGCTCAAATAATGGATCATGCCCAAATAAGAGACCGGGGGTCCAACCCTCTTCAAAAAACAAAAGACCGGGTCTATTAATCGAGGAAATACGGTAGTAGAGTCTTGCTTGTGAAGCACAATGTAGACTGAGTTTGTAGAGATGTGTAGTTATATGTACTCATGCAACCAAGAGTACATAACCCCCCAGAGTGTGCAACGCCGATCCAGCTCTGTGTAGGGTCTTGGTCGAGCGGAATCGGATCTTCTGATGTCATGCGTACACTTCACACCAGCGCAAGGCCGGTCTCGAGGCAGGGCACCATTGTTTTTGATCCAAGAGTACCCGCGACTCCCCGGGTTCCCCTCAGATGTGTACGGTATTATGACGCAAAGATCCGATTCCGCTCGACCAAGACCCTATCATGCCTATGCAGAGCTGGATCAGGCGTTGCACACTCTGGGGGGTTATGTACTCTTGATGCAACACATCTCCAAAATGTTGAGCGTAGAAGTGCAACATACCGGTCTATCCTTGTTGATGGAGATATGGACGAAGAGAGAGGCGTTCGGAATCGGCAAATGAACATTGGAAATTAAGTGCACGTGACGATAGCCTGCAGAACCCAACACGTCCACAATAATATTACATGATAAGAATTCTGGAGGACGTAAGATATTGCCACCACATGTGAATCATACACAATCAGCACAGCACGGAGTCTACTACTGGGACGTCAAAAGATACCCTGTACCGGAACACATATGCCCCAGCCCCCCCGGCCCAGGCTTGTTTCCAAGAAGACACCACCATAGGCTGTACTGTGTTCCCAATTATAATTTTGTAGTTCTAGTTATGGATTATCTGTCCCGGATTATCTGTCTCTGAAGACAGCGGTCACAGCCTGTTCGCTCCATCGGCGATACGTACCGGGCTTAAACGACGTTAGTGGAATGCAAAACTGTCCGATGAAGTCGCTGCCGATGGCGTCTGCATCCAGTACGACAAAGCGGATTAGTGCAAGGTCGGGAAAGCGCAGGTGGAACGAGAAGGATTCCTCCCAAACCGGATTGAATCCTAACAACAGAAACACACAGCACAAGCAGTCACGATTAGAAACACACACACACGCACAGCACAAACAGCCAGACACAAGCAGTCACCATAAGGAAAAAAAGGACAAAGTTTAGGGCTTTTTTCAGGCAAGTCAGGTGTGAGGCAGGGAGTGGCAATTGCTCAGTTCTGAAGCTCAAACTCACCGTTGTTTTCAATCGCTCGAGTTCGTGACGTCGCTCTATCACCATCGATGCCTTCGATTTCCAATGCTACATATGGATCAATAACCTGAGGATGAGCAACAACAACAACAACAACAACAACAACAACAGCAGCAGCAGCAGCAGCAGCAGCAACAACAACAACAACAACAACAACAACCACAACAACCACAACAAAACAAACAACAACATCAGATCAGGCACAGGACGAGAAAACACATCGTAAAGGAAAGCAGAGTGGATTTTGTGACACCTCTAGTAGGTCCTGAACACATACATACCCACTGCTTATCACAAGAGCATGAGAAGAAAACCATCCAAAGAAAGAGCTGAGCGCGGCGGCCTCACAGGGCATATGTCAGACAGCATTACCGAAGAAGAGGTTGTAGCGAATTCGGCGATACTTGGGGACCACTATCAAAGAATATACTTGTATTAATATGCCCGTTACCATAGCTCATGGCTACAACTCACCTCAGTTCGGTTTTCCGTTTGACTAGGTTTCGGTAACATCTGCCCACTTATCACCTGCAAAGACAATGACAAACAGAGAAAAGCGAGATCACACAGTGTAAGAATGAGAGTAATGTGAGATTGGTGTGCACGTCGTGTGTGTGTGTGTGTGTGTGTGTGTGTGTGTGTGTGTGTGTGTGTGTGTGTGTGTGCATGTGTGCGTGTATGTCTGTGAAAGAGGAGAACGAGTGGAGAGATAGAAAGATAGATAAATAGATAGTTTGAGAGAGAGAGAGAGAGAGAGAGAGAGAGAGAGCCACACACACACACACACACACACAAACACCGCTAACACCTCACCTTAACGACAAGCTCTACTGGTGTTGTACCGGGAACCTGAGCCGTTACATCCTTATAGCTGATAGAGCCACACTCTGCAGTGGGAACAATGAGCACACAAAGCAGCATAGACACACCATAATCGCCAATGAACACAATAATATTCATTAGTGACACAATAATATTCATTAGTTGAGGGAAGGGAAAAGAGAAAAAAAGAGTCTGAAGACAAATTACAGTAAAACCTGTCCCAGAAGACCACTCGGATAAGGCGACCACCAGTCCCAGAAGACCACTGCAGCCAGGACCAAGGAATGGTATTTCCAGTCAAATGGCACTGGATATTTTAAAGGAGACCACCTGGTTACAGAGACCACACTTTGAAGGTCCCTTGAGCGGTCGTCTTAGACAGGTTTCACTGTACACAAGAATCCGTGCAGTATGCAATGAACGGGGCACACCTTGCAGATTCGGATAATAGCCGCCGCAGCAGCAGCAGCAGAATCAGCAGCGGGGCCTGAACATAGCAGCAACGCAGGCACTACACACGGCAGAAGTCCTCACCGTTTCGAAGTGCCGGTGGTTTCAGATAGTAGCCGGAGTAGCCGTTGGCCTTGAAGAGCCCTTCGTTCATATCCATTGCCTTGCCAATCGTCTGGCAGTTCATGGCAGCTACGAACGCGGAACAGACAAAGCAAGCAGCAAGTGAACAAACATACCATCGATTACCATAAGAAGAACACTGATAAGACAAACGTTCACTTTAGAGGAATTGACAGACTCGGATGGAGAGCCAATGATTAATTTATAGTAAAGAAATGGACCGAGGAACTAGGAACGAGCTACGCTATGTTATCGCATGAGTTGATCGTTTAGTAACTGGTGGTACTAGTGGACATTATAGTGTAGCTTGTTGTTCCTTGGTCCTTTTTCTTTAGAAGAACTAGTATTCTAAACTCTATTGGACTGCTCGCTGTGTTTCACAACTTTCACTGCGTATCAAGTATGGATAAGAAGAATTCCCGCTGTTGCAAACAAATACCACCGGTCCCTTAGTGCTTGTCCTAAAGAGGTTTGATTGGACCGGTTCTGAATAATCACTCAGAACCCCTCCCCGAAAACACCAGGTGTCAGGGTACAAGAAAACGCCGAAGGCCCAGACGTTGACTTCTCACAGTGTAGGTACATGATGGCATGTATGATAGTGACTCACCACTGGAAACACCCCGCGACCAAACTCCCATGGGATCCATGTTGCTGCTCTCTGCACGCGTTACGGCCGGATAGGAGCGCACCAGGCTAGACTTAGAGCGCTGCATGAGACGCTCAGACCGGCTCACGTTGTAAAGACCAAGCCTGGGCTCCGAGAGACCAATGCAGTCAACGTTCGACGCTAGAGACCCGGAACAGGATAAAACACACATACAACTTGGAGGTCACACAGGGTGGGAGCTAGTCGTAGTAACACTATGAGAGGGCGACTGCGTGTACAACATTGAACATCTGTTGCAGCATGCCGCGCACACACACACACACACACACACACACACACACACACACACACACACACACACACACACACACACACACACACACACACACACACACACACACACACACACACACACACACACACACACACACACACACACACAATGCTATACTGTAAAAGCCATTATTCTAACGAGGCGCATGTATAACGATTTCCCAACATTAACTGGTTTACGTGTACCAAAGGTAACGATTCTCACTCATTCCCAACGCTCAATAGGACAGTATATGTATCGATTTCTATTTTAACGACAGATTTCTCCTCGTTAACTCGTTAGACTTAGCACTTTGTTATATATGGCTTTTACAGTACGTCGTAGTTGAAGACTAGCAATCTGAAGTTTGTGCTAAAGGGGGAATATCTCCATCCACTGAGTGCATTCGATTTTGCCTGCGAATCGACGTTGAATCCATTTATGAATTGCCCCTGGCTATTCACATCACACCGTGTGAATAGGGTGAATGGATTCCACATCGATTCCAGGGCTCATGACACGAAATCGAACGACGAGATTCCATTCATGAATCGATTCATAGCAGAAATCGAACGCACTCACTGCAAGGTGCCCATCATGCATTTCAGCAGAGTTTGCTCTCAATTCTGGACTGTGTGCAATCCCCATCCGGTATGCACTGAACAGTACCTGGCTCGAATATGTTCTCCGAGAATCCGGGATCACGCGAGCTATTGAAATGGAAGAGATTGGACAGCTCTTTGGCCATCTTCATCGAGCCAAGATTGGAGACGGAGGGTGGCACGATCGGCAAGGACGTGATGGTGGACGTGGAGCCAGCGCGTGCCTGCGACACAGGGGAAACAACAAGAGCGGGGAGAGGACAGTTAGCTGACTAGTCGACAAGATGAGTTTCTACGTGCGCTTGTATGATCTCTAGCCAATGAGCTACAGCACTACAGTACTGCCGGGAAACGACCAGGCTAGAATTTCACCAAGCACATCCTACGGTACCAATGTATACACGGTGACCCTAATGTGCATAAACTGTAGAACATGAAAATAAGAGCTGTCCAGGCGACGAGGCCAATAGTTCAGGGTTCGAATCACACAGCTTATTGAGAATGCATGGTTTGGGTATACATGTACATGTATGTGCACACGTGTGTGTGTGTGTGTGCGTGTGTGCGCGTGCGTGTATGCAGCTCCAGCGCCCCGGTGCAGTATTTACCAGTTTCCGGACTGGTGGTCCCGGGTCGGACAATTCTGAATTGGGCAGGCTTTCATCCTCCTCTTCAGATACTTGACCGTCTTCCTCGACCTGGCTGCTGCCGGTTTTCTTACCCTGACAAGGGAAACAATGCACAAGCAGTAGTCAAAGTCAGCAAGGTGTGGAGTAACAGGCATAGGCGTGCATCCCCCATTCGCTCGCACGCACCCACATGCAGGTGCACATGCAGGTGCACACACAGACACATACACACACACGCACAAGCACGCGCACACACACAGAGTTTCTGTGATAGCCTTCTCCACAAAATCCTTTCAGTTCAGAATGCGTTAAGGCACACTCGCGATACCACTTTTTGCGACGCGACATGCAACGCAACCGCGACACACGATTCCTTTTGGTTTTTGCAACAGCTCTATGCAGTGCACGTACTATGCAGTGCACTGCACATGCACCCAGAGCAGACTTACTGTAGTCCAACTATGTGCGTGCGTCTGCAAGCGACAGTACGCGACAGGCATTTCCTTGTCGCAAGTGTCGTATGTCGCACGTTGCTTCGCAGGCAGTGATATTGTGAATGAGCCTCTATCGTAACCATTGCACATTGCGGAATTAATTCACTTCCCGGTGCAGCACATTGTAAAGCCTTGGTTGGGATCACTATACGACTTGTACTTACAAGAAGAAAGATCTTCTGCATGCAATCAGCGGGCGAGGGTATATCCTTCCCATCTTCGATCCTCTCTCTGTAGAGGTAGTCTGTTGAGAGAGAGAGAGAGAGAGAGAGAGAGAGAGAGTGAGAGAGAGAGAGACGCACACACACACACATACTTCAGTACTAGTACATCTTTACTTATAAAGAAGAGGCACCTGTGACGTGTGTGTGTGTGTGTGTGTGTGTGTGTGTGTGTGTGTGTGTGTGTGTGTGTGTCACGCTCCTTATAAAGAAGAGGCACCTGTGACGTGTGTGTTTGTGTCACGCTGCCCTGAGCACGCGAAGCGTGCGAACAGTGTAGCACAGTGTAGCTAGCGGCCGCAGAAGCACTGAGCACGCGAAGCGTGCGAACGAAGCGTGCGAATCGTGTAGCTAGCGGAAGCAGCCACAGAAGCACTGAGCACGCGAAGCGTGCGAATCGTGTAGCCACCACCACGTGCTGAGCACGCGAAGCGTGCGAACAGTGTAGGTGGTAGCAGACACGATCAGTACGAGTAGCAGCCGCGCGCAGAAGCACTGAGCACGCGACGCGTGCGAATCATGTAGCCACCTAGCCTAGGCCATAGGTAGCACTAGCAGCCGCACAAGCGCTGCGGACCACGTGAACCGTTCTCTGCAAATAGAAACATCTGCAACAAAAGGATACAAAAGATCTGCACTGACTGCACTCTGCATCTGATCTGCAGTGAAGAGCGCATCGCACTTTTGTTCGTAAGTTTATGAATTTTTTGAGCCGCTTCATCCGCCACCAGGTGATGGACAACCCTGACCAGCCTCCCGAAGGCGTAACAGACGTCCCTCCTTCTCCTTCCAACGATGAAGAACCTCCCTCACCAGGACTTCAGTGGTCTGGCCACCACCACGTGCTGAGCACGTGTGCTGTTCACGTACTTGCTTCACCCGCATGCCACATTCGGCCAGGCAACGCTGGCCGGTGGTGCTGCTAGTACATATATATACATACATACATACATAGACAGTTGTCTAAGGTCCCTAGGCTGCTTACAGTGCTCAATGTCCACTGGACAGAGCAAGTAATACAAATATTACACAGCAATGAATCAAAAACGTCTCATTCCGCTGTCTTACAGTGCTCAATGTCCACTGGACAGAGCAAGTAATACAAATATTACACAGCAATGAATCAAAAACGTCTCATTCCGCTGTAACTCCGAGTTTCGTGTCAGAACACTTCATCAGACAGCATATGACCAAGACTAACAATCGCTAGAATATATATATACGGAGAAGGGGAGAAGGGGGCAAAAGTGATGGAGGTACATTTCAGTAGCGCGAGGAAAAGGGATGACAAAATCAGCGTGATTATAAGAGGAAAAAGATGTTGAGAGTATAGAGCATAGCCAGGGTAGAGAAACAGCGCGACTTTCTGGTAACACATCAATACAGATTTGTGCTGCATTGTTACATATCAAATTGTGACCTAGGGTGGTAAAAATGTGGAATGAGACGTTTTTGATTCATTGCTGTGTAATATTTGTTGTACATACATACATACATACATACATACATACATACATACATACACACATACATACACACATACATACCAGTACATACATACATACACACACACACACGTTCTCTCCGGCTACGGCACTAGAGCAACCTGCTATGCAGCCAGAACACCAGACTGCAGTGCAGAACAAAATCAATGCAATCAGAGATACACCTACGTACCTCCCAGCTTGGCTTCAAGCAGCTCGACCATGAGCTTTTGCTGCGCTAGCGAGCAGTGAGTTTCGAGTCGCAGCAGGAGCGGATACCTACAAATTTACGGATCACCGGGAAAGAAGAACATGTGCATGTACCAGTCTTACACGTGGTCTGAAAGGAAATCATGTACAATGTATACTGGATCAAGCGGAATGGGACAACATCCTAGAGCGACCATAGACGTGTTATTGTACATGTACTTGCTCATTACCAGAAGGGCATGTGTGTCTCACGGAGAGGGGATATAGAGATTCAAAAGGAACCTCGGAAAGATGACTCAATTGGATATTGAAGCCCAACGGCCGACACCCCTACAACTCTCCCAAATCCGAGCGGACGTAGAAATGATCCCACCTAGGGGCTCTGCCGCTCAACACACCGCAGTAAGTGGGTGAGGACAAGGTGCAGAAAAAGGATTGATGGCATCAAGGTATCCGTCCCGGAATTCAACTGCATTTACTCCTGCCTACACAATATTTAATCTACCCTAAAGCATTGGTAGCGGCTAAGCCATAGACAATTTTGGGAAGAAGTAGCCCCCCCCCCCCCCCACACACACACAGTAGTGGGCACAAACAGGGACCGTGCCTAAAAAAAAGAAGAAAGGATAACGGATGCATACATGAATGTACAAATGAGCAATACTTGTCTACGTTTGCAATCCTGCTGCTTACTGCGAAACCTTGAAGCACGCATCGCGGATCGTGTCCACCGCTGTCTCGAACGTCATGTGTGCGTCACCAGACACCGATATGCCTTCCCGGCAGACCACCGGATACTCAGGACCATCCCAAACATCCACTGCAAAGAACAGGAGAGAGAGAGAAAAAAACATTACTGATCGTGCATGAGGAGCGGAACAACACCAGGAAGAGCACTGGCATGGCAAACACATAGAATATACTATTGCTATGTGCTTCTCTTTCGGCCATGATACATTCCATTCACAAATAATGCATCTCTGGCCCCTTTCACTCCAATTTAGGGCAATATTTGGCCGGAAATGGGGTTGGGACCAATACGTCTGTAGAAATACATGTACTCATACATGTATCTATGCTATGAAACCCACCTGAAATACCATAACTATGCAAAACCTGGCAAAACAAATTAACCTCGCTATGGTCCGCTGTGTGGAGGAATAAGTCTCAACACACAACTGGAAGAGCAATCTACACTGCATTACCAAACGCGTTTCTGAAAAAGGTCAACCTTTCACTCATGAAAAAAGCAAGAGGATCAGCCTTTTTTATCGGCGTAATCGCACTCCGACGGTAATGCTTCAAATTTCCTAAGGGAAAAACCGTGTTACATTCACACGTTGTTCATTCGGGCGGTCCGGGACCGAGCACTGCCTATAACATTGCAATGTCCGAAACTCTGAATCACATACGTGTTGATGGGGAAAGTCCAGAGATATGGCATATGACGTCATGCTTCCCATGAAAAGTGGTATAGGAGTAGTTACTAGCTATCCACTCCCTACACTTGCCCAAAGGGAGCCCAATAGACCCAAGTGCCCATAACTACGGTACCCGGACAGCTCACTAGTCCCTGCGGAACGATGGAAACTGGAAGGTGCTACGTTAAAACTTGACCAGAAATACTAGCAGGCCAATTTCTTCAGAAACTTACAGTCGATGAGTCGGCAACCTCGGTGAAGCGCCCTCGTGATGCCCATGGCTTCGCAGGGACCGTTCTGTGCTTGCGTTAAATACCTGAGCATATAGGAAGAGCAGGACACACAGGACACACAGGACAGCATCCATCCAAGCATCAGACTCCAAGGACACGATCTGAGTGAGTGAGAACATCATGGACAGTGCCTAGCTCTACTGCACTGCAGTACAACCTGTCAAATGAGGACACCTCCGAGACAAGGCATATCCACACTGTATTCGGAGGTGTTCTGATCGCACAGCGCATCGCAACTGTACAGCAGAACATCCCTCAGCTAACACCTCTGAACTAAGGACACCGCCGTATTCAGGATATCTTTGTAAGTCTTGGCAATTGTTCCCAATCCAATGATAAGGCACTCTCTAACCAAGACCTCAATACGCATGACAGACATATCTGGTCTTCGGATGGTTCCACTGCATTGCCAAGACTGAACAAGTGTATAATGAGTGTGGAGATGGCCTTAGTTTAGAGGCGTCAGCCATCGCAGGTTCCACTGGACACTATCGAGTGCCACCTATCAGGTTGAAGTGAAGCTACACCAGTACACCGAACTGTCAGTTTGGAGTGAAGTTACAGCAGTCCCCCGTGCGACTCTCGGCATTTTTTCTGCTTCGAAGTGTAGCAGAAGTTCCAATGAAGGAAACTGACACATCATCAGGATACTGCTGCGGTTTTTTTCTCACTTACGTGTTATGAGATGCGGAGATGAAATACTGGCACAGTGGGTGCGTCATGTCCTGGTTCACTGGGACATGATTACGGTTGAAAACGTCGCAATGCGAGCTCCGAAGATAGCGCGTGAAGCCTGGAGATTGGTATAAGCAAAAACCAGACGAAAATAAGAGTATATTCAAATGTGCACTACTAGTTAGCTGACGAGCGGGTTCTGTGCCAGGGGGACGCCCTGCCCAAAAAATGGGGTACTACTTGCACAAAGGCAAACAGCAAAGAATGCATATATTGGTATAGTTCGGTAGAGAGAGAGAAGTAAAGAGAGATAGAGAGAGAGAGGGGGGGGGGGAAGAGAGAGAGAGAGAGAGAGAGAGAGAGAGAGAGAGAGAGAGAGAGAGAGAGAGAGAGAGAGAGAGAGAGAGAGAGAGAGAGAGAGACTTAGCAAACGCCCGTACCGTCCACAGTAAAGTGGTTCTCAGCTTTTCCCATCGGGGTTGGCTCATACTCCTGAATAATGCTCTGACACTCCTCGACTGTGACATCATCCATCTACCACAAGCAACAAGGACATCAAAGAGAAGATTTAAAACACTAAGGCGATGGCCAGATTCAGGTGTGCACGGTCGACAAAAGCAAAGAAATGTCACAGACTGCATTGAAGGAGCAATATTTCTCACACGACAGATCATCGACCAGATACAGATTCCACTGCTCTACCCAGGCGGCATCATCACGAGATACTCGAGTTCAAAATGAACCTACGTTACACCAACCCAGCCAGCAGGTTATCGGCTGGGTCAGTGCTGGGCCCCTTCCCTGGACTACATACTAGACGCAACAATTCGAGCAACGGATAACCTACAGTTCAATCAGATATAATAGTCCTGCTAGCATTTGAAAGCCCGATTTTGGCCGGATAAAGGCTGAAACCCCACTCTAAAGTCAAAAATCTGAGCTTCGGACTCGCTTCTCCATACATTATGCCATGGTATACCTGTCCTGATTTTGTAAAACCTGGCCGAATTTCTACCTCCTTGTCCTTTGTCTTTTTCACTATCGAAAGTGGCAAGGCAAAATTACATGAGCAATGCAATACACGATTGTTTTCACTGTATCTACCACAAGCATTCCAGAACCCCAAAACTTCGTAAGTGAGGTGCCAGATTTTTTGCTTGACTGCACTGTAACTTAGTCACCAAAGAAGACTACAAGTGCTACGAGGAATTGATATGCTCTGCGGCAGCCGATTTCTTTTATATCATTTTTTACTATGTTCACATTCCCAGCTCGAAAATAATACAGAAAGACAATGGTACTGAGACTAGGACAAACGTCACAACTGTTGAGCAGGGACTGCACCAAGACGCAGCAGTGGTGGTGGGGCATTGATGGCTCTGCCGACCTGAGGTCTCGGCATCACGGCCAAAAACAAGCACCAAAAATGCATGCGTATGTCGTGCAGAAAGCCACACTCACTTTCTGCTCAGTTTGCAGAAACGCCAGAAGTTGCTCAGCCGTCAGTACGTCAGAGTTGCCATACCTGTGGCAAAGTGCAGGCAGAGGAAACGCACAGAACAGAGCGAAGGCAGTGGCAAACATATCCGTTAGTCAAACACTCCTTGGTCAACGAAAAGGGACAAGGGTCGAGACAAGTTGGGAACAAAAGGAGATGTGAGATGTTTCTCCACGCGAGTAACGGACATACAGAAGACTGCACACAAACACAACACGCACAGAGCATGCAATGCTAGGTACCACCCATGGCAAATCGTGTGACTGTCGTTGCTCATCTCCAGCTAAAACAATGTCATAATTATTACTCACTGGCCCACTAAGTAGACAATTTCAGGACGAGTGGCTAGCGCCATATAGAAGTCTCTGAACTCTGCACGATCGAGCTGACCTCTCGATTCGCTCTCGCGATTCGTGTCCGCCTCCTGCCAGAAGAAAAGAAGAAGAGGAGAGCAGATACTAGTAATCAGTTAGTGTTTGCAAGCCTGGACCACATGGCTCTCGGCACTGGAAAGGACCTCAACAGAACAGAGGCAAGCAGTACATGGCTGAGACCAGGGTCGAAGGGATCACACGCCCAACGTAGATGCCGAGTCCAACAACAGGGAAATTTAGAAGAACACGAACGTAAACCACGGACACTGGATGCATGTGGCCGACAGGGCGTATCGACCAGGCGTGCCGATATGTGTGCCGATCGACAAGACAACTTGTGACGAGAATCTGCCACGAATGGAGAACTCTTCGACTATCGGTACTCCAATGCACTCAGCGAAGACGAACGGTCACATGAAGCAACACCATACACGGCATACAAACAGTACAGCAGCAGCAACAATAAAGACAAGCATGCGGACCAAGGGCTGCACACAGACACCAGATGCTAATGGTAACTACAAAACGTGGCACAACAGTAAGATGATGCATGGACACTACGAAGAGCAGTCGCCATTGCAGCCCCTACACTCGTTGCAGACTACGAACTACACGTCCTAAACAACCCAGTCAAATTTCACTTCGGTAGCAGCCAAATCGAGTCAACAAATTCAGCTGCCAAAATGCAACAAGCCGCGGACTAGACACTAGCAACGGATGGTGGATGCTGGCAGGATAGATGGTGGGACAGGTAAGGCTCTGCAGCAGCGATCTTGTAACACTTACTACCGATTCAGAAGGGCTGCGGAACATGGTTGGCTCACGGTCCCGGTGCTGGAAACAGGAGTAGATATTGCCAACAGCGAATGATTATTCCCACACACAACTCACATGCAAAATCAAAGCACACAATGCCACACTCTTTCTCATGGAGACTGGGTGAGCACACATACATATTTACACCCAGTTGAGCAGATACAAAACAAACGAAAAACAATCAATCGGGTACATAAAACAAGCAAACGGGGGAGATTAACGTACGTGGAATTTCTTCTGGATGGCTTCCTTAGAGAGACCAACATTGTGTCGGTGGCACAGTTGTACGATCTCAGATTCATCTAGGTAACCATCGTTGTTGGAGTCCGCTTCTTGAAAGATCTCCTCCAGCCACAGCTCACGTATCGGCTTTGCCTTGCTAACAGGAGCTGGATGATATGAACAAACCAACAGGTTTGGGGTATGTGTGAATCATTTGCCGGGTACGATACACAACATAGCAAGGTGAGGATGATAACTAACTGGCCTCATTCAGTGCTAAATAGCATGCAGGCCGATCCGGGGTATACCGGTACTCAGGTCCTGACAACACTTGCCAGCTAAGGCCAATACAGAGATCCACACAATCATGCACACACACACACATGATGCAGGTGCATGGGTGCACAGCCGAGGCCAGCGGCCACGGAGAGGCAACCAACAGCTAACATAGAAGAGCAGCAGCAGCAGCAGCAATGAGAACTCACACTTGGCTGGCGGGTTGATCATGTTGATGAGGTACTGCAAGCCCATTACCCACACAGTGGCAGTCTCTGCCGTCTCAGCAATGAGATCCAGGCAGCTGAAGTCGGACGAGTGGACAACCGTGAACATGCACTCGTCAGACTCCTGCACTTCGAGGCTCCGCAATAGCTCGGAGTGGCGGCCATGTCGGATTTCGTGTATCGAATTGACATCGACTACAGCAACGCAAGCAAGGAAGCCCCAACAATAACGTTCAGCACATGCAAAAACGAAAATCCAACAGTTGGTGAAGGGAGATAGGCGTGGAAACCCATTGGCAGGTTGGCCCAATAGACGAGTCTGCTTATTATGCCGTACACCGTGGCTACGCACACTTCAAGTACAACCAGACCTCTCTAAACCACACACGCATCCGTTTTCCACAAAAATATCCGGATAGGCGAGGGAACCGGACAATCGAACACACATACCGTATGTATGCATGGCATGCGTTGTAAATCGGCAACCGACGATTTTCTTCCGAATGGCAAGGGATCGGGGATAAGCGAAGTCTGACTGAGCCAGCGCAGAGTCAAATTTATGAAAGTTTACTGCTCGCGAATTGGAGGTTATCAGGTTCATCACTGCTGTATGCGTATGAAAAGTAGCTGATTTCTAGTATTATAGACAGGAGCACGCTCCGTGTTCACTGTACGCAGAACACAACCGCACAACATGCAGACTTACTTTGCCCAAGGCCACCCTCCTTGCGCGTGCTCTGCCAGCAGACACTGTTCATGCCGTCGTTGAGGCTGAACCAGCGTGTAAACATGCCGCGCTGCCGCACCTTGGTCAGAATCGAGCCACGCTGCATGCTCGCCACGCATCCATGAGCTAAACCAAAGGAAAACCAAAAGAAAAAAGAGGAGCGAATCGCAATCACAATCAAGTGTCTTGCACGCAAGGACCTGGACATGGGTATAAACTTCTCCCGCTAACAAAGGTGAACTGCCGTACCTCGTTGATCAGGTGAATAACGAGAATGCCTTTCTCTGTAAAGTGGTGCGAATACACAACCCCAGCCACAGCTTAAACTCATTATCCTCTGTACCGATAAAGCACAATCAAAAACTTTCCTGCCACACATGATACCAGAAACACAAATTACATGACACAACACGACCGACCATCCAAAACACCTTCCTGTTCTAGATTTAGAAACAGGAACAAGGATCCACACAGCTGCGGGCACGACCAACAGAAGCAGATAAATAAAACATGACCAACTGACAACCACAGGACAAGAACACTGGGATAACACGGAGCAGGTCAGTCGGACCCGTGCGCACTACCAAAACGTAACATGATATGCGTAATGCACGACTAGTGTTCGTGAGATCTATCCTATTTCGAGATCTGGAATACACTCAACCGAGACAGCAATATACATGGTGACTAATAGAAGAGCTCCTGACATACTAGTAGTAAGTATACCGCCGTGCAAATGGTCCATGGGATACCTGGATCCACCTCTTCACCCATCGACAAATGTGAGAGAACAAGACACAGATAGATAGCTAGAGAGAGAGGGAGAGAGGGAGAGAGAGAGGGGGGGGGGGGGGGAGGGGAGGGAGAGAGAGAGCTCTGTTCTTCTTCTCTAACAATGGATACGCAACCAAACTACCTGGTCAGCAGACCTGAACATCTGTCACCTCTCGCATCCCCAGTTAACCAGGACAAGGTGCAACCGCAAGCAATCATCCGACCTGCTCCAGAAACTACAATTACTGACACCAAGCGTAGGCACTGCTAACCTGACGCTGTTGCCCCTCCAATCCTCACAGGACCACAGTAGAAGCACCGGCACAGGAAGTCCATGCTAGATGAGGCCATGCTCATTTCATCCCAGACACAGCATGTAGCTGCACCTACCGCAGATAAATCATTGCTGCCATCAAAGGTGGGATGAGTGTGAATGAGTAACTGTGATCGACATCCTTACTATTAGCGTACGGAAAGACAGACCGAGACGAGAGAGAGCGAGAGAAGGGAGGGAGGCAAGAGATACAGATAATTACCACGGTTCCAATGGGGTTCCTCTTGTATTGCCCTTACGTAAAATGAGACCGGCCCAGGACATGGCATAATGTTGCGAGCTATACTACATTGTGGACATGGAAGTTCGGCCAAAGTGGACGGTAGCTTGGGTACTGACCTGGCCGCCATGGTGCTCAAACGGCGCACATTCAAGTCTGGGTCTGGCCCAGAAAACTCGTACACACTATCTGTGTACAGATCTATTTGAATGCTGAAAAAAGTGCTAAACGGGGTGTGTACATATCCGGTTTGTTGAGGTGTATGTAGCGTGAATCCTGTTCACGGAATGCATGTAGCTAGGTTGTTACCCCCCCCCCCCCCCTCCCCGCAATCCGGCCGGATAGCTCTCAACACCACGACTGTACAACGGCGAAACCCGACCCTCTGGATATCACTGGGTGCCCCAACAGCCAAACCTAGTGGACTCGTTCACAGCTGGCCAGACAAAGATTGGCATATAGAGGAGGAAAGCAAGCACCAGAGGACGAACAAGAAAGATCGATTTGTTGACCAGAAGGCGCGTATAGCGATAAAGCAGTTCCTTGGAGCATTGCTGTGGCAATTATTATTGTTCTCCCAGGTGGACAAAACCGCATGTGACACCCTCGTAAATCTCTACATACCGGTACCTTGTTACAACATGCACAGGTCAAAAATCACTTTACACAAACACTTCTACACATAACACAGTGTAGTACGAGCTTTGCAGCTCTGTCTGTCCTAACTGCATGGGTTCACCCCGGGGAAAACACTCCACTCCAGGTCGTTCTGCAGCAACTACAGTCTACACTACACCAGATCTATAGTATTGGCCTGGATACTAGACTTTTTTACTGAGCTGTGCACAATCTAATCGACAGGCACAGCACACTGCCCATGCTGGCTGATAGTGATACAACAAATCTCTCCAACCTCTCCCTGCACAACGCAGTGGCTGAGAGCATGTATACAGTATTATGATAAGTGCTCCAAGAGGTGGAGGTCAAGTGACTGACAATAAAGGAGAGTCCTCACCCAGTTGGCTCACCGACGACACTAGGCACTACACGTCTACAACGATGTATGTCGTAGACTCAATCTACTCCGACAACAATCTACCAATCTACTCCGATCTCCATTCCACAGTAGTAACACCATTGTCATGCTGATACCACTCACGATACCCTCACCAGTACCAGCCGTAGCACGTTCCCGCCTGGCCTCATCAAGAAGTGAACGACACGCGCGTCGCAAGATATCCATCTCCCCAGTTGACAAGGCCAGGAGTTCCGTTTCTACTACACTACAGAACTGCACTGAAATATTGAACATTTCTCAACTCACTAACTTCATTGCACACTTCAATGTTGTCAAAATCAATACGAATCGAGAGGTATCTATCTGAAAATAATAAGAGCTTTGCGACTCCCCGAATCCATAACACAAACAAAGATGCTTATACACGATACTGTTCAGTAAACAATATACAAAGCCTGGACAATTTCCCCTGAGGACTGACCAGTTTTTGAATCTTCTTGCTGCAATAGGTACGTAGTCTTCGCGAACGAGACTCTCTTTCGCATGCGTGGTCTGTTTTCTGTTGTAGCAGAGCGTAGCACAGGCTTGGTTGGCCTGCCATCAGGGGTAGAACAGGACCGACGGTTCAGCACAGGCGATCGATCAGAACGTCCACAATCACTGGAATTATTTGAAGTCAAGGAATTGCCACCATCACTGACTTTGTCAACTGCTTCCTCCGACTCCAAAGCGTCCTGGTCCTGGCCTTCACAGACAAGCCGTGGGGGCTCCTGCTGCTCAGAAGTACTCATGACTCCAGTACTAGTTATCCAAAGTGACAACGTGTTCTCAGCGACATAGACAGGGCCAGCCAAAGAGACAGTCTTCAACGTCAACGTAAGAAAATACGAAAAAGGAATCCCAAAGTGGAAGCGTGCCAAGGTCAGCTTCCCAGACGAACTTCACTGCACATAGGGGACACTGTTGATCACTGACCGAATTTCACGAAGGTCTAGTAACGAAACATGGAGTTGTGGCAGGAGGAGAGCACACGGTACATCGGAGTACTCAATCCATTCCCCTTCGAATCTCCAAAATCTTGGGGCGACGATGAAGTAACCTCCGAAATAAAAAAAGTGTAGAGTAGAGTGTAGCTGTACTGTATGCACTGACCCCGTTGACTTGGTTGTACAGCTGTAGATACACGTGCACTGTGTTTTTGGTCGGCGATCCACATCAGCATCATCATCATCATCATCCATCGCGATGGAGCGAATCGCGAAATGCACACATGCCCAATCAACACGACAACAGACTCGTGCAAGACTCAGAAGAGTGCATGCATATGCGCATGTAATGAGCTGGCGCGCGCTTTTCCACAAATTAAAAAAAAAAAATTGAAGAAATCAGAAATCGTACGGTGCCATACCCGGGTATGTTTACCGGGCCGAGCGCTACAGCCAGTACAGGCCAGGGTACAGTACACTCGTACTTAACTACTTGTAGATCTACGCAGTACAGGTCCGGCCGGGGTCATTGATCAACCAGGCCAGATGCCGGGCTCATTGGCATCCACACTCCCTGCCCAGGCCGGGACACACAGTCTGCGTGCTGCATGCACGTCATGTGCGTTCAAAACTACAGCCATGCAGAAGATCTATTCAAAAACTCTTGCGAAATCAAAATTTCTCTTCCACACCAGAAAGTGTTTCATCTTGGCTGCATCAACTCAAGGATCGTGAAACCTTTGCTTCACCATGGCGTCTCTCATGCGACTCTCTGCTCTTCGCAGCGCCACCATGGCAAGAGGATTTCGCACTGCAGCAGTGCTTCGCGATGGTCCTTTCTCCTCTGGCGGCGGTCATGTCAGGTGAGAACTCCACTGAACATGCCCTGAGTATTTCCTTTGAATATCTTCCGGCGTATAGTACTGTTGTACATGTACTCAAAGGTCCTAGTAGTAGCACTATTCTATTGTACTAGTTCATGGATCTCTAATCTATGCTTAGTGAAACTTTAGGAGCTTATTCGAGCTCTTCATAGTAACATCCGTTCTCTCATCTCATGAGCCCAGCTCTCATGCCCCCCCCCCCCCCACACACACACTTTTGCAAGTTCAGTACATACGTTTTACATGTTTGGCTAGCAAAACCAATGACTATGTTTGTTGGAATTCGAATAGACGATTTGGTGGAGTTTCAGTGAACTGGAAAGAGAATCATCAAGCGTCGTGCTTCATTTGGAGTGGCACCTTTCTTCAAAGCTATGAGCTGCCGCTCATCATTTTAAACCCTCCGGCGGAGTTTCTAAATGCCATGTTCACAGTACAACAACGAGGTTGCCTGATGATTGCGCTGAGCATGAAACTCAGCTGCAACAAGCTACAACCTTAGCCTTGCTCAACTGTTGCGCTGTGCAGGGGCGTAGCCAGGATTGTGGCTGAGGGGGGTGCTCACTGGAAGTGTGGGCCTGTGCCCGAAGGGTGCGAAAAATGGGGGGGGGGTCCGGGGGCCCTCCCCCAGAAAATTTTTCGATATTGAGTGCCAAATCCTTCATTTTTGCATCTATTTCATTATTTTCCATTCCACCAATGATTCAATAAAAAGTCAGATAATCGTATGAAACGCACAGTACTTTGCTACAGAAGTTGGATGGTAAGAGATTGACAGGGTGTGGTTAGACCCAGAATATAATACAGACAATTGTTGAAGTTCGTTCAATCCACGATTGAATACATGTAATCACCAGGACACTGCTGCACATTATACCAGCCAGGATAGGAAAATTTTATAATACAGGGGAAATCTTATTATACAGGTATTAGAGGTTACGTATGTCTGCCGACGAGTGCTCATGTTCAATCCGCCTCATGAGATTTGTATTTACAGTCCAGATGTGCCAGAGTGAGATGTACCACAGTACGCTGCATCATTCACTGTGCAATACATTCACCAGCTGCATTCGTCGTGGATGGCCGCGAGCAAACTCATCGATGACCGCACCCACGTCAACTGGAATGTCATGATGAACCTGCAGCAAGGTGAGGCCAGTCAGCTGGGAGTTCTTCATCACTGATCTCTGCCGGTCCTTGACCAGTTTCAGGGCGCTGAAGGACCGTTCGGACGAGCAAGACGTCACTGGCAAGGTTGCAAGAAGTTGCAGAAGGCAGCGGATGTTCGGGAACATCTGGGAAGCGTGGGGTAGCGCTGCTGATACCGAGGTCGGCAAGCTAGCTTCACCGTGCTCTGCCTTTGCCTTCACCCACTTCACGCGCCAGCAGTGGAGCTCAGCCTCCATACTACGGCCAGACACAAAGTCGTCGTCATACAGCTTCACCAGCTCCTGTACTTGGGACTTCGCAGCGTCCATGGACATCTTTAGCAGCAGTGCTGGGATGGCACAGAAGCCCTGGAGTGCGGTCGAGTGGTGCGGCGTGAACCTGGCCTCTATCTCCGACACCATGTGGTCCAGAATGGGCACTGTCAGGGCACGTCGGTAGTACTGGACGGGCGTATCGGCCTGAACGTTGTTCCGTTGGGTCTGGCGACCACACAGCCTAGGAAATGATGGCGTAACGTGCACTGCCTCACATACGGACTTCACCACTTCAAACCACTCACCATGGTACTTGTCCACATTTCTTCGGACTTCTGCCAGTGTGGTTGTGACGGAACTCACATCGTGCATTGCTGCAATCAAGTCCTTGGCTTCTGCTTGGAGACTGGAGGTGATGCCACGCACGTAATGAAGGCACTTGTTGACAATAACTAAGGCTGCGATAAAGTCGGTGTTGGTGATAGCCGTCAGCAAACCATTCGCATCCGTAATGGAATCTCTTGACCACGCCTGGGGACCTTCATCCAGGATTGCATTGAAGCAGACCACAAGCATGGGGTGAAGGGCCAGGAAGGATTCCAGTGCATCAAGTCGCTGCACCCACCGTGTCCTGCAGAGATCCTTTACCTTGGATGTATCAGGTTCCTCGTCTGCATCATTCAAAGCGGCCTCGAGCGCTTTCTGGCGTTTCGGATGGGAGTCGAAGAAAACTGCTACTCGGGTGATGACGCCCATCATATTCTGCACCAAACGATCTTGCAGATACGCCCGTCCAGTACTACCGACGTGCCCTGACAGTGCCCATTCTGGACCACATGGTGTCGGAGATAGAGGCCAGGTTCACGCCAGGTTCACGCCGCACCACCAAGTTCAGGCAGTGCGAGGCACAGTGCAGGTACAAAGCTCGGGGGTACTTCTCTGTGATACGGGCAGCGGCACCTTTCCTGGCTCCTGCCATGTTGCCTGCTCCGTCATAGCTCTGTCCACGGAGCTTGCCAAGGTCAAGGCCAAGACTGGTGATGGTATCCGTGATCAGCTTAGCGAGGGCCTCTCCGGTAACTCCTGCTGCACACTCAACGAACACGACAAAATCCTCTCGAACCACCTTTGTCGATAGGTCCACGTACCGTAACACCAAGCTGAGTTGCTCCTTGTTTGCCACATCTGTCACCTCATCAGCGATAACCGTGAACCATCCAGCATCCTTGACCCGATCAACAATCCTCTGGGCAATCTGGTCACCAATGATGTCGATCAGTTGGTTCTGGATATCTCCTGACGTGTACGTTGCATTGGCTGGGGCAGAAGCAATATGACCAGCTAGGATCTTGTCACCAGCCTCCACTCTGAAGTCCATCAAAGCCCAGAAATTTCCACAGTTTGCGGAATCCGCGGCCTCCTTGTTTGTGCTGGCGTCTCTGTGACCTCGCAGAGGAATATTTTGTCTGCCGCACAAGATAAGGATTTTGATTATCGCCTCCAACTTGGCGCGATTCGCAGCTACCCTAGCCGCGAGTCCATCATTGGTCAGCTGTGCTATGTCCTTCGTTTTCCCCTCCATGACACTGAGGAAGCCGTCAGCTCTTACCACAGCGTCCTGGTGGTAGGCTTTCCCCATATGCTCATCCAGGAGCGCCAGTGCTTTCCGAAAGTTCGTCAAGGGACGTCTTGCCAAAACACCGAGCGACGATCCTCGGAATGCATTTGCAAATAGACAGCATGGAACGCAGACTCCGCCGGAAAGCGAAGGGCTAAACACCAGCCATGGCTTGTATACATCGAGCCAGCGGGGCTGAAAAGACCGGCCACCATTCTTCGGGAAAACAAACGAACTATCCGGTTGGACATGGTCCTTTAGCAGGGCAAACATCACGTCGTCGTCGAGCGGTGCACCCTTCGCAATGTCCTCCATGAAGGTACCGATGTCATTTCGAACGACTGCTACTGGTACAGCCAAGGGCGACAACTGCGGCTATTCCGAGTCTTCGACTTCGACAATTTCGCAATTAGATTCGTCAGATTCGGAAATGGCACTGGCACTGCTGCTACTGGTATCTGGTCTCTTCGACTTCCCTCGACTGAAATACTTCAAGATCGACATTTTCATAAGAATCCATTCGACTTGTGGATCACAAAACGACGTTGACACTTCTCTTTCACTTCTACCAAGTCTAGCTACACAAAGTGCGAGTCTATATACCGGTAGTTGTACAATGCGCAGTGCATCCGAAAACGACCAAACTCACATTCAAAGGCAAAGATCTACACACAACTATACTACCACGGTAGTACTAGTTCAAATTACAGTACCGGTAGTACTACATTGTATTAAAAATTAATAATTTAGCACTACTGCGCCTGTCACCGGCGAGAACATGACTGCATGTGCAGCCATGCATGCAGTCTCAAGTGCAACCTGCATGCGCTACTAGTAATACAGTTGGCCGGGCCCCGTCGTGCAGCGCAGCGTCGTGTGGCGTCGATCTTGTCGACGTCGAGTCTCGATCGCGGGCGGGCGTAGATCCACAGCAGTACGAAAATGGTACCTGAAATTTTTGAGGGGGGTGCTTGGGCACCCAAAGCACCCCCCCCCCCCCCCCTGGCTACGCCACTGCTGTGTAGTGCGCTCTGCCTTCGCAGTATCCGAGCATTCAGTAAGTACATGTACTGTTGTGAGCGTTGAAATCCGATGGAATGACCGGGACCGGCGCCCTTCCTACCTTAGCGCGTACATGCGCTGTAGTTCACGCAAAACACACACACACACACACCTTTGACCTTTGACCTTTGACGCCCATCGCCGGAGGCGATGATAGCAATGCTACGGCAGAAGCCATAGCAACTTGTGCTGGGATTACACCGTTCAACAGCTTGCAAGGCTGAAGAATTGACCGTCACTATTCAGCCTGGTCTACACACACACACACACACACACGCCATGTACCATCAAGAGTACATAACCCCCCAGAGTGTGCAACGCCGATCCAGCTCTGCATAGGGTCTTGGTCGAGCGGAATTGGATCTTCTGATGTCATGTGTACACTCCACACCAGCGCAAGGCCGGTCTCGAGGCGGGCACCATTGTTACCCGCGACTCCCCGGGTTCCCCTCAGATGTGTACGGTATTATGACGCAAAGATCCGAATCCGCTCGACCAAGACCCTATGCAGAGCTGGATCAGGCGTTGCACACTCTGGGAGGTTATGTACTCTTGCTACCATGTATACGCCCGTCGCAAGAGAAGCACGCAAATCTGCAAATGCACTGGATGTGCACCCACAGATTGTCTCTTATAGCAACGATAGTGAACAAGATCTGAATGAGACAGCTCAAGACTTGCGCCAGATAACAGTCTAATCCACACAACTGGCGAAGACATGTGAATCGACCACCAACGCACACCTGGTCTACACCACACGCAGTACACATACCTGCCAAGTATCCAGATTTTTTCGGGATTATCCCGCAATTTTGGATGAACTCCCGCGATCCCGAAATTCCTGTCGATTATCCCGAAATTCACTGTACAAGACGCAAGCTTGATATTGTACTTGGAGCACTTCAAATGACGTCCTTATTGATCCCGGACCGTCATAGCCTGCAGTACCAGTTGCCGGTGCCAGTGGATCTCCTAGTGCTCCTTCCATGAGCAGTCTCTGAAAAACCTCCGTTTTTGAGTCTTGAACAGGTGTAAGTGTGATCCGATGATTACCATCGATCATCTATTATCGAAATGTTGGTGCCATCAAAAGTTGAAAAAGGATTTTTTGGTAAAAATATGACATATCCCGAAAAACCAAGGCAAATCCCGGGATTTTGCCATGGCGATCCAGAAAAAGCACTCTCAGTACTTGGCAGGTATGAGTACATCGGCATAAAACACACACACACACACACACACACACACGCACACACCCTGTAAATATGTACCAACAGTGCTCGCGGGTGCAAGGCCAGCGCCGCGTGGCTGCTTGATTTCGCAATGGATTTCAATGCCCAAAACAGCACATCCTCCTGTGTAAAAGCTATGCTCAATACCTAGCTAGTCAGAGATCGGCATGGTCATGGATATGAGTTTGTGTACTCTGAGTCTTTTAGGATCTAGCAGGATTTAGACCTATGCTACAATGTCATACTGTGAGACAGGAAAGCATGGGGAAGTTAATCTAACAATTTAACCAGTGTAAAGAAGGGCTGAGGCTTCCTGCAGCTTCATCTGTGAAAAGAATTCGGGTGGACACACCCATTCCCATAGCGCTGCATATCACATCCGAACCAGTTCCGTTATTTTACAACGTTTCGGCACTTGGCCATCGTCAGGTAATATATAGTAGTTTCCATTCAGGCTGTAAATTCCCTGCAATGTGTATTGTGTGTATTGTGTGGATATTGCAGCAAACTCTGAGACGGGGGGGGGGGGGGGCTGCTGTGCCTTGCTTGCATGTGATGGAACGCGACTCCATTAAAACGTCAGGGGGGGGGGGGTCTTGAGATTTTGGCGTATGCTTACTAGTATGTTGTGTGTCTTTCTGGTCTTCTCAGCGATACTGGTGGCAAGTTCAAGGAGAGGGAGCAAGCCATGGAGGAAGCCTACTTCAGAAAGCAGGTACAAACGCCTATCATCTGGACACTTGTTTTCTTGCATGCTGTCAGTGCGTATGTTCCGAGTTACCGGCAGTGCCCAGATAGGGGGAGTTCCATTGTTCTGTTCAGTTCAAGCATGTAACGAAGCGCCTAGTAAGAGGGGAGATTCTGTTTTGCACGGTTCTTTTAGCGTCTGTTCGTGCACTTTGTATAAAGTCATAGCACCCCCCTCTGCACCTCCTTTGCTGCACGCCAAACTCTGGTCCAACTGATGAGCAGGTAGATGGTCGAAAACCATGAAGTGACGACGAGTGGAGCGCCTGTATAGAGTAATTTCACGTCGTTGTCATGTGGCTAAAATTGTGTAGGAACTGATCATGACAATCATGTGTGGACAGTGGAATCAGCGTGGTCGACATCATGTGACCCGTTCATGCCAGGGTTGACTGGAGTTTGAACCAACATGGTGTCCCGTTTGGTCATGTGATAGGTGTGAAGCCGCTCTACTTACAGATTTGTAATCGCCGGCGCCGACACCGGGTCACTTATGTCTCACTGGATACGTTGTCCCGTCACACTCCAGTGATACCGTTTATATTCATTTCTATTGCATGGCACGGTATTGATACCGATCAGTGCAGGGAGTGCTGGCAACATGCCCCTCAGTGCCAACGTACATGTACGTGATGAGCCGTGCTGTAGAGCCGGCCTTAGCACACACTTAGTCACATTCACGCCGTGTTTTTCAGTCTTTTCACTTGTGTGTTCTATGTTTGGTTTTGGGAGCCAACCCAGGATGTAGGCGCCTTTTGTTTTGGGTTATAACTTATCAGTATGTTCATAATGATGACGATCTATCGCCAATTGAATTGGTAAATTTTTCTATAATCAGGATACCTCCCTATCCAGGACAGGCATGGTTGGTCTCTAGGGTGTATGTGTTTGGTCTTTCCTAAAAAAACTTTGCAAGAAAATAGGATGTACTTGTTCAAGAGGTTAGTCATAATTAGATGGAGAAAAAACCCCGCTTGTCTATGAAGTCCCACAACATTGTTGGGCGTGTAACACCAACTGCACTGTTGCTGGTTTGTTTTTCAGACTGCTGAACAACTGAAGGCACTGAGGGAGTACATGGAGCAGAAGAAGAAGTCTTCTGAGATGCTGATCGCGGAGCACGAGGAGGAGATTCGCAAGCATAAGGTTTGTCTAACAAACTAAGATTGTTCTGTGCTGGCGCTTTTGTGTGCGGTAACCCTCTTTTCGACAGTGCATGCAGATATCCACCCACTTCGCTCCACACCACAGATCTTTTAAATGCCTGTACTGACATAACTTTCCTGTGAGGTACTCAGGCATTGGCATGACTGCCTCCTTGCAATGGTCTTGTCATCTATCTACTGAGTAGAGCAGAACAACAAGGACAATCAAGGCTTGTTTGCTGCTACTTCAAGTTTCATGCTCTCGCAATCATCAGGCAACAGTAGATATTATCTTTTCAGCAAGCGAATTGTAGATGTAGGTATATGTCTGTCATGGCCATCAGGGCCTTGTTGGCGTGCAAGCAGCCGCTTTCGTTGCTTCGTAGACCATCTACTGTAAACTGCCTAATATTCGCGACGGATTAATGTTCGCTATTTTTGCGAGAAGAGCGTGACGCGTGAAATCTAACTTCAACAGTGGGTGTTTGTAAGTGGCCCCAGTGTTTCGCGAACTTTTGCCATCGCAAACTCGCTGGTTCTAAGAAATCGCGAAAATTTAGTGACGCGGATGTTGGGCGGTTTACAGGATGACTGAGTGCTGGTACCGTTCTTCTGTGATCTTGTTCGTTGCATTATAAATGTATACTGTACTGAAAATGTGAAGGCCTACTTTTTACCAGTCTTGTAGTAAACTTAGTACAATCTCCTTGTGCACTGCTGAGAGTTAGTCTGGTAAAACTAAGATATACATCCTGCCTGCTACTGTGCCATGTTTCCGAGCAGTGGTGAGTACCGATTGCTTTCCTGTGCTTCGTGGTATGCGTACCGGTAGTTCAGATTGCCAACCCAGCTGGAAAATGTGGCGCAGGAATCTTGATGAAATGCTAAGCGATGCAGTTGCACACTCAGGGAGCGTGTGTGTGTGTGTGTTTGTGTGTTCAGTACTGATCTTGATACATCGACTCGTGTTTTGTGCTTGTCCGTGTGCTCTGTGACGCTGCAGGAGGCCATCCTGGACTTACATGACGACATGGAGCAGGTAAGCAAGGTCCACGACGACAAGAAGTGACGCCGTTCCCAATCACCACACCCGCAATCACGATGACCATGGATGGCATTAGCTGATGACAGGCCGGCTGGCTTGCTTGCAATGGCTAGGTGTATGATGCGTGTCCAACCCTGTTACTGACTACCCGTATGGCGCACTTGATCTTCGCCCCGAGCTCAGTTTTGCTGATGTTGCTGGCGCTCAATGCAGGGCTTTAGCTGGCTTGGTTCTGCTCCGCTTTGTGTGCTTCGGTCTGTGCGATTGCTTGCGCGTAGCTTATGTATGCTTATTCTCGTCTTTCCCTTTTCAGTCCTGCAGACGTAATGAATATTCTCGTCTTCTTAGGGTTTTCTTAGGTTTTAGTTGATATATTTTGCCTTTATTCGCTTGTATCATTTTTTCCAAGTAAGTTGGAAATTATTTCCTGCTTTCTTTTCCGATTGTGTTGTCAATATTGATCATTTCTACCCGGCAACATAATCAGTATGCTAAATATCCAGCACTGAAACTTACTGCCATACTGGTTGAAGTTACGTGTTTCTTCGGGGGGGGGGGGGGGGGCTTCCTTGGTTCCAAAAATATGTCTTGCTTCTTGTCGTCGGCTGCTGTTTTGAAATACTATTACTGGTATGTGCATTGTCCATATCAGGCACGTAGCACCGCCGTTGGCGGTGGTCCGGCCGGGGAGGGGATCTGCCCCCGTAATTTTTTGAAATTAGGGTGCAAAATCCTGCATTCTGGGCACTTTTGGCATTGTTTTACTATGGTGGTCGTGGTCCGGCCAAAGCCGGAGCGGCTGCTACGCCCCTGCATATGATTTGACATGATTGCATGCACCCATTCAATGATTCATGATGATATCCACTAACTAATTAATTTTATTTGTGTGAAGTATTTTCACGTGACATGGACATGGATTGTCTGACCGCACCAGTAATAAAAGCGTGGTCCGTTCTTGCTTTTTTTTTTGGAGCGTCAACTCTCGCTTTTGCCGCTCTGGCGGCAAGTTACTATGGAGATTCGGATTATAATCCTAGGATTATTTCGATTTTGCCGCAGTCTGACCAGGCCCAAGTAAACAGGCAGTTGTAAAAATACTCAGTACCGGTATAATTCTTAATTTTTTGACAGGATCATCAGAATCCATGCATGGCATATCGGAATGGAGTAGCATAGCATGCACAGTTGCACACACGACATCTCCACACCTGTGTATTAATTACTATTATTATTAAATAATTACTATTTTTTTATTATTATTATCTTCCTATCATACCCTGGTTTCTCATCGTGTTGCTTTGTACGGGCGAAGATCTCCTTTTGCCTTGTTCGGGCAATGATTGCCAGTCTACGTGGTCACCGTCGGAACCCACCTCGACATCTGTCTGGTTCGGCTGTGCTGGCGGCTGCTGAATGTGCCCTGGTGCCATAAACGGTGTACATGATACAGTACAGTTTCTTTGGTAATGGTGTTTCATTTACTTTTGTATTTTCAGCTCGTTTTCTTTGTATTTACCTCCTCATTGTTTTGTTTTTTACCAGGCGTGGGCCGGCCATCCCCTGACTTCAAAAAAAAAATTGTGTTGCTTTTGCCCGTAATCTGGTAATAAAAGAGGCTGTTTCACACACGACATCACGCAGACCACGTGGTACCTTCCCAGCCCGCGCGTACCGTTGACGTCACACAAATCGGGATCATGCATGCATGCTAGAAAGTAGAAGAACAGATTCAAACGTTTTGTACAAAAATTTCATACTCGTCCTCGATCGAGGAACAAACTACAAGTCATGCAACAAAGTCAAAGAGCTGGGCAGTGCAAGACCTGAGCCGAGGACTGGTCAGCACGCCAGCACTGCAGCAGCAGAGAGGCACAGGTGTGCAAGCTAGTCGGGGAGTAAGTCAGTGCAGTGCACTAGTGGTGGCTGTCCCTTTTTTGCACATGTACTCGTGTTTTCTTTTGTTGCTTGGAGCCCACGAGCATAGCACCCCAACTGCCAAGTAACAATTTTGTGGCACAGCTGAGGCTCGAGTCGTTGACATTTTTTCTCTACTCAGTGCAGTGCATTCAGCTCAGTGCAGTTACTTGTTTGACGAGGTTGTTTATTTGTTGGCCACTCCGAACAAAGCAGTCCTTGAATTTGTGGATTGCGGAGAGAAGGCAGCATTTCCAGTGCGTCTACTCTGTTGATGAAGTAGTACCTTGCCTGCAAACTGAGGTTACCACCTTAGCTAATACGGTGGAACGGGACGATTGAGCGAAGTCCAGGCGGCGGGAAAGTATGGTGACGGATGAGGAAGAGGCACTCTTGGCATCGGATGCGCCCGAAATCGGGGGATGCGGTGGTTCGGCTCTGTGCCATCCAGGCAAGAGAGGCCATCGCTTATTGCTCCTGGGTGTAATGTGCTTGTTGGGGTTCGGTAAGTAATCTGCTCGACACGTAGAGCTGAGGTAGTCAGGTTTGCTGTGGTAACAATAGCCACTAGCACTATTCCAGTTTTTATTTTTATATTTTTACTTTATTTTTTACAATACTTGGCGTTTGGACGGTTTAAAGGGGAAGTTAAGGCAAAAATTTAAATTTCACTAATTGTAGTCTTCGGGGTGCTGAGTCGAATGGTCTTGGTCCGAGAAAGCTGAGACGCTCCCTTCCTACTTGAATCCCAATCGAACTCGCGCACTTCCACCGAAACTGGGTGACTGCGCCCTACGAGATGGGGATTTGTATGCAAAATGTCACTAAAAGCGCCATTTCGTTCTTATAAAAGCACGGATGACCGCGATTGGCCCATATGTTGTAGTCTTTTGGACGCTGAGTCGACTGGTTTTGGTCCGAAAAGGCTGCGATGCAGCGTTCGCCCCTAATTCCCAATCAAACATGGTTGAACAAGCGGTCACGTGCTCCTGCGTACACCAGTCACCTGGTCACCGTGCCTGCAGGGTACAACTTACAGCCTGTTTTGACCTTTTTTGGGTGCAGTCCTGTCACTCGAGTTGAACCTTGGTGTGAAAGTTGTCGCCTGCTGGCGTGGTGACCAGGTGATTTTGGCACCCAGGAGCACGTGACCACTTCTTCAACCATGTTCGATTGGGAATAAAGGAGGAACGCTGCATCGCAGCCTTTTCGGACCAAAACCAGTCGACTCAGCGTCCAAAAGACTACAACATATGGGCCAATCGCGGTCATCCGTGCTTTTATAAGAACGAAATGGCGCTTTTAGTGACATTTTGCATACAAATCCCCATCTCGTAGGGCGCAGTCACCCAGTTTCGGTGGAAGTGCGCGAGTTCGATTGGGTTTCAAGTAGGAAGGGAGCGTCTCAGCTTTTTCGGACCAAGACCATTCGACTCAGCACCCCGAAGACTACAACTGGTGAAATTTTGATTTTTGCCTTAACTTCCCCTTTAATGGACCACTTGCCATTTGTACAGATCCACGAAATCCCGTAGAATCCTGTAGACCCGGAAGGGTGTTGAATGTGCAGAACCCTATTGTGTTTTCTGCTATTTCCACTAAGAAATGGGCCTGAAGGCATTTCATACGAAAACGTTATCCTGACAAAGATCTAGCTAGTCATTAGTTCTAACCAAAGTGAAGAAGCTGGAAAAGCGATTGCTGGTCATTGAATTATGACGCGAAAATTGGTCAAATGCGCATGCATATCACACATTCAACACCCTTCCGGGTCTACGGGATTCTAAGGGATTTCGTGGATCTGTACAAATGGCAAGTGGTCCATTGGGAGTTCTTTCAGTTTTTTGAACTTTTTCTCCAGTGTAATAAATCTTGGTGCCAGTGAATATTGTAGGTCCTGAGGGGGGGGGGGGGGGAAGGGGAGGGGGGGGGGGAAGGGGAGGGGGGGGGAAGGGGAGGGGGGGGGGGAAGGGGAGGGGGGGGGGGGCTGCTGGCACTGTTTAGTACAGGCACTGCATTCTTTTGAATTGAATATTGTGCTCAGCTTTTGGGTAACGTGCAGCACTGAAGTATGGTCAACAGAAGCGGGCGTGACTGTTGAATGTTCAGGTGGTGTAATGTGCCTGTCCATCTAATGGCAGTGCAGTCGTGTGCGTGTGCCTGGACAACCGCGGCTGCACTCAAAATGCGACGTTCGGTGAGGACAAACAAAACGCACGGATGGCAACTCACACTCCTTTTGTGTTGGTGGTGTTCTCTGTTGTCGTTGCTGCAGGCAATTATTACTGTTATGACCAGCCAGCCGCATTGGAATCAGAGATCATAGATGTAAGGAAAACAATATACAGCACTGCGCAATGAAATCCAGTCGAGTTTCTCAAGTACACGCCGGGGCGTTGCACAGCCCTAAACCTGTGAACACTGGGCTGAGAAAAGGTGCACGGCGCCAACTACTTGACTTTCGCGACTGGATTTCATTGAGCAGCACTGTACATGCTGTGCACTTTGTTGGTCGGGACCGGCTTTTCTCAGTATAACGACACTGAACGTAATAGAAGTGAAGTGGTTTCACTGGAGGATGGGGGTGCGGGACAAGGCACAGCACTGATGAGTGCTTGAACCGGTTTTGCTGGCTCAGCAGGACCGGTGGAAGCATTTTTTTTTGTCGCGTCCGGCCAGCCGCTCAGATATTGTATGTAGATCATGTGGTGGACACCAGTGACCGCCCACGGTATGTATATATGTACTGGGTGACCGCCCAGTGTATGTATGTATGTATGTACTGGGTGACCGCCCAGTGTATGTATGTATGTATGTATGTATGTACTGGGTGACCGCCCAGTGTATGTATGTGACTGCTAAGATGTTGGTCTTGGCCCTGGTAGTGTAAATGAAAGCGGTGCAGTATTTTGATTGGATGTGAACAGGCTGCCGACGGTGCGTTGACTGACTGAACACCATTACCGTGCTGCAATACTCTCCTATGTTGGAATGGAGGCGCACACAAATTTCGTACCTACAGACTGCAATCTACAATGCCAGGTACCATGCCTGCAAGTCGCCCGATTCTTGGCTTATTGTGCAAATGCATGTACCGGAGGACTTCTTTATGTTCCGCAGGTGAAGGGGAATTTGCTGTGTGTAGGAGGAGTTACTTTTTTTTATCTTGCCCTCACCTTTTTCTGTGGTGCCTGGGGATCCGGGGAGTCAGGTGTCACTGGCCATCACCACACACAATCTCCCACTCTGTACACCATTGCTCATCTAGCTCTTGACATACGCCTGTGACACGAACTACTTTGATACCATTTTTTGTTGTTGCTCTTTGCGTTGTTTCTGTCGTAATTCAAAGGTCTCGGGCGTAACTACAGCCCAGTTTGAGCTTCTCTATGCTCTCTACTCGTACCCCAATGTCATCCTCAGCGTGTTTGGCGGTTTCCTAATCGACAGAGTAACTGGACTAAGGTTAGTAAAGTACTCCTTACAGTCAGAACTCTAGCTAAGAGGGTAAGCAGCGGCTTTCGGCCTGTACTCGTTTAGTCCAGTCTCCCCGCCATCCATGCGCTCTCCCGCCAACCTTGTTCACCAGACCAGCTAGCAACACGACTCCAAGTTCTAGTGGATACTAGCATCAATTCTTGCACGCAGCTGTTTCGATCATACAGATCTCATCAGTGAAGGTAGTGGAGCACTGAAAGGCTGGAACTTGTGAATAGTACCCCTTTTTAATACACAGAATTACTGTGGACATGAGGTACGTACTTTGAGGTAACATACATGTAAGTGCAAACGTATGGAGATAGCCACTAGCTCGCTCTCATACGCACAAGAGTTCTGCAGGCATAACTGCATGTAGTACTGACCAGTCTGTGGATACGCAATGGATCCTAACGCGCTAAAAATAGCACACGGGAAATTGAGGTGACAGTTTAGACATTGGGCTTCAGCGCAGCCTTGTGTGTGCCTGTGTGACCTTGCACGTATTCTCCATGTGTTAGCACTAGTGCTAGCTGAAAGTGTGCGCAATTGCGCTACTTCATCTTCACAGTACTTCTCTGTATAAAAAGAAATGCTATTCACAAGTTCTAGCCTTTCAGTACTCCACTACCTTCGCTGATGAGATCTGTATGATCGAAACAGCTGCGTGCAAGAATTGATGTCAGTATCCACTACAACTTGGAGTCGCGTTGCTCGTGTGGTGAACTTTGCTGGCCGGAGAGTGTATGGGTGGTGGGGAGTTTGGACCCGGAATCAGAACTATCCGTCTGTTTTCTCTTGCCGTTATATTTCAAAGCTGTGTTTTCTAAGACTGTCTTGCTTTGCGTCTTCTTCTTTCGGTTGCTCGGCTTAAAGAGAGCAAGGGATTTGATACGATAGCTGCAGCTGCGTACGATTCTGTTTGGACATTGTTGTTGTTGTTTTATTTTACTTCATCAGATTTACAAGCAAGGATGCCTTCTCACCGGCCAGGGGCCAGTTCCTAGAAATGATGAACATCTGCACTGTAATAGTATAGTATTAGAAGAAGATCTGTTAGCTGACCTGTTCTTGTTTTGTCTGCTGTGCTTTGCAGATGGGGAGCTGTCCTGTTTGCCAGCATCATCACTGTTGGTCATGTGAGTACACTCGACCTGTCCTGGTTCCATGCTCTTTCCGTTATTTTCTTCCTATGCAAGTCGCAACTCCTGTTTTGAGTTGTTTTTCTTCTCTCTTTTTCTTTCCCTACTAGTTGCTGTTACACTCACTGATCCTTATGCACAGATATACAGCATTCTCTCACTAGTGGGACCATTGTTATTAGGCTAGGGCCTGTTTTGGACTCCCCACTCTAAATAAAGAATACAAACAACAAAACAATGCACGTTTTAGCATGAATTTGTGATGCCACCACCAGGAGGAAGGGATGGGGGGGGGGGGGGGGGGGGGGCTGTATTCGAAGTCATGTGTAGGAATTCAACCACATTCCAACCATGCACATGTGGTAGATTTTCTTGTGACCAGACGAGACCAGACAACGCCTGCAGACACCAGCACGAATACCGCACCAGCCATACTCCACAACAGCTAAACGTTGCTCACTGAAGATGGCATCTACAAATCCTGTACATGTGCTTGAGTAGATGGACTGCACACACTTTCTTTTGTATGCTTGCAATGTCATGTTTTTTTGTGACGATGTGCATGTATGGTCAGAAGTTAGCTGATTGACTGTGCTGTTGCAAAGGTTTTCCGAATGCATGATGTTGTTGTTACCAGTGTGGACCGAGGGATTACATGTACCGGCTTCTGTGCGTGTCCTTTTTTTGTCTCTGCTCTACTGCAGGCCATCTTTGCCTTCGGTGCTCAGATCAACTCGTTCCTCACCATGGAGATTGGACGTTTTGTGTTTGGGTGAGATTCTTGTATTTGCCTGGGGTTGTTTCTTTTCGTTTTGATCGCTATTAGACTGTGGCTGGTCTTCGCAAGGCTGTCGCTGTTGTTGGGAACACAGCCATGGCTATGGTTCTGCTCCCGGTGGGTATTTATTTCTCAAATGGTCATGGCACTGCGATAAGCAGCTTGGTGAGGGCGACTCCCTGTCCTCTTGTCAAGACGTCAGTCTCTCCCCAAGAGTGTGCAGTATTGGAAGTGGGGTCTCTGACGGGAAAAACAAAAACAAAAACAAAAAAACATCCCGTGTTCCGCATCAATGTTGAGTACGTTTCGTACTATGACTATGTACAACGACGGTCAGCGTGTACGCGGTATGGATACCAAGGGATGTGTATCATGGCTCACGTGAGCGGTGTGGCGTTCTGTTAGGAAGTGCTGTATTTCTACTCTAGTGCTCACTGGAACATTGTGGACACGCACAGCATGAACACTATTCGAACACCGTGTTATGTGAGTTTTCGCCATAAACGGACTCGGTAGCAAACCCAATCCGATTTGGAAACTCATCGCGGGTTATGTACTCTTGCTGAAACCAGGGTTCATTGTTGTGTGTTTCTGATGCTCATCTCCTATAATGTAGTGTGGGCGAACATTTTGGCTTTGGCAGTGCAAGTCCTAAACCGGGTGTCTTTGTCTTGCTGATAGTTTGTGTGTGTGTGTGCGTGTGTGTGTGTGTGTGTGTGTGTGTGTGTGTGTGTGTGTGTGTTGTGTACATAGTCTTGGTGGAGAGAACCTTGCAGTTGTGCAGAATGCGTATGCTGTGAGCTGGTTCAAGGACAAGGAGCTGAACATGGCATTTGGCTTGCAGCTCAGTATCGCCCGTCTGGTAAGGCGACGGTCTTAGTTGTGCCTTTGCGATGCCTGTGTGTGTAGGTGTGTACCCGTGCTAGCGCGCGCGTGTGTGTAGGTGTGTGTGTGTGTGCGTGTGTGCGTGTGTGTGTGTGTGTGTGCGTGTGGTGTGGGCATGCGCATGCGCATATCAGGCTCGTATCCAGACGAACACATCACCTGCCAACTATAACTGTACAAAGTATACAGATATAAAGTGAGGTGATGATAATCTATAATTAGCATAACAGTATAAATACAGTGCTTGTTAGTTACATTGGACTCGGAAACCATTACATTGGCAACCTTGTTGGAAAAGAACCATGTTACAAGAGACCGTGCTTTTCTTCTCTAGTTCCTGTCTGTTCTTTGTTCTGACATAACATAGCAGAAATGTCTGGTTGGATGGCTGCTGTAACTTATGCATGGATTGCTTGTTGAGCAAAGGTTGGCATTGTCGCTGCAATAGTGCTTGATGCGCACAAAGTGCAGAGCCATTCACACACAGGGAACAGAATGAATCAAGTCGTTTGCTGGGACTCCGACTTTTCACACAAAGATGCGGTCATAATCCAACGATAACAGTGCGTCTCTTGCTCGTTGTGGTGTTCACAAATTTCTTGTTCTCCAGGGCAGTACAGTGAACATGCTGAGCAGTGAGAGGGCCTACTTTGCTGGCTTGAAGATGGGCTTCACCCGGCCCCAAAGTATTGGCTTTTCCCTCTGGATTGGTAAGCTTTGCAACCAGTGCTGTCCTGTCCAACATCAGTAGGTACCGCTTGGCGTGGAGAAGTGCATGTGCTGCTATGTCTTCTCTCAGGTGGCTCCTACGCGGTTGCCACTTGGACGACGTAACTGGATCACATCAGACTTTAAGTTGTCGACAGTCCTTGCGTTCCTCAGCTGAAAGGTCCCTCGCACTCTGACAGTCTGTAGCTTCAAGGTCCTGGACTGAGGGTGGTGCTAATGCCGTTTGTTAGTCCACATGCCGTTGGCTCGGCCATCAGTGTGTTCTGCTCGACCAGTGTGAAATCCACCTGAAAGAATCTCTCTCTCTCTCTCTCTCTCTCTCTCTCTCTCTCTCTCTCTCTCTCTCTCTCTCTCTCTCTCTCTCTCTCTCTCTCTCTCTCTCTCTCTCTCTCTCTCTCTCTCTCTCTCTCTCTCTCTGTGCCATTGCAGGTGCTGCATTCTGTGCAATGTCCTTGGGTGCTGCATTTCTTCTGTGGCATTATGACAAGCGGCGGACACGCTTGCTCAAGCTACCTGAACATGGAAGTGGTAAGCAGACAAAAAGTGCCGCACCTCTCATCTCTGCTTGTCCATGGGTGGCTCATGCCATTCCTTGTCTTTCCTAGGCCATCATATGATTCTGGATGAGCTTAAATAGAATGCATTTGCACTTCGAATGGCTAGTCAAGTCCCAGATAGCCATTAATTTCCTTTTCTACACGGTGTGCGTGTGTACGTGTGTGTGTGTGTGTGTGTGTGTGTGTGCGTGCACGTGCGTGCGTTGTTCTTGCAGGTGAGCAAGTCCGTGTGAGGGACGTGAAGGACTTCCCGCTCTCGCTCTGGCTGATCTTCTTCATCTGCGTTGCGTACTACGTTTCAATCTTCCCGTTCATCAGCCTTGGAACGTATGTTTGATTATGCAGTCTTGATTTACTCTATGTTTTCAGCTGCTGATAATGGCTCACGTACTGTGAAAATACTGTATAACATACACTCAAACATCTCTAATCCGGGCACCTTGGGCTGTGAAAGGGTACCGTTTCTGATTCGTGAGAGCATGCCTGATGAGGACCCCAAGACACTGGAAAGAGCCACCTGGCCCAGAGCTGCCGTCTCGTCCGTGCCTCCTCTCGTGTGCGTGAATTTGACTGGATTCGAAATAATAATGTCAGGAACTGACTCTGCGTGCATTGCACTTGGTCACTGAAAAGGGTTCTGTCGTGATTTGTTTGTGGCCGTTTGTTTAATATCAGTCATGATGTATTGTGTTTGTATTTGGGCTTCCCCCATGATTTTAAATTCTTTTTTGACAGGGTGTTTATTCTTTGTTTGTGTTCAAAGATATTGTGCCCTTAGTACGGAACTCTGCGTTTATTAATGTCTGTAGCATTGCGGTCTCTATTGGTATGATGTGTTGTATGGTGCATTCTGTTATCTGTTATCTGTTGCAGTGTCTTCTTCCAAGACAAGTATGACATCTCCTCCGGGGAAGCTCATCTCGTTGACAGGTATTGACAATATTGCGTACACGGACCTTCCTGTTTCTGTATTTGTGAACGTAGCTAACTTGCAATGGTTGACGGTGATTAAACTTTGGTTGTATTCGGCTTGTGCCCTGGTTACTAAATTACCCCTCAGTTGACTTTTCCTTGGAGTATACCAGTCCTGGTGATGTCCTAGATAAGACATCACGGAACCCAGCATGCCCCAGCATACATACTATGCTGTTCCCATAGTAATCGTGACACGTGACTCAAAACTTTGTGTCGCGTCCGAGGAAGATGAACATGTCGCACTCAAAACAAACGCAACGAAGGCCTTTCGTCTCAAAAGTAATTAGTTATCGTTCTCCTGGCGGCTTGCCTCAAGCGAGTCTAGATTTGTATCTTGCCTCTTGCCTTCCCGATTTTTATTTTCCTTGTTGTGGAGTACGCCTGGACAAAGGAATTGGCAATCGAATCGTTTTGGTCGCATTGAAAATTGCAAGTGCACAAGAGGATTGGCGAAGCAATTTGTGTTCGCACTTTCAGCAGAGCAGTAGCTGCTGCTGCGATAAAGTTTTTGCTTTCGCCATTGGTTTCAGGCAGCAGAAGGATCTGGCTGAAAGCGATGGCGATACGTCCATGACCACCACGTCCTGGGTTGATATCCAAGAAAGACCGTCCAAGGTCCAGTTTTAGCCAAGAGCTGTCGTATCAAAGAAATCAAAAACGCCAACAGCAAGCTTTAGCCAAACAATATCTTCCAGGCAGTAATTTACGGGCCTAGCGCCTGCTGCCTCGTCTTCCTCCTCTGCATGACCAGGTTTGGGGCGAAATGAACGCACGGGGCGTGAAGAAACATTCCAAAGGCAAAACATTCAAAATTAGAACCAATCGTTTCCAAAGAAGCGCCGCGTGGCTACTAGAAACCCCACATGAAATCCCCAAACGAAAACGGCCATTCGGTCGGGTATTCAATGGCGAATCGAATATACACTACCTCAATCCCCGCCGATGTCTGATATTCTCCGCCTATTCCCTCAAACTTGACCAATTCGGAAAGAAATCCATCGCCATTACGATCGTGCATCCTCCACATACATTCAGAAATGCTCACGCAGCACTTCTTTTCATCGCGTGTGCGCGACCGACGCTTCCATGACAACTCTGGGACAGGTAACCAATCAGACTCATTCAGAGTGCGATGTCCTAGATAGGACATCTCCCCGACTGGTATACAGTCCAGTGCATATACACACTCTAGCTGTGTTTACGCCATCCATGTCTACCCCACCTATCAAATTTATATCACTCACCAACTGTCTAAAATAGGGTTTTGACGAAATGTAATCGGTCCGGCAATTTGTGCCCTCGCGGTATCCATTGTGCATTCTGCCTAGATTATATTGCCTGGAGGCCTGTGTATTGGCATGCTCGTAAGCTGATCGCCCGAGGGACCTTCAAAACTAGGTGCCCGTGTACAGGTGGTCGCCTTAAAGGGGCACTCCGGGAATATTTTCGGTGGGGTGTTCTCTTCATGGGGACCTTATATTATGGCCCCCAAGGAATGGGGAATCGCGAGAACTAGACCCAAAAAGTCGATATATGAAGCCAGGGAGGGCCAAGTTTGTCTCCTCTTTTGATGGTTTTGATGACGTCACGTGTGATTAGTATTCAAATTCTCTGCATTTGAAGATCTTAGTTGTTTGAATTTTCTGGCGATGAAGAACGATGTTTGGTCAACATTCCCAAGCTTCACAACTGCGGACATACTCTAAGGAACCTGAAGGACCCCCTGAGGTGCCCCTGGTAGAAGCGCAGCCTGATGAGGGCCAGGAGATTGGAGCGGACGACTTCACTGGTCCGAGTACGAGGATCCCGAAATTCTCTATACGCCGTGAGGCATATGGTCAGAACAGTTGTGTTTAGACAAGCTGACGCGAAGTCGGGGTGAAAGGGCTGTCAATGCTAACAGCTGCAGCGCTCTCTCGACAGCGAAGGTAATCGACTGCCCTCTGCATCACCCCACATTTCTGGCAGGAACACTAATCGTTATTTCCTTGTCGACCAGTGAAGTCGTCCGCTCCAATTTCCTGGCCCTCATCAGGCTGCGCTTCTACCAGGGGCACCTCAGGAGGTCCTTCAGGTTCCTTAGGCGCCGGTCACACATGCATGGCGCTTTTGCGACACCACCAAAGCTGCACCACAAAAGTTGGGATATCCCCGGATCACCATGGATACTGCGCCTGGCGCCACGGCGGCAATCTCAAAAGCGCCACAACCAAAAAATTGGTGGCGAAACACAAAAGCGGTAGTGCAACTTTTGCGGCGTTGCCGTTGTTGAATCTCTTGGATCTTGGAAAAATTAGTTTTTCATCTCTCGTCATGAAGTGGACTGCTGACCAAGAGCAACTGCTCCTCTCCCTCTATTTCGAGATCAACCATCCGACATGGGACTCGACTCAGGCGTCCACCGATGCTCAAGGAGCTTCCGCAAGATTCAAACGAAGAGAAATTGAACAACATGAATATTGAGGCAATCTCCATAGCTCTCCGCAGTCGCTGGTCACGACGTAGTCGGCGATTCTGGGCGTTTCTGCGATCCATACCAGCGCAGGAAAGGAATTTTGAGGCTACAGTCTTTTTTCAGAGAAAAGTTTTACGACACCTGTGGAGACCCGTGAAGCTGCGTGCGTACCAAAGCCTTTGCATGTGTGATCGCCGGCAGAAAAGAGCCGCAAAAGCGCCCACTGCCAGCGTGTTGGAGGCAGCCGCAAAAGCGGTGTCGCCGTCTGCATGTGTGACCGGCGCCTTAGACTATGGTTGCAGTTGTGAAGCTTGGGAATGTTGACCAAACATCGTTCTTCATCACCAGAAAATTCAAACAACTAAGATCTTCAAATGCAGAGAATTTGAATACTAATCATACGTGACGTCATCAAAACCATCAAAAGAGGAGACAAACTTGGCCCTCCCTAGCTTCATATATCGACTTTTTGGGTCTAGTTTTCGCAATTCCCCATTCCTTGGGGGCCATATAAGGTCCCCATGAAGAGAACACACCACCGAAAATATTCCCGGAGTGCCCCTTTAACCGGACCAGGGTCATTTGATTGGAAATGCCATCCCTTGGTTCTAATTGTAGTTGTCCTCTGAGGCAGGTTGTCGCGAGATCGAAGCGCTTGCTTTGACAGGTTTTATTGTAACGTGATTATACCATTTTTCCTCTGGTTTTCCGCTTTACAGCTTGGTTTATCTCATTTCTCTCGGCGGCGCGTTCGTCTTTGGTATTGTTGTCGACAAAGTCGGTCGCAACTTGTTGTTCGGTGAGCATGCCAGAATACTGATTGCTGTGGGTTTGCTGCGTGCAATGCTTCAAGCCAGGAGACCCCGGAAACTTGTCTGAACATGTGACTTTGGACTTTGCACGCCCGTTTGAATGCATTGTTGTCTTGACGATTCAGTGCTCTCCTAGGTGACTGTCTGTGTGTCTTCATCTGCCCAATGTCTTCCTGTGCTGTGCAGTGAATATTGCGATTGTCTTCACCATCGTCTCCCATGGCCTGCTGGCCTTCACGTTTGTGACACCATACGCTGGACAGGTACGCTATGGTATACAGTGTTCTGCATGGTCACGTTGGGCGATGGTAAAAGCGCATTGCTTTGCTTTGCTGGGAGCATAGGATTGATTTTCGTTCTTTTCTTTGCTGTATGAAGCTCTGCCCCTTGCATGCTGCACTGTGTGTGTGTGTGTATGTGTGTGTGCGCTGTTTCCGGAGCAAAGCTGGGCACCGCCGGCACAACTGCAACCGCAGAACATGCAGCTCTGGCTCCGAGCGCCGCACCATCCCATGTCCGACCTGCTCTCGGAAGTTCACACGTCTCCAGTACCTGGCTCAAGACAAATGCAAGAAGTAACTCTGCCCTCCTTGCCTCTTTGAGGCACTGCATCACCTTTAGGTGGCAGTTTGAAGGTTCAAGGTGTGTGTGTGTGTACGTAATTTATGTGTGTCCACTTCAGTGATCTTTACTGTGTTGTATGTGCTGCATGCAGATCCTTATGGGCACTGCATACTCACTACTGGCCTGTGCCCTCTGGCCCATGGTTGCTATGGTGATGAAGGAGCACCAGCTTGGTACTGCTTATGGCATGTGAGTGGTGATGCGTTTATGTGTCCGTATTGAGTGGTTTCACATCTGTCACATGACCACACGGGCCAGCCATGTTGGTTTCTAATCCACTGAACCCTTGCATCTATGGATCACATTCTGTGGGTCACATGACGTCGGCCATGTTGATTCCACTGTACACATGATGACATCATGGTTACTTTCTACACAAAATTAGTCACATGACCAGAATGTGAAACCAATCTATTGTAAAACTAAGTGAGTCTAAAGTCTGCGTTGTCCTGACCCCAGTCGGGCTGTGATGCAGCAGTCGCAATGGGTCGCGGTTGTGTGTCCCCGGTACCCCAGTTGGCAGGGCACAGCCCCAGAAAAACAGAAAAACTGAGATACTGTGTTCGGTTCCCGCCCGTAGATCCTTCTTTCGCAGCAGCAATTGAACCTCCGGAATTGTCTACAGATCTGTATTACCTTGTGCATGCTCATGCTAAGTTTCTTTGTTTTCCTTTGCCGGTGTCCTGCTCTTGCACCAGTATGCAAGCCATCCAGAACCTGGGCCTTGCCGTTGTCGCCTATGCTGCTGGAGTGCTGGTCGACAAGAGTGGATACCTCCTGCTCGAGTGCTTCTTCTTGGCCTGGTTGTGCTGTGAGTGTTCTGCAAATGAGCACAGTGCATGCCTTGTGTGAATGTGTGTACCAATAGGCCTGATAGTGATGTCATCAATGACATCTTAATTCATATGTGCACAGCGGACAGCTCCCGTATGATTCATTGCGCAACATCCATGCACTCTGTGCCTTGTGTATGTGACAAATGTAATGTGTATCACACGACATTTTCCATTTGGTGAGTTTCAGGTTTCTTCCTCATCTATTGGGCTCTGCGTTCACTATTCGCCTGATCCTGTTTTCTTTTTTTCTGTTTGCTGTGCATGGTGTGTTTGTGTGCACAGTGGCCCTGTTCTGTGGAATGGTCTTGTATGTTGTTGACTCTGCACGAGGTAAGACTGGACCCCCCACCCACCACCACCACCACCACCGCCACACACACACACTTTCTTGCATTTTATTAAAATGTTTGTGTGTCTGCAACTGCAGATACAAGCACACATGCACATTCCCGCACACACTCATGTGCGTGCATGCCCGCGCGCGCACACACACACACACACATTGCACATTTGAAAAACATCACACTGCTACTTTGCTGGATGTCCTCTAGCTTGAGTAATGTATAAGCTTGATGACATCACGGATGCATCAGAAGCTAAAAAGTGCTCCTACCTTGAAGTATGAGTAACACCTTGTTTGTCTGTTTCCATGACTGTACAGGCGGAAACCTGAACTTGTCTGTTGCTGAGCGTGATGCCAGGAAACTGTGAGTTGATCCTGATGTGTGTGTGTGTGTGTGTGTCTGTGTGTGTGTGTGTGTGTGTCTGTGTGTGTGTGTGTGTGTGTGTGTGTGTGTGTGTGTGTCTGTGTCTGTGTCTGTATCTGTGTCTGTACTGGTGTACCAGCACCACCGTGTTGGTAGTGAAGCGGCCTGTTAGTGTGTTACTAAACCGACGCTGGGTGGTGTATGACTGTTCAGTTTATCCTGTGCTGGTCAGATTCAGCTATGTGTACTGGTACTGTTGATAATGATGTCTCTATTGCCTCCTCGCTGTCTAGTTTAGTGCAAGAAAACGGTGCATGTGCCGGGAGGCTCCACAATGTGCAGGCTGTTCGTTCAGCCTTGGCGTTTTGATTAGTGGACCTGGGGCTGACCTTATACTGGCGCGTTGGTCATCCGTTGCCCCGCGTGTACACACTTTACAATGGGACCTATGCATGATTTCCCCACTATTTGGTGTTGCGGGGCAAGTCCACTTCAGGAATTTATAGTGTACACTGTAAGGCCAAGTAAAAAAAAAAGCTAGATGATCGTCCCCGTCCGCCCCAGTTTTTGTCAGCGCCCCAAGAAATATTTTATTTTTTAAATCGTGAGTTTTACTATATGGACCACATACTACTAGTATATCACAACGTCAGTATCGATCTGCTGAAGAAAGAAAAAGAAAAAAAGAAAAAAAAGAAAAAAAGAAAAAAACCTTGATGTTGTTGTGTACACTGTGTGCATGAGAGGGTAAAAAGTAAAAAAATAAAAATAAAATCCTCCCGCCCTCCCCGATTTTTCCAAAAAAAAGGACGATCATCTAGTAATTTTTTTTACTCGGCCTAATACCAGCCTTGCAAAATGTCGTGAACTGTGTACAGAGCCAGTCATACTCACAGCTGTGTACAGAGCCAGTCATACTCACAGCTGTGTACAGAGCCAGTCATACTCACAGCTGTGTACAGAGCCAGTCATACTCACAGCTGTGTACAGAGCCAGTCATACTCACAGCTGTGTACAGAGCCAGTCATACTCACAGCTGTGTACAGAGCCAGTCATACTCACAGCTGTGTACAGAGCCAGTCATACTCACAGCTGTGTGCAGAGCCAGTCATACTCACAGCTGTACTAGGGCTGGTTGTACACTCAACGTTTCTTATCCAGACGCCTCAGATACGGGCTTTACTGGGCACCTTCAGCTTGATTGGCTATGGCAAAAGTGCTTCTTCGCTTTTTAGTCATGTATGCGAACATGCTTTTGTTAAAAAAAATTGATATACACAAAACGTAGCTCAGGACAGCTCATCTAGTATGACGTGTCCTGAGCTACGGGCTAATGTGAGCTACGAGCAATGCCCGGTCCCAAGGCGCCCGGATAAGAGATGCTTGGGTGTATGTTCTAGGCATGGAACATGTTGTCCGTGCAAACAGGCTGCAGCCATGTTTTATACACAGGTAACTTACCATTGTGTTTGCAAGAGGATACACGAGTTGTGCATCGAATTAGCCTTGCTCCAATATTATACATGTGCTGTGTGATTGTGTTTACATGCACAAAGAGAAAAAGGCCCAATGGAATTGTGTTTTACAACACAGTCCGACTAGACCTCTTCCCTTGATTTGTTTAGATAGCTCTGCATTAGAGAGGTTAAGTTTCACGTAAAAGTCTTACGTCCGTGAACTTTTACGTCAAAAAGTGAAAAAACTCACGTAAAATTTGACGTGTTTTACGTCAGTTGACTGTCCCGCACGTAAGTTCATGACGTGAGTTTTTGGAAGTTTCGCTTGGTTATTCCAACCGAATTTGTGTGAGTTTCCGGAATTTTATCGAGTTTGTAGGAAGATTTGATATTTGTGCGAACTAAACCCGAATCCTGCCAGGCAAAATTTCACGTCACGTCGCACGTGTAACTTAACCTCTAAAAATTACACGTAACGTGAGATTTGCACCGCGTTTTGAAAAAGGGCAAAAAACGTGTAACTTAACCTCTCTATTATTATTATTATTACTTGCATGTACGCGTTGGAGTCAACCATGCAAGCATGATCCACAACTTCGCTTATGCTGAACATGATAAACAGGACTATTATTATTATTATTATTATAGGCTTTTCCGCGTTGGCATCGCCAAGCAAGCTTGGCTAGCCTTCGCATAAGCTGCTCCATAATGATGAGACGAAACAATGAATGCATGTATATCCGATCTAGGACAGAACCAGGGTTGCGGATAATTTTGAAGAAAGCTGCAAGTTGTGTTGAGGAACACAAAGTTGCAAACTCTACGAAAGTAAACTGCAAGAAATGTTTTGGGGTTGATCTCATGATTATTGTAGTCACAGGTTGTGTTAGTAGCATTAAAGGTTGTGTTTTCACAGGTATATTGTTTACATTCCTATTCTTTTACAGGATAATATTTTCACAAAATATGTTAGTCAATGAGTTATGTTATGGTACACCGTACAGCCATGTAGCTGCCACAGGTGGAAGCAGTATTAGGCTTTGATGTATGCTTTTATCACTTTGCTGCATAGGTCTTTCCAGTCTTGTCATGACTGGGAGATGGCATGGAGGAAACAGGACTATGACAGAGGAAAGAAATTGAGCTAGAACGATGATATAATGATATAATTATCATATACAATGTAGCTCATGGGTATTGAAGATATGTCATTTATGAATATGTCTATATGTCATTGAATATTGCAGCCTGAGTGATAATAATAGTGCTATTTAGTAAAATTTAGTATTGTGCTCTGCATACTGAGCACAATACTATTTGAGCCGATTGCCACAACTACGAATTGCGATGATCTGGTTGTGCTTTGCTGTTTCAGGGCGGCGGAGCAGAAAGCGACCATTTCGATCGACGGCATTGCTCCCGTCCTCTCCGACCAGAAGCTCTCGCGACCGGTGGACCTGATGTCGAGCCAGGACAGCAACTCCAGCTCCGTCAGCGGCTCCACTGATGACGTGCGCAACCGCCTGCTCAATCGGGTAGGCCTTCAGGCGGTCAGTGCAGGGACGTAGCTGGTCCCCTTTTTTTGGTGTGTGTGGGGGGGGGGGGGAGGCACGGCCGCATATGTGTAGGATGGCTGGTGCATGTCATTCATGGTCGTTATGTGCATGCTGAACCTGGGTCAAACAATTTAAGGAGGGGAAGGGGTGCATGTGGCGCTTGTGCTCCTTGCAGGCTACGCGACTGCAGTGGATCACATGTTTGGCGCTCGAATACGTTACTCTCCCGTCTATGCACGCTTGCGTGGTGTAGCAACAAGAGTAGTGCTGAAACGAGTACGCCGAGTACTCGAGTACCCGCTCGTTGAGTACTCGACTCGATATCAAAAAAGGACTCGATAAATAAATAAATAAAAAACTTGATAGCGACGTACACATCCGTCGTCCATGTGGCTTTGCAATGAAAATTTGTGTTTATTGAAGGATATTGAATTGCGTAAATGGTGTGCAAAAAATGGGTATGTGGTACTGACATATATGCGCATGATTGCTTATAGAGTACTCGATACTCGACTCGATAGTGACAGTACTCGCTCGATAACTTATAGAGTACTCGTTTCAGCACTAAACAAGAGCACCGTATTTTCCAGAGTAAACGCTGCTGCACTTTGTAAGAACACCGGTAACTCACGCAGAAAAAAGTTGATGCGGCTTATACTAGGATGGCCAGGTTAGCGGTGATAAACAGGGTAGATGTCTGTATTTTGTGACCAATAATCTGGGTGCAGCTTATACTCTGGAAAAATACGGTACATGCATCCAATGCTCCTTGACTGTAGGCGAACAAGTACAGTCAGACCTCGCTTAACCGCACACATCCGTTTTCCACAAAAAAAAATACCCGGATACGCGAGGGAACCGGATAATCGAACACACATACTTTATGTATGCATGGCGTATGCCGTAAATCGGTAACCAAGGGTTTTCTTCCGGATGGCGGGGGATCCGGCTATAAGAGGACCAGATAAGCGAGGTCCGAGTGTAATTGTCTTCATTACAGTAGTATGGTTTGGCTTGGGTTCTACAGTGCCGGCCAGAGAAATCCAACCTTTTGAATAGAGTACTGAAAAAGCCATATATATATAACGAAGTACTAACTCCAACGAGTTAACGAGGAGAAATCTGTCGTTAAAATAGAAATCGTTATACAGAAATCGACACGTATACTGTCCTTTTGAGCGTTAAGAATGAGTGAGAATCGTTACCTTTGGTACACGTAAACTAGTCAATTTTGGGAAATCGTTATATATGCGCCTCGTTAGAATAATGGCTTCTACAGTAGCGCCGCTTTCGAGTGCACAGAACAGTATGTGTAGTGCTAGGGCTGCGTAGCGCCCGGCGCTATTTTATTCAAAAGGTTGGATTTCTTTGGCCAGTGCTGTAGTAGCGAGAGAGGTCACAGACTCTTATTAGAGAAAATGCGGTATGTTCATTTACTTGACTTGATTAAAATAGAAGGAGTCTTTTAGAATGAAGGGGGTGTTCATTTTGGGCGGGCAATTAATTTCTTGGTCCTTGAGGGTGGCTGCATTCCTATGGATGCGGAAAACACGGCCTCTAGCCGAGTCTGACGCTAACCGTGATTTTTTAATAATTTTTTTCTGATTTTCGGACTCTTGTGGTCTTCTGTGCTACATTCTCTGTGCAGGATGCACCTGTCCACGGTTAGGAAGCGTAGCACTGGCTGAACTCAGCACTGACAGTGCGGAGTTGGAAGTACAAAACACTTTAAGTAACGGCCGATTTCTTTTCTATCTTGAATCTTTTTTTGTCGACTTGCTATCTCTACATGACCGTCTCTATGGCAATTGATTGCGAATCTCTCCTGTTGCAAATATTTTGAGAATTTTACTGCTATTGTGCATTGTTTTCTTTTCTTTTTTAAGCCTGTTTACGAATTTATCGTATTGCAATCAATGCAACAATGTTTCCGATTTGTACCCGTGTTGCGCGTGCATGTCATGTATTCCGTCGCCCATTTTTCCAATTTTTCCTTGCAAATGCGTGTGAAGTCTGTGACCTATGGCAAATTTACCAGGCATTCTCTTGTATTGCACATTCTAGATCAAATTTTGAATAAAATTCCCCAGGATTTTCATTTCCTGTAGTAGGGTTCTGGACAACCATGGCAACTGTAAGGAGTTCCTTCCCGTTGAACAGTTGAACTTCACCTGGCCCTGGAAGAGCCAATTCGTGTGTACTTCGAAGTAGATCTCTAATCCAGTATGGTGGCCTGATATGAGATACTAGTATGTCAATCTTCTTGTCTTCCTGGGCCTCTTCCACCTACATGTACTTGTAACCTTTCCCCAGCATCGGTCGGGTACCAGGGCGTGCATTTCTTCTGTTGAGTGGTGGAAGTGGCCTGATTTTATCCCTATTTGCCCGATTTAATACTTGATATTTACAAAGAACAGCACTGACAGAGTAATACCGAGTACCGGTAGTGCATGTCAACCATCGGCATCAGAAAATTACCAAACTCAACCTACAACTGTACAAGTGTATTCTACCAGAGTGCGGTACTTCGAAAAACGTCAAGTGTGCTCCTACCAATATTGCATGATGGAGCAATAATAAATATATTGGTGGTGAAAGTGGCTAATTGAACGGTGATGCAAATATTGGCGAAGGAAGCTAATTGAACGTTGATACAAAATAATATTGGTGAAGGTAGCTAATTGAACGTTGATACAAATATTGGTGAAGGTACCTAATTGAACAGTGATACAAAATATTGGTGAAGGTGGCTCTAAGTAATCAGTGGCACATTGTTCTGTTCTTGCCGCTAGTGGTGTAACACCACACGCAGTTCACTTTGATTGGGCTGCTAAACATACGTCATCCTCCGTCATGCTGTTCGGCGCTACCGGTGTATTGAAATCTTCAAGTTCTATCTCTTCGAGTACTCTGTGCGCGCGCAGTTCACTTTGATTGGCCTGCTAAGCATACGTCATCCTCCGCCATGCCGTTCGGCGTTACCGGTGTCTCGATATCTTCAAGTTCTATCTCTTCGAGTACTGTGTGAGCGCTGCTGATGTTCTGGGGCGGATCCACTGCCTTGTCGAGACCATCAACTGAGTTCCGAACCTGTACCGGGAGCCAATGATGATAGCGAGAATGGCAGTAAGGAGAACAGCACACAATCGAGGCAAGTAATGACGGAAGTAGGTGGCTTCATGAGAGAAGTACTGGAATTGCTGTCAAGAACGGGTTTATTCAGAAAACCAATCGTGTGAAACCATGAAGTAAGAGCCAATTTGTCCAAAGCAAAAAAGACAGCCCGAATAGAACACTGGATTGAAGTGTAAGATTGAACACAAAAGCTTGACAGGAAACCGTTACCCAAGTGACCTACAGGCATGCAGCGGCGACGGCATGTCTCCACCGGAGTCAACACAGCTGGCAGCAATACGCTGAAAAAGAGCTCCCGTCCTGCTCCCCTCCCTCCCCCCCCCCCCCCCCGGTGTAAATGAGAACTGTAGTACCCCCCCCCCCCCCCCCCAGGTGAAAACTAGAACTGTTGTACTGGTATACAGTCATGTACATGTATGTACTGTGGTGCACCTCACCTCTTCAATAGTGATGACTCCGACTAGCCGTCCCACTGACGTGACGTACATATGATTGAGAGCGAGCAGTGAGAATAGCGTATGGATCTGTAGGCAATACGGTCACAGAAGCATCATGCGGCCATTAGTTTCGACATAGCATGCATGCGGAGCTCATTGCAGGGTAGGTGAAGCATATCAAAGTATACTTTTCGGAAATCAGCGCCTGTCTGAAATAAGCGCCACATCATTTCAAGGCTTTTGTGTGGATGTATTTCAGATTAGGTGAAATTTTAGGGCTCACAAACTTCAAAGCCCCTCGGCCAGTATTGCCGAAAACGGCATACATTTAACTTCTATGCAGTGGCATGGTCTATAGATTACCCACTGCATTCTGTAACCATGGCAACGGCACAATCCAACAGCCGGTGCACCGGTACAAGTCACCATGCAGTATGCGAGACATCCGTTTAGTATCAGGGCAGCAATGATGCAACGACTTTAACCTTTTGCGCCCTGGTGCTAAATCCCCTGATTCCTGCCACCGGCCGCCCTGCCATACGCAATAGTCCCAGTATGCATTTGAAAATTATCTAATTTCACTCATCAGTTTCGTAATTATTTCTTTTTGGTCGCATTGGAAAGCTACAGATGTTCTCTCTCTGAATATCGCCACTAGACACCCGGCAGGAGCAACAGAATCGCCTTCAAGCCTGTTGAGAGCTGCCCTATTGCGCCTGAGCGAGATTCTGTACCCACCTCCACAAATTTTATCGTTTCTCAATTTTTACTCAACGTAGAACGATGATTCAAAGTCCTGCAGATTCATGAAGCTCAAGCGATTCATTTGATCTCTACTTCGCATGCGCTGTGCAGCGATGAGTCACTGGGAAAGTCCCCGTTTGAGGCACGCCGACGCACTTTGAAGCGCTCTGCGTACAAATTTTCGAAACAATTTCAAGCGTATCCGTGTTTCGTTCTTCGATACTCAGTGATTCCGCACCGCGCTATCAAACGACATACCACTGGAAAGCTTATTCTCTCACCTTTCCAATGAGCCATCATTCGCGACAATCGGATAAAGGACAATGGAGTTACGGCAATTTGAACAGTGATGTATATGCACTGTACAAGTATGCGCTTTTACTTGACGCACATATGCGGCATCAGGAAATCAGGGTATGACGTTTTGACGCACATGTGCGGCATCAGTCCGGAAAGGGTTAAGTGTATCGTGTAGGACACACTGGAAAGGGGGGGGGGGGAACTGGATAAGCGCAACCTGCGCCAGCGCTTGCAACGCAGCCAGTACCTTTGGAAAGCTGGTAGTCTCGACGACCTGGAACGGCGACGAGTCGATATGACTGGAGATCAGATCTACAGGCGCGTCCATGATTGTACGGTCCTGCTTCACACACTGCGGAGCAAGATAAGCACACATCGAACAGGGATGATTTACAACAAAATTGCAATGGCTTGAATCTGCAGTTATATTCAATTTAGGCCACATACTCGTACATGCGGGTCTGTTTAATTCGTATGTACATGATGCACTGTTGAATTTTAAGACAGTCTTGTTGTACATGTGGTCGCGCTTGTAGCTCTGTGTCGTACATGCGGCTGCGCGGGTGTCTCTTGTCGTACATGTGGCTGCGCTTGTGTCTCTTTTGTCGTACACGTGGCTGCGTATGTGTCTCTGTGTCGTACATGCTGCTGATCCGTGGTACACGCCGCTGCGCCGTCTTGGAATGCTTAGTACATGCCGCTGCACCGTCTTCTGTCCCCTCCGTATGCATTATTTATCATCTCGTCCCCGTTGCATACACATTTTCTCGTCTTGTCTCCGTTGTATTTGTCTGGTTGCCGTCTTGTGTCCGTCGTATTTCCCCGTCGTTCGTCTTTGTCTCCCGTCCTGTTCAGGCCTTGTTGTACTTTGCACAGGCACCTCTTTAGTATCCCTCACCCCACTTTTTCCCCTCTTTTCTCCACGTCCCCATAATATATTCTCTTGTCCGTTTTGTTGGAGCGCAGTTCTCCAGTCCCCTTACTGAAAGCCAGTTAGAGAAAACGCTCTCTCTCCCAGTGTGCACGAGTCTTTTGTTGTTGTGTGGAGTGGCGAGGAGAGCCGCAGTTCGTCGGATTAAACTGACGACAGTCTTTCCCTTCGGGGTAGTTTGTTTGAGCTCTGCCTTTGATCGCCCACTGTGCAACAGACGAAGACGGAAAAGCCGTGACAATAGCTGGCAAAACTATCGACTCAGGCTCTCTAACAAGTACTAAGAAAGTAGTCCAATTTCAATTTGAACAAGCGGCAAGGCAACATTAGTTAATCACACTTCGACAACTCAATTCAATTTGTTTGTCTTTTAAATCTGGTTTGCGTGTGTACTTGCAAGCAGCAAATGGACTTGTTGACAAATGTACAGCGCTATTAAAAGGTTACAGCATTGTCACTTACTGCATCTACAAGTTGATCTGTGAGGGTTGTCAGTTGCTGTAAGTGTGACAAAATAGAACACAGAACTGATCGTGATCCAACGAACTCAAGACGAAGACTGCTTTTCACACCACAGCAACATGCGAATGCACCAACACCACGTACACACACACGTACACACACACACACACACACAGGACGTACACACACACACACACAGGACGTACACATAATAACGTACTACAACACATGTACAACAATTTCAAGTTGCCTGCGCTATAACACAATGATACCGTCTTAGAAAGACGGCTAGTGAAAACAGACACTCGTTGAACACCGGACAGCACCTACTTTATATCAGGGTGTGGAAAATTATGGTATTTTAGCAGGCGCGTACGCAGGGGGGGGGGGGGGGGTTCCCGTTGCCCGGAAACCCCCCAAATGTTCCAAACGAGCAACATTTTTGGGCATTTTTTGGTAGGGCGCGCGATTGATCTGACAAGAATGAAAACTTCAACAGGTCATAACTCAGTCAAATCTCGCTCAATTCCAACGATCCAAATATCCAGATCGAATAGAAAACTCTCAGCTGTCGGTAGAAACAATTCGCGAAGCGCTGCGAGCAATGTTTCTTGAGATATATCATTCGTAAGTTGAGCCGCGATCTCGGCAATTTCCAAAGCGCGCAGTGCGACTTGAGTATCGAGAATTTGAGACTGTTTGTCACATCGACTTGCTTAAGTTTGCAGGGGCTTCACTTGTGATATTCTCAAGAGTATACAGCAAAACAATCGAAACTCTGCGATCGAGAAAAACGAAATCGCTGGAGCAGGACGCGTTTGGGCCTTTGTTTGGGGCATTTTTCGCACCGTTGCTGCACTCTACCGCTGGTACAGTGCAGGAGCGTAGCAGCAGGTCCGGCCAGTCCGCCTGTGGCCTGACCAATGCCAAAAGTGCCCAGAATGCAGGATTTTGCTCCCTAATTTCCAATTTTTCCCGGGGGGGACACCCCCCCGACCCCCATGGCCATGCACCCGGACCACCTCCAACGGCGGTGCTACGCGCCTGCAGTGTCCTGGCTATCATGGTCGACCTCATTCTCTTCTCTCGTGGACGTGGATACCATTCCACTTCCAGGAAGATTGAGCGGGTAGAACTGATGAATATGATGAATATGAATATGAATATGATTAGGGGTGAAACGAAGGTGTCAAAGGTTCGAAGAACCTTCGTTTTCATTTGAAACAAACCTTCGTTTTCAATTCAAAAGAAGGTCAATAGACGATTTCTGCACACACATGCACTGATCTTCCTTGTATACAGGAGGTACTGTACTGTAGTTTGGACAGTCGACTAGTTTTGTGTCCACTTGGCTCCCGGTAGGTGCCACTGCAAGTCCATAGTAGGCCACGGACTGCGCTTGAGCATGGCCTTTCACGGCCAAGGTGGCAAGAAGTACAATTGTGGTCTTGGGCAGTTTGGGGTGCAAACTGCGCAGTGCAAAAGCTATGGGTGTGCCAATTGTGGTGACTGCATAGCAAATATGTGCACAGTCGTGTACTTTGTAGGGCACATGCACAGAGTGTGCTTGAAGAGAAACTGTGAACTGGTAAAAGAATCCTTCGACACCTTCGTTCGTTTTCATGGAGAAGGTTTGTTTGGCAAATTGAGACCTTCGTTTCACCCCTAAATATGATCCAAGGAACGCGAACAATGCATTGTTTATGATTCGGTTGGAAACCCCCCTAGAGGTGACCCTGCGTACGCGCCTGTTTACTACTTCATGGGACGGACATCCCTCGAACAATGTAGGTGCCGCGAGTTCGAATGATTCGGTTTTCCAAGTATGGTCATCGTGGAGATATATGCACTCAAGTAAGTTTCAGTGGCATGCCTGCCACTATCAAAGACTCCAATGTGAGACTAGTAAAAGAGAAGTTTCAATGATGCATCATAATGATCACTAGTATACCCATTGCTGTTTTCACACTGCCAACAATCAGATTCTGGCACTTTTTATAAGATCCCAGGAATGAAAACAAAAACTTCCATTTCTGCAATAAACGTTATGCAGGCAAGGACAACACACAACACCCCCCCCCCCCTCTCTCTCTCTCTCTCTCTCTCTCTCTCTTTCTCTCTCTTACCTCAGCCTGATCCTCTCCAGAAGGCAGTAGGAGACCGGCCACCTGTGACATGCGACGAC